ACCATGGCATGATAGGTTAACCCCTGGGTTTTTTTTGGTTTTTTTGGTTTTTTTCAAAGAACGATTGCTTGAAGATCTCTTAAACTAACTATAAAGTTAACCCCAGGTAGAATCTACTACCAAGAGTACTATTAGCATTACAAGCTCCCAGGCCAAGGTCCAGGAGCATACTCTTGGTACTACTGTCTGTCGCGGACATGGAAATCCAGTCGATTGACCGCGTACCGGGGCCGGCGCCCTCAGCGCGTACAGAATGTAAGTAACTACCAATGGAGTCGCGTTGCAGCCAGAGGTGGTGTGGTTAGAGTCATTGCAGTTCATGTGGCTGGCGCATTCGACCGCGTCTCCCATGTAGGAGTTTTGCACAAGGCACAATGCTATGGTGTAACTGGTCCACTTCTCGCTTGGCTGAGGGGTTACCTGACTGATCGTCACTTGAGGGTTGCAGTTGGAGGTGAACTTTCCAGTCCGTACCCGACCAAAGCCGGCGTGCCGCAGGGCAGTATCCTTGGTCCCACCCTGTTCATCCTCTACACCAATGATGGCGAGGACCACCTCCCACCAGGTATGGAGCTAGCAGCCTACGCTGACGACACCACTCTCTTCCACTGCCTCACTTCAAGAGCTGACATCGATTTTGGCTCCAAGCTCCTCCAGCAGGGCATTGATGCGTTTTCCCGTTGGGGACATAAGTGGAGGATCAAATTTGAGCCCTCCAAGACGCAGGCTATGTCTATAGGCCACCATCGCCAGCCCTGGGAGCTCCCTCGAGCAACATTTGACGGTACACCGGTCAGTGAAGAGAGTCGGCTGAAACTCCTGGGAGTCACCTTTGACGACACCCTGAGCTACTCCTTCCACCTCCGCTCCCTAGCTTCCCGTGCTAACCAGCGGATTGGCTTCCTGAAGCGAGCGTCTCCTACTCTGGACGCCGATAGCCGCCAATGCGCCTACAACGGCTTTGTGCGACCCACACTCGAGTATTGCCCCTTAGTGTGGATGGGCTCACCCTCGTCACATCTTAAGAAGCTGGACCAGATCCAGCGAAGGGCCCTCCACATCATCGGAGCAGGTACATGTACTTGGCTCCCTAGCCTGGCACTCCGTCGCCTGGTAGCTGCACTTGCCTATACCTACAAGCTCTGCTATCTGGATGCATCCAGCCCTCTGAAGCAGATGCTGCCCAAACCAGCTACTCACCGTGCCCCCGAGACAAGACCTACCCGTCAGTCTCTCCAGCTGCAGGATTCCCATCCATACCAGATGACAACTGGCCTGCCTGCCAACACCCGGAATAGCTGCCTCCAAGGATTCCCTGCTTGCACCGTTGCAACGTGGAATGCCCTGTCACCAGACCTGTTCCACCACCCACCCGCCCAGCCCCACATGCAAAGCTTCAAGAAAAAGGTGTACCGTCACCTTCTTGCTCAGGACTGGCTCTTTGCTACTGATGCACTTTGAATCTGCTCGCCAACGCTTTCCCTGTTCTTGTTAGTGTTCAGCTGCTTACCTTATAACCCTGCTGCCATCATCACCAATATTCTGATTCTCATGCACATGTCCCAGAACCTGCTATCCTTCGCAGTCCCCATCACCAAGAGCACTGTGCTCTTCTATCTCCCAGCTCTCTCTTCTTTCTCTCTCTCTCTCTCTCTCTCTCTCTCTCTCTCTCTCTCTCTCTCTCTCTCTCTCTCTCTCTCTCTCTCTCTCTCTCTCTCTCTCTCTCTCTCTCTCTCTCTCTCTCTCTCTCTCTCTCTCTCTCTCTCTCTCTCTCTCTCTCTCTCTCTCTCTCTCTCTCTCTCTCTCTCTCTCTCTCTCTCTCTCTCTCTCTCTCTCTCTCTCTCTCTCTCTCTCTCGCGCGCGCGCGCGCATGCGCGCACGATCGCGATCGCTCTCTCGATCCCTCTCCTTCTTCTCTTCTTCCGAAGTCCCCCCCCCCATCTCCCGACAATTATTAGCCCCCGTTTTCTTTCGACGCGTCTGCTGTACAGTGAAGCCGAGACCCTAGGTCGGTGGAGCACATCAGACCCCGTCACTACGTCCACGATTCATGCCTGCGATGCTGCACCGCTGCTTTGCATGTCATGATTGGAAGCTGTGGCCTTTTTAATAGTAAAAATAAATAAATAAATAAATAAAAAGAAGTCGTTACATGCATGCAGTGCACTAAAGCTAAGTACAGTACAGTGCTGGCAAATGAAATCCGACCCCCGGGCGGTGCGGCGCGCCGCCCGGGGGTCGGATTTCAGTTGCCAGCACTAGTCTTGTTGATCCGATGCGACCAGCACATGATTGTTAGCCATGGTTGGCTATAAAAACTAGGGCTCAAACGGTCACGGTTTTACCCCCAACGGTTAACTGCTAAGCTAACGGTCGGTTTAACGGTTATAACCTATAAGCCACGGCAATCCTGCGGACTCTTTTTTAACCGTATATTTGACTATACTTATTCAAAAACTGTACCCTATTCAGTACAACACACACATGTATATTCTCTTGCATGCTCATTCATACATACTCTCACACGAAGAGACCAGATATGACCGATTTGGCAGCCCAGAAATTGCGTACGCGTGCGACAGCCTGCGAAAGTGCATGCTTTGCAACGACATGATACAATGTACTTGAAAAATTGACTGAAAAGTTTTAACCGTTAATTCTTCGTAACAACCGTTTGAGCCCTAATAAAACCCCTGCAATCGCCACGCAAAGACGTGGTCATTGGCTACCCTAGCCATGTATTGCTTGGAATAAAATAAAAAATAAAATAAATAAATAATTTACGGCTACATGGCCAGCGCCCTGGGGCCGCTAGATGTGCGAGTCGGTGCGACCGGATTTCTATGTCCACGACAGGATACGATCATGTAGATGTCGTGCATGCATGCGTGGTTCCGAACATAAGTACGTAAAAAATGGCATCAATTCTTGGTGTACTTGTAGACTCTGACGATATCCGAATGCGTCCCGGAAATGGCGGCATCGAACTGCTTCCTGCCAGTATTTCTGACCAAGGGTTGATTTACGGAACCTGAACTGAAGACAAAGGCTCGATCGCGATAAGGCTCGCACATGAGACCCGGCTTTTGGCAGTTTATGCTTCGCTAACACTAACAGTAGCTAGTAGTGCGCAGCTCTGCAGTATTCAGATGCGAGAGGCAAAATGGCGCAAACAAGACTATGCCGTATGTACTAAAGGCAACCAAGCAGTTTTAGTTGGGCGCATACTTAGCCAGAGTCTACTATCGTTGGTGTGAAGAAGAGAGTTGTGAAAGGTCTTTCATAAAGTAAAGCAAGTTCGCGGGTGGGCCATGGGTTGAGCCATGAGAAACACAACCAGGATGCAACGATCTTTGGTGTACATCTCCTCAGGCTAAAATAATGCACGCTGCATTCTTGACATGAGCTTGTTGGTTTCGGCCGCTGTCATTAATGAAAATGACAACAGGTTGTGAAAGTACGGATTCCCGTGCCGGATGCGCCGGCCAGGGCGAAGTGCAAGCCGACTGCCAGGAAGCCAGCGCAGCCGGCTCAATCGCTCGTCCAAAAAACTGTTTGGACTGCATTTGCTGTCCGCGTGTACGTGTGCAACGGTTGGTTGCTGACAATGGCACTCCGAGTGCACTGCAAAATAGCTTCTGTAGCTGCTCTCACTCTCAGCGCAAGCGTCGAAGCCCGTCGTCGTGTTTCGATGGTAATGGCTCCAGCCAGAAGGTGAGAAGCGGCTCTCAGTTTGAGGACGGGAAGCGATGATGGCGGCTGTGCACATGGCAGCGCTGTCGCTCCTGCGCTTTGTAGCAAGCCGGAGAAGAAGAAGAAATGAGCTGATTCGGATCATTCCCGTTGTTTTTCGGCTACTTTTTCTCAGTATTTGTGGTGTCCTCATAATTCAAGGTAAAGAATTAGCGCTTTCCATAAACGAGGAAGACAGATCTGAAATCGAAAGGCAGAGGAGCGTGACCGAAAGTGAGCACTTAGTTGACGAGTGGTCGAATGAAGGACGGCCCCGCTCATCTTTTCGCTTTCAGGGAACGTTTTCGCGAGAAGACCATGGCGAGACAGGTGAGCCACGTTTGCACGCTCATGGCAATGGACGGCCAAGCAGCAGCAGCCTGTATGATCCGGAGCAGCCTTTTCATCTGCTGGCCGACCTGAAGCCGCTCAGCCAGCTCTACCCCGACGTCCTCAAGCAACCCAAGCAGGACGAGATGGATATCAACCAAGGTTTGTGTGATTACGTAGGCATGATTGCTAAGCGGCTGACCACTTAGTTGCATTATAACGAACTTAGTTGAATGTTTTCACCCTGAGGATATGGGCCATACCCGAAAATAATATTTTGGTGAATTCAATTATTTATTTATTTTGAAGTGACATGTGCAGCGAAGAGACCGTATTTGGAAAGTTCGAGTTGAGGTACCCTACAAAATGTTCTGCGCTTTGCGTCTTCTTTAAACACACCTTTTGTTCGCCATTTCAGAGTATGACTCAATCAAGTCACTGTATCAAGGAGACATCCAGCTGCCACCCGAAGACGAACAGCAAGAACCTGAGCCCCAGGCCCGCAACGCTCAAGTGTCTGGCGGTAGTGTAGCACGTTATCGCCGTGCCTCTACAAGCACCTATGAACGACTGTGGTCCAATGGCATAATCCCCTTCTCCATCCACTCCTCAATACAACATGGTAAGTGAATATTCTACTTGGCACTACAGTCAACTTCGCTAATAACGACCGCGGATATAACGACAATTCGCGAATAACGACAGAATTTCCATGCCCAGAGCAAAGTCCATACTACCTGTATACATATAATGAGACTTTGGGTATAATGACACTTCGCGAATAAGGACACTTTTATGATGCCCGGCCGAGTGTTGTTATACGCAAAGTTGACTACTGCTTCCACTGTTTCACTGCACTAGCTCAATGGCCTACTCTTCAGTGACTACCGGAGTCCGATGCATGCAATGTATTCTATACGAAGACAATTGGTGATGTTCGAAATAGTGGTTGCGACTTCGGCGATGTTTTTTTAGGAATGGGTTTGCTCCCACACTGGAGCAAGTGTCAAGTCAAGTCGGCGGAATAGCGCGAGCTCCAGTGTGGGAGCAAACCCATTCCCAATTGGTGATGTGGATAATACCGGTGAAAGGAGTACCTTTGCTACAATATTCATACCGTTAGTTTTTCACAGTCTGTGAGGCTTTGTTCCGCATCCATAGGAACGCCACCACCCTCGAGAATCAAGGCGCAGACGAAGCTCCTAAAGTGGTTGGAGGCAGCGCGGCCAGTAGAACTACATTTTACATTCTAGATTGATGTCCTTCACGCATGGAGCACTGAAGGCTCGCAATGCGGAAGTGTGCAGCCATGTGCAAGTTTACCCTGTTCGGTTTCAAGCCGCCCATAACATGTGCCGTCGCTACAGTCAACCTCATAAAATTGATATCAACAACTCGCGAACAGCGACAAAACCTCAAGACTTGGTCATCATTCGCCTGCACACTTTCGACCTCGCCTATAACAACAACTTTCGAATAGCGACACTTTTCTCATGCATGATTGAGGGTCAATTTTCGGAAGGTTGACTGTACATGTGCAATGGTGTGCTGGGAATTATTCATTAGCAGTGAGTAGTGAAGGCGAGTGGAGGCCCGGGGGAAAGCTCATGCATGGATGCGCTGTTTTTTCACTACAGACGAGGAGCGAATGTTTGCCGTCAGAGCCGCAATATACAGCTGGGAGGGAAGCACCTGTCTGAAGTTCGTCCCTAGGCTCGCCGAGCCCGACTTCATAGAGTTCAGGAACGAGGATGGGTAAGGTCGAGGACAGTACTGTAAAACCAGAAATTTTTGGTGGAAATTTATTTTCAGTGACTTTACTTCGGTACAGGTAATTTTTACCTACGGTAAAGTCTTGTATAAAAGCCGCACTTGAATAGAAGCCGCAATTTTGGGCCCACCAAATCACACATAAGCCTGGTTTTAGTGCTGACATACATAGAAATACCTGTCTTGTATAGAAGCCTGTCTCATATAGAAGGCTGCAAAATTTCACCGAGAAAGTCATAGAAGCCGCGGCTTTTATACAAGACTTTACTTATAGGTTAGTGCATGGCAGGGAGGGCCTTATGGCTTGTTAGTGCCCGACAGGTTAGCCTGAGGGCCGTAGGCCCGAGGGCTACCCTGGAGGGCACAAACAAGCCATAAGTCCCTCCCTGCCATGCACTAACTATTTTAGAACGAGGTTACATGCATTATCTCACTTCCATCATGATGGTGTACCATAATATTGGGTAGTTTTGTGGTTTGTGTGCAGAGAGACTTGGTGTGGTATGGAAGAATATTTTCTTCTGGTAAGTTATGGTAACTCAGCACCACTTAGGACTACTAAAAGTAGAATAGAAGCAAATGGAATGCTGGGCTCTTATTGCGATCTTCATTCTTATTCATAGCTTGTGGAGCTATTTAGGGAATTTGAGAGCCCCTTGTCAATACCTCTAATGACTGCGATCTTCGGTTTTTATCGGTTTCCGCAAGCTGTTGGCAAAGGAAATTCTTACAGATGAAAGAATACGGGAGGCAAAAACCGTACACACTTCTGAAATGCGTAGCTTTTAGTAGTACACCGTACATTTTGTGCAGAGTTCATTATCTGCACCGTACTATAATGCATACAGGGAGTTGTACGCACCAGTTTAGAGTATATTCAGCGGGCTTTAAACTAATCCAAGGCCCTCGACGCGTCATCAAGAGTAGTAAAATAACGATTCAGCGGGCTTTAAACTCTGATAAGGCCCTTGGCGGGAATGTCGCTGATTGGTCGTTTCCTGGACAACGAGACAGACCTCGTTCTAAGGTATAATAAAACGCGACCCAAAATTCAACAAGCCATGCCACACCGTGTGCAAAATGCTTCTTTAGATCTGGAAAACTGGTTTATCGAAGTCTTCGCGCTACTGAACCGTTGATTTTGGGAAATACCGAAAAGATTACACCACCGACAATTCCGGATTTTAAAGTACGTACTTAGGGCCTCTTTTGGGGGGGGGGGGGGGCCTGCTGTGGTTCTTCTGTTAGTTACCTCTGGCTACATAGTCATTGGTCGTGTTCTTCTACAAGTACATGTGTGAATCAGGCTTTTATGGATGACGGAATTTGGTGTGTTGTGTGGTGGTGGTGGGGGGTCTCTATCAATTAAAGTGCTTAATTGGTAGCCCCAGCCTAAAAATACTTTTCAGCGATATGAAGATTTAAAATTCACAAGTAGAGATAGGTACTGGATACTCTGTGCAAACATTGCGATGTGCCCCCTTCCCTACGGTGTACTCCAGATGCTGGTCGTACATTGGTCGCCGAGGCGGCCGGCAGATTCTCTCGATCGGCGAGCGCTGCGCGCGTGTGGGCATCATGATCCACGAGATTGGCCACGCGCTCGGGCTGTGGCACGAGCACAGCAGACCGGATCGCGACCGGCACATCCGCATCCGCTGGGAGAACGTTGCCGCCGGCCGCTGGAAGAACTTTGCCAAGTCACATCCGGACATGATCAACAGCCTGGGCACTCCGTACGACGTCACCTCCATCATGCACTACGGGCCCAGGTCGTTTGGCCGGCGCAATCTCGACGGCTACAAGATGACAACGATTCAGCTGGTCGACGCTGGGCAGACCGGCGGTGATCGCATGGGCCAGCGCATAGCACTGAGCGCTGTGGACATTCTTCAGATGAACCGGCTCTATAGATGCCACACAGAAGGTGAGCTAATTGTTGTGTTTAATGCAGAAAACATGCACATGTCAGTAGTGAGATTGTTTTCTGATATCAGAAGCACAACAGATACAAATTGATGGGGCAAAGCAGGTTTATCGCAGCACTGCGTCCTCGTCCTCGCTCGCATCGACGTCGTGCTCCTCCTCCTCCACCACCAACACTACCTCCTCCTCATTGTCCTCGTCCACCTCTCCTTCAAATTCTCTCCACGCACACCCATGCAATATACAAGTACTGACTACAATCCTGTATGTGTAGCACTATCTAAGCCCTACATACGTAGCCGGTCCAACATTTACGTACCTAGACAGAACAGCAATCACGTTCTTCATGTGCAAGTAATGATAGTGGGCAGTTTCCACTGCTGAGAGCTGTGAAGATGACACGGTAACGGTTTCGAATAAGGAAAGAAAAAGAAGAACCAAGCTTGTTGGAATGTGGTTGTGATTGGTGAAGCAATGGATGGAGCAATGTCCAACCAATTATTTTACCTTCGCCTGCTTGACAAATACGACCAGTGTTGGCAGGTTGCATCCACTTCATAAACAGGAACGTGTAAGATGAATGGGCCAAACCAAACATTCTTCAACAAGACTTTCTTTCACAATTGACTTGAATCCCATGTGCTAAGTCCGGATGATACTCTACTCATTTCAGATCAGACGACATCAGCTCCTCATCAGCGGCCGGCAGTGCTTCCAGTAACCGTGCAGCCGGTGTGCCACAACGGCGGAACCTGGTCAGACGGTGGCTGCCTGTGCCCACGGCGATTCACTGGCGGAGCTTGCGAGACACGTAAGTACCGACATGGTCAGTGTCTGCTCCAGGACCGGGTCAGCCGGGTCAGCTGGGTCAGCGACCCGGTTGGGGGGGGGGGGTACTTTGACCCGTTAAAAAATAACACCAGGTTTTAAATGAAATTGGACTCAGTGAATAGGGTTCTCGAAGTGTAAGTAGCAGGTTGGCAACAATGTCCTTCTTTCTCTTCTACCTTCTTATTGGATACTTGCAGTTCGCAAGCCACGATCGTGTGAAGATCACAGCGAGATCTTTGGAAACGTTTCGGATGGTTTCTACAACATCACTGTCAGAGACTGCTCCACACCATTACAGGTAACATTGTACTGCACATGTCATCGAAAAGATAATCATAATGATAATGATAATGATAATGATAATGATTTGGGAAGGCCTCTTTTACGGGCAAAGCAAAGCACAATCATCACCATGTATCAGTACAGTGAGTAGTTAAACCCAACACGAATGAAAAATGTGAAATGGAATAAAAACAATATTTGTAAAAAAATAAATAAATTAAAATTAAAATTCAATATCGAACACGAATAAAATAAAATAAAATATGTAAAAAATAAATAATGATAATGATAATGATAATGATAGCATTGGGGTAGTCCTGGTTCCGCAATTAGCCGCCTATTGGTAAACTTCGCATGAGCTGATTGTATAGTAACTGGCGATGTTGGTGGATATTATAGCGTAAGTTGTGGCTCTTTGGTCCTCTTTTCTTCTTATAACTTAATCTGCATGGCTCTCCAGCCAAGTCTAACTATTGGTAAGCATATTTCTTTTTGAACATTAGGCCTATTCAACATTCATGTACTGTAAAGCGTGAAATTTTCGCGGCGTTTTTAGTTCGTGTTTTCAGAATCCGGACAGGTTTGCGAGGTTTTAATTTTGCGATTGCAGAATGGCATTCTTGCTAAACCTTTCATGGATCTCCTTTTCGCGCTGTCGAAATTTCGCGATTTCCACGCGGTCGCGAATTTCGCAGAAATTAGACCATGGCAATAATTTCACAGTTTACAGTAGTCAGACTGAAGTACTGGCCAATTGCCAATGGAATTGGAGCTCATACATAAGGTAGCACAGGGCTTTACATGGCCCTGCACAGGTTTCGGCGCCGCTATGTACTAGTACTTGTAACAGTGTGGCCGGTTTGGCCTGGAAACTAACGCTCTCGGCACACTAGAGTGCTCACCGGTCAGTCGGCACCCGCTTTGAGCACTCTGACCTGCTGTCAACGCTACCCGAATCTCCGAACTAGTGCATGTACGTACTCCCCGGCACATCTAGACTGCCAAGTTTCCAGGCGCAGCTAAATTCCGAAAGCCTCTCACGGGATTTCCCGTCATGCATTCTCTCCTTGCCAGTGATGCACTGATGAAGCCCCTCACCAGCATCGTTCATAGTGTAAATTCCCTGATCAAGCCCCTCACCAGCATCGTTCATAGTGTAAAAGATGGTCGTTTTGGCCCGAAATTGCCGTATCAAATTTCCCGTTTGGTTCCTTACGCGCGATCCATACTGCACTTGCAGCCGTTTTACATGCAGCAATTCAAGTTGCCTTTGTGCAATGGGAAATCTGTTCGGTTCATGTGTGATTGCCCTGCAGAAGGGAATTGACTCGGTTGAGCTCCCTAGATGGGTCGCTGGAACCCCTTTCATAAACCACACTAAACAAAGAAGAGGGAAGGTTAATGTAACCTACTTTAGTAACTAAGCGGCTTTTACAAAGAGCAGCAGGAGTAGATGGAATACATGAAAGAAAGAGAAATGGGGAATATCACGAACACAGAGATTCAGATGGTGAGTTCAGTCAACAATAACAAACTGCACGAGCCGAACATGGAAAGGGCTGCGGCAAAGCAGTGGAATGATGCACCGCCGGTCACGAACGAGGCCGATCCTGATAGCAGTAAAACACACAGGTCCAAAGCCAAAACTTGAACCTGGCCGCAATATACCGTCTTAGGAACATGTGAACCAGGGACCTGTGCATACCCAGGGGCGTCGGACACGGTACGATCACTACGGTATCAACTGTACCAATTTTGCCCCGGGTACAAGTACCCTGTGAATCAATAAAATACACTGATCTGGGCTCTAAATTTCCAAAATGTCGGCTCAGCAACCCCTCCCCTACCTTCCGACGCCCCCTGATACCCATGCTGCAACTCTAGTGAGGCACACTACTGTATGCAGGTACATCAGCCAGTGGCTTGATTGCAAAATATGCAGCCCTGGTGTGTCCGCTTGTGCTGCTATACTCAGTGTACATTGTACTGTGCCACAGGTCAGCGCTGATGAATACGTGACCAAGCGCAGGTGGTCAAGGTGGACTGTTTGCCATAGAGTACTGTAAAAGCCGTCATTCTAACGAGGCGCTTATAATAACGATTTCCCAAAATTGGCTGGTTTACGTGTACCAAAGGTAACGATTGTCACTCATTATCAACGCTCAATAGGACAGTATATGTATCGATTCCTGTATAACGATTTCTATTTTAACGACAGATTTCTCCTCGTTAACTCGTTAGAGTTAGCACTTCGTTATACTGTATAGCAGGAAATTTTCGGACGGAAATATTTTCGGACAAAGCCGAATTTCGACCTTTCGTCCGGGTTTTATTTTCGTACAGTGCTGCATGCTAAATGCACGTGTTCGCAAGCAGTACCCATGTATAGTGTTCATAATTTCACATGAACAAATTTTAGTACGGAATTAATTTTAGTACAAAAGAAGCCGTGTGCGAAATCGTACGAAAATAAATTCCGTCCGAAAATTTCCTGCTATACAGTATATATATATATGGCTTTTACAGTATCTAGTACCAAGGCCTGTCTCGTATACCGGCCTGCTGTTCAAGATGCACTGGCGGCACACAGACCTGGTTTTAGCGTTGGTGTACGTAGAAATGGCTGATTCGGATAGAAGCCTGATGTGAATAGAAGCCTAGCACTGACAATGGCTTTACAGTACAAAGCCCGGCTTTAGTACGCGGCATTACTGTATGTTTGGTTCAACTGATTTCTTATACCCAGGTCTACTGCCTCGGCATGAACAGCAGCCAACCGATGACATTCCTGGTGCCGTCGCGCGACTCTCACTCGTACTCGCACTTCTACGGCCCGCGCACTCTCCTCGGACGGGCCGAGGCTAACTGCTCGGGCCCGCTGCGCAGGGACGAGTGGAAGCGGAAGGGAGTGACGCTCTTCTTCAGGATGCGACTGAACACGACGAGCATGTCGATCGTGCAGAGCGACCACACGTTCACCTACAGCCACGGCGTCGCGCACCCGCTCGGCTGGGCCGGCGACTGCTACTCGCGCTCGCCACACTGCCCTCGCGGCTCCCTCCGCATCAACCTGAGTGGCAGCGGCATGCAGTTCGACGGCCGCCCACCGTGGCGGCTACGCGGCCAGGCGGTGGGCCACGCCGTCATAGACTTGCTGTCGCCGTGGCTGCTGACGGGAAAGTGCGGCGGCTGGTGTGGCCAGTGTCGGCTCTATGATATCCGTGTCAAGCCCGACCTTTGCTGAACACCGGAGAATATCTATCACAAAACAATTTCTGAGATTTAATTCTATATTTGAAGTGGTCGCTCTTTTCTGCTGTGCTTTCTCACTTTCTTCTTCCTTTCTCGATCATTCTCGCTTGGCACACCATTCCGTTTTGTCATGGTTGTCTTTCACCGTTTATCTCAAAACAATTATTGGTAGTCAACTGACATACCAGGAGATGTATATATACTTCAAGGTACACACGGGTAGAGTTGTTACGGCAGTTACAGCAGAAACGCTTTGATTCCTTCTTTCAAGTGTGTGTACTTCAAAGTAGACAATACAGTACTAGTGACATACTCTGTACTCTGTACTCCGTAAACCTCATTTGTGCCGCTTGCTAGTAACGTAGTAATGCTACTTGAAGTACTAGTAGTACACTGGTTTTAAAACGAAAATCAAGAACTCTAAGTCTTATCAGTTATTACTTATCAGTCTGCAAGAATGAGTAACTTGATGATCAGGATATGAGTGCCATCAAGCTTACCGGTATTCATTTTACTCTTGATGCCGTGTACATTGTAGATCTACTTACAAGTACTAGTATACATGTTACAGTTATTTGCCGCGTCTGTAATGGATAAGATGTGAATGGCATCGGTGATCTCAATGATTGATGGTACAGTCATGTACATGTACTTCAAAAGTAGGATCATTACTTTCACAGTACATTTTGCTAGTTCATGCTTCCGTGAACACGTTATACCTTTGTGTTGGGAATCCCAGTCTATAGCCGAGGTCAGTTCATGTCACATTGTGTACCGTGGACACTGGCTGCCACACATACCTGTGACCCATATTGTCACCCATACTGCTTGTGCTGCTACGCCTAAATCCATTCCCCTTCAAAATCACAACACAGAAGAATGGAAGCTGGTTGGCCTCCGTGACTACAGACTAGGCCCAGACAGATCCTGCCGGCAATTCTTTCGGCAAAATATCGAAGAATTGAAAGAGCGGAAATTGCCGGCAAAATCGGGGCAAAATATCGAGATGCTGGGTAAAATCGATGCCTGATACTTGGATTTCCTTGTTTCTTACCCGTTCAGCAGGATACAATGCCCAGGACAAGATCATGTCACCGAAATATCACTGGGAATACCGGATTCACTGTGCTGTCCCCGGGGAAAATTGCGATTCCGCGGCCGCGTTTTTTGCGATTTTTTAAAAGACCGCGTTTTCCGCGATTTTCCCGCGTTTTTTGAACTTTTTTGTTGCACTACACGTACACACAATGCACTGTTCGGTCAGCAACGTTACGTCTCATCGTGGCGGCTTTTTTTTTACTCAAATATGACGAGTGCTTACACCAGAGACTTGTAACTGATTGATTTCACTACATACTCACTGAAAATTGCCGCACATCAATATTATTCACCGCATATTTACCGCAAATTCACCGCAAATTATGCCATATTATGCCGCGTTTTTCCCCGCGTTTTTTGCGATTTTTTCCGCAATTTTCCCCGGGGACAGACTGTGGATCGACATGATTTTGGAAGAACTCAGGGACACGTGCGTGGAAACCCGTGTTGAGAAACCGACCCTGCGATTTTTGTGAAAATTAATGTTGTACGGGATTGTACCATGTGTACGGGAAGTGGATAAAATACACGTTTTCCGGAGCAAAATGGAGCAAAATATCGAGTTTCTTGTGCCAGGCTCGGCAAAATATCGAATTTTTTCGCAGCAACATTTTGCGGCAAAATATCGAGACGAGCGGAGCAGAATCTGTCTGGGCCTACTACAGACAGTGTCCCCTACAACTAGAAAGGCTCTCTCCGGCTGCCCCTATTACCCCCCCCCCCGCCCCCCCCCCCCCTACCGGATCAAGTGTCATTGAACTTACTTGAAGAGACCTAATTAATTCCCGTAGCTATGCAACCGTAGTCTACGTTAAAAAAAAAAAAAACCCGTAGTCTACGGGTCCCGTATACCGTAAAATGACTATGTACTAATGTAGTGCGTACCGTAGCATAGGATGGGCTGGGGAAATATGGGGACACACGTCAGTTTCGTTAGGAAGGAGATTTAGCGGAGCAAGAAAAGGCCCCAGCTTTGGCTGCTGGATGCTAGCCCGGTGGGTGCCAACCTCCTACCTTCGGCCGAGTGCTGATGGAGCGGAGTAGAAGGAAAAGAAAGAAGATTATTGCGCTTTAGAATACAATTTCGATAACGGATATACCGGTAAGTGGCTGGCTAACTAAAACGTGTACGCTTGTACTCTTGTACTCTTTCACGGATACCATGATATTTCTGTGAGAGTAGGAGATCCCTGGACGGGCCTAGGGCCAGGGGTAGGGCCAGGCTAGAGCCTCTGGTATAGTAATTTCACACATATCAGCGATCATCAGACAGCAGCATTTCCCACAAAAATACAAAATACTGCACACAATTACAAATCTAAATATATTTAAAATTACTAAAGGTCATGAATCATGATGTCTTCATTCGTGCTGCACTGGCATGGCATGGCGCCTACGTTGTACTTGTAAGTAATACTAATACTAATAGTTGTAATGCATGACTCGACTGCAGAGTCGGTCACTCAATCAATGCATGCATGCAGAGACAGTTGAAGCTAAGTAACTAAGACTAAAGTCCTGCTACAAAGCTAGCTAGCTAGCTAGCGCTAGAGCTAGCGTATATATACTTCAAGGTACACACGGGTAGAGTTGTTACGGCAGTTACAGCAGAAACGCTTTGATTCCTTCTTTCAAGTGTGTGTACTTCAAAGTAGACAATACAGTACTAGTGACATACTCTGTACTCTGTACTCCGTAAACCTCATTTGTGCCGCTTGCTAGTAACGTAGTAATGCTACTTGAAGTACTAGTAGTACACTGGTTTTAAAACGAAAATCAAGAACTCTAAGTCTTATCAGTTATTACTTATCAGTCTGCAAGAATGAGTAACTTGATGATCAGGATATGAGTGCCATCAAGCTTACCGGTATTCATTTTACTCTTGATGCCGTGTACATTGTAGATCTACTTACAAGTACTAGTATACATGTTACAGTTATTTGCCGCGTCTGTAATGGATAAGATGTGAATGGCATCGGTGATCTCAATGATTGATGGTACAGTCATGTACATGTACTTCAAAAGTAGGATCATTACTTTCACAGTACATTTTGCTAGTTCATGCTTCCGTGAACACGTTATACCTTTGTGTTGGGAATCCCAGTCTATAGCCGAGGTCAGTTCATGTCACATTGTGTACCGTGGACACTGGCTGCCACACATACCTGTGACCCATATTGTCACCCATACTGCTTGTGCTGCTACGCCTAAATCCATTCCCCTTCAAAATCACAACACAGAAGAATGGAAGCTGGTTGGCCTCCGTGACTACAGACTAGGCCCAGACAGATCCTGCCGGCAATTCTTTCGGCAAAATATCGAAGAATTGAAAGAGCGGAAATTGCCGGCAAAATCGGGGCAAAATATCGAGATGCTGGGTAAAATCGATGCCTGATACTTGGATTTCCTTGTTTCTTACCCGTTCAGCAGGATACAATGCCCAGGACAAGATCATGTCACCGAAATATCACTGGGAATACCGGATTCACTGTGCTGTCCCCGGGGAAAATTGCGATTCCGCGGCCGCGTTTTTTGCGATTTTTTAAAAGACCGCGTTTTCCGCGATTTTCCCGCGTTTTTTGAACTTTTTTGTTGCACTACACGTACACACAATGCACTGTTCGGTCAGCAACGTTACGTCTCATCGTGGCGGCTTTTTTTTTACTCAAATATGACGAGTGCTTACACCAGAGACTTGTAACTGATTGATTTCACTACATACTCACTGAAAATTGCCGCACATCAATATTATTCACCGCATATTTACCGCAAATTCACCGCAAATTATGCCATATTATGCCGCGTTTTTCCCCGCGTTTTTTGCGATTTTTTCCGCAATTTTCCCCGGGGACAGACTGTGGATCGACATGATTTTGGAAGAACTCAGGGACACGTGCGTGGAAACCCGTGTTGAGAAACCGACCCTGCGATTTTTGTGAAAATTAATGTTGTACGGGATTGTACCATGTGTACGGGAAGTGGATAAAATACACGTTTTCCGGAGCAAAATGGAGCAAAATATCGAGTTTCTTGTGCCAGGCTCGGCAAAATATCGAATTTTTTCGCAGCAACATTTTGCGGCAAAATATCGAGACGAGCGGAGCAGAATCTGTCTGGGCCTACTACAGACAGTGTCCCCTACAACTAGAAAGGCTCTCTCCGGCTGCCCCTATTACCCCCCCCCCCGCCCCCCCCCTACCGGATCAAGTGTCATTGAACTTACTTGAAGAGACCTAATTAATTCCCGTAGCTATGCAACCGTAGTCTACGTTAAAAAAAAAAAAAACCCGTAGTCTACGGGTCCCGTATACCGTAAAATGACTATGTACTAATGTAGTGCGTACCGTAGCATAGGATGGGCTGGGGAAATATGGGGACACACGTCAGTTTCGTTAGGAAGGAGATTTAGCGGAGCAAGAAAAGGCCCCAGCTTTGGCTGCTGGATGCTAGCCCGGTGGGTGCCAACCTCCTACCTTCGGCCGAGTGCTGATGGAGCGGAGTAGAAGGAAAAGAAAGAAGATTATTGCGCTTTAGAATACAATTTCGATAACGGATATACCGGTAAGTGGCTGGCTAACTAAAACGTGTACGCTTGTACTCTTGTACTCTTTCACGGATACCATGATATTTCTGTGAGAGTAGGAGATCCCTGGACGGGCCTAGGGCCAGGGGTAGGGCCAGGCTAGAGCCTCTGGTATAGTAATTTCACACATATCAGCGATCATCAGACAGCAGCATTTCCCACAAAAATACAAAATACTGCACACAATTACAAATCTAAATATATTTAAAATTACTAAAGGTCATGAATCATGATGTCTTCATTCGTGCTGCACTGGCATGGCATGGCGCCTACGTTGTACTTGTAAGTAATACTAATACTAATAGTTGTAATGCATGACTCGACTGCAGAGTCGGTCACTCAATCAATGCATGCATGCAGAGACAGTTGAAGCTAAGTAACTAAGACTAAAGTCCTGCTACAAAGCTAGCTAGCTAGCTAGCGCTAGAGCTAGCTGTGACTTGTGTGCTGGGTGCACGTGATGTTTTGCCTGTGGGAACGCGAGGGAGTTCCCCTCACATGTTACAGTGCACTGTGTGGCCACACTCGGACCAAGCATGCACTGCTGCAGTGCATGCTTGGTCCGAGTGTGGCCAATCTTGGTTTTATCGGGTAGATTAGATCTACGACTCGTACATCAGGATCGATCCGTAGTCGGGCTAGAGTAGAGCTAGAGGTCAGAGTCATCTCCTCTCGATCTACTCGCGATGTCGATGGCCCAGGCCAGGAGAGTCCACGAAGCTGGCAGTGGTAGTCTACATCCACAACTAAACAAGCTACTCGTAAATTTTCTAGCAGGGAGTCGTATGTAAAAATGGTGCTTATGTAATGTTATGTGCAACTAAACTGGTCAAGACAAGAGTCTCGAGTGCCACTAGTGACAGCGGCCGTCAAGCGTGCGTGTGGGTGTTATTTTCGGTGACAAGCCGCCGCTTCGGACTGGCAGACACGACGTTGGCTGGTGCTTTTTCCAGCTTGGAGCTGTTGACGGGATAGATCGCAAGCTCGTGACATGAGGTGGCGTGAAGGCGAGATGTGCGGTCCTCTTGAAGTGGTCATTGCCAGTCAGGGTTTCACTCACAAAAAGCAAAACAACCATTTACTAAAGTCTTTCAGCGATTGAACACGCGTTCAGATACGTACCGGTACGTACATCACTGTACAGTCGACTAGTCATCAGGCGACTCGCGACTACGACTATGTCACAGTACAGTCATGTATTTCCGCTTGTCGAACATTTGAGATTTGAGTATCCGCTTGTCAATGTTACACTGAGAGTGAGAAAACACTTTTTTCGTCCACTTATTATTGCTTGTTTACACTGCACTGATAATAAACATGATAATAATCATGATAATAAACATGGCATTGTGGTATTATTACAATCATGTACTTACCGCATGCATACGCCCTACTGGGAGTACTGCGTAGTCTCCAGGATAGTATTATGTTCCTAATCAAACAGTCAGCCAAGAATTTGAAGAAAGCATACCCAGGAAACAATGAGCTTGCTCTGCGTTGAATGCAGACACCAGGACACCGAGTGCTGGAACTGGCATCCCAGCATGGGGTCTCTTTGTGTCGCAGCCTCGCAGGTCCGCCTAAACGTCGGTCGTGCACGTGGTCGACCAGCTTTCCGAACCCTTCATTGGCCTTCTGCTTCGTGACTACAGTACAGTACTCAGTAGTCGACTGTGGACTGCATAGGTCTACATGGTGTAGTCCATTAGCATGTGTGTAGTCTGACCTGATCAACTCGGCCGAGGATCGGCTTGGTGTTATCATGCTGTGCATGCTGGCTCAGTTCCACATGATTGTGTCTACCTACTGTGATCATGGTGATCATGGTGGTAGATGGAAATACCTTCCGACTGAATACATAACTCCAGACAAAATGTCTGATAGCACACGACTCGCGAGTCCTCGATCCTTGGGCCTGGCCTTTTCTCCAATGACCAGATCATCGCAGATGACATCCCATGCAAGCCGGATAGGACGGGGTGGGAATGTGACCCAGCTGCCGAACTGATTATGAAAAATGCAGAGATAAAAAAGGACAGGAAAAAGGCAATGCAATGCAATGCGCGATGCGCGCATGCATGCACGAAGCGTGCTTGCACGAGGTATGTTCGTGCATTTGTGACACATACAGAAAAGCAAGTGCATGCTTTGCGCTTGCGTTGCAGCAGTGCAGCATGCTAACAGTGCACTGAGTCTGTATTACTAGTGTATCATGGTATTATTACTAGTACTGACACTGTCTGTGTATGCAAGCAGTCTAGATCTCAACTGAAGTCCTGAGGCTGAGGAACAAAGAGCCACACACGGCTGAATTCGTGTGAAGTGAAGAAGTGAAAATCACTCATATCAGCGACAGGGTTGGCGGCGATCGTGTTCGTGACTTGGACGGTGTCACTGTGTTTGGCTCAGGGTTAAACCTTCTTTCTGACTATCGTGTTCCTTCCTGTGTGCATGCTGTAGCATCCACGGCAGATCCGTCTGTTTGTTTACTGTACTACTAGAGCCACTGGTGTCCAGAACCGCACCACCACCTGCTGACAGGGTCTGTACGCTGTGCGTGTCGAAACGATGTTGAGATTTCCCCGTTGTGTTCAGCGCACCAGCGTCAGTGCAGGTGCAGTTGTATCAGCTAGAAACAAGGATGTTTCGACTGATCCCGTTGTCACGGGAAAACATCATTCTCCAGTCTCGGCTGCCGTGACTCGAAGTGCGTGCACTTCCATTCAGAAACGCAGTTTGTCGACTCGAATCGGCCGCGGAATTACGCAAACACACGTTGCCGAAGCGTCCAGTTTCTCCGACAGCGATGCATTGGCCAGTGGAACTCGTCGCCGACCTCAGGCCAATACTCGCAGTCAGCTGAAGGACAGCCGAGTAGTGGTGGTGAAGCTGGGAAGCGCCGTGATCACCCGGGAAGATGAGTGCGGCTTAGCCTTGGGTCGGCTGGCATCCATTGTTGAACAGGTACGTCGTCGTTACGTTACGAAAATGCTACTGCATGCTGGTGCATGTGGATTGGCCGTTAAAAACTTTGTGTTTTATTAGAGGTCTGTAGTTCTCTCCTGTCCACGCAATTATTATTTCATTCATTTTCCGGCAGCATGACAGTGACACTTCACTGTTGCCTTGATAAGGCCATACTACGTGTCTACGTGACGTCTGTACAGTGGAGCCCTGTGTTCAGCGCTCAGCACACGTGGTCTTTCTTGAAACAGATACTACCAGCAAAACTAGACTGGTCGAGGCGTTTAGTACACTATCGTTTGCAAGGCCTGAAATTTCACCCAATTTTAAAAGAAATCAACACGAAAAGCCCTGAAATGTTAAAGACCGGCGCCTATTTCGAAAACTGAAGTGGTATACAAGTCATGTACTTGTAACACTCCAGAGGCAGTAGGCTTAGGTTCTGCGAAAGTGCTCAATGCCTGATTAAGGCAGAGCAGCGTGCACAAAGGCACACAATGAAAACCTTGGGAAATTCCGTTGTGACTCGGAGTTTCATGGCTGAACCAATCATCAGACAAGGAACGGTTGTTGTCTGATGATTGGTTCAGCCATGAAACTCTGAGTCACAACGGAATTTGCCAGGGTTTTCATTGTGTGCCTTTGTGTACTTGTAATGCTAGTAGTAGTAATATTATGACTCTGCAGGTACGTATGCCGTAGTGTGGTCTGGTGCCTGGCAGGGCCAGTCTCTGAGGGCAGGCAATCCCTTATCACATGTGCAAGGGTCAGACAGCACTTCAGTATCTCCCAGTAAACAAAGTCACAGTCCCCACTTCCGCTGCATAGCTCGCTGAGCATCCCATTGCTTTGTAAGTTGCTAATCCCTTCCCACTTTGTGTACGTGTTCTTCATTTTCTTTTTTTTCTCTTCTTCCGTGGTTGGTCTCACCCTCTCCTCAATTCAATTGGCTGTCTTGACATGCCACGAGGTGCAGAAATAAATAAATAAATAAGGCGGGTTTTACAGTGTGCTGAGGAGATTCCGTGTCCACTGTAATTAAATAGTCCCTGCATCCGGCGCGATTGGCTGCTCCTTGTAGGGTCTGGCGGATTCTGCCGGCAGAAAAATTGGCAGAATTCGGCACTTTTTCTGGTTAGTTCCATGCATGTTTGGTATGTGGACAAAAAAATGGAGCAGAATTCGAGGGATTGCCCGCCATTAGGTTTGTATGGTTCTGCCAATTTCACTGCTTTTTGAACAGAATCCGCCGGTGCCTAGCTCCTTCGCTTTAGAGTTACACGGTCCGGTGTTTTGTCGGAGCATGCAGTGCACTCTGAGAGTTGCACTGGCTTTGGCTCGCAATACAGACTTTAACACACAGGCACGGCACCAATTCGAGTTGTCCGGGCGTGGGGGGGGGGGGGGGGCATGTGGTATCTCGGTGACTCCAAAAATGGGCCACGCTTTTAGACACAATTTTGCACTCGTTTTGTACTACCATAGTATAATTTTGCATGTGTATGTTGCTAGACTAGTTTCTAAATGCTCGTTTTCATCATCAGGACCCCTACCCCCGATCCCATTGAGATGCCAAGCCTTAGGGAAATCCTTCAAATACAGTAGCGACAGTACAAAAATTCAAGTTTACTCTCTGCATGGACTCTTCAGACTCAAGCGGGTGTGTATGCAGTGCAATGCACGGTGAACCCTTCCCGTAAAGAGTCCATTCAGGGGGTTGTGGCCTCTTTATGGGATGCTGTGCCAGTGCACTCGAGCCACACAGGTAAGGTACTGCAGCTTGTCCCTGTTCGGTGCACTGCACAGGCCGCACAGCGACTGGTGCAACGCATCAGTATGGGACAGCGCACAGGACCCTGAAGACAAGTAGTAAACATTTGATTAAGAGCATACTTTCTGGGAAGTCGCACCAACCTCTTCTTCACATTAACGGTTGTGACCATCTTAATAAACTAAAATGAAAAAATTTTATATTTTTTTACAGAAATGAGGTGCAAAAAAGAAAGAAGACGTGAGCAATAAAAAACACCCAGGGCAAGGAAGAACACATTTTAGAACAGTGCAACAAATCAACTAACTGGAGGTCTTCACTGATTATGATCATGTTTTTTCTGTCTTCCAGGTGGCTGAGCTGCAAGGAAAAGGCAAGCAGGTTGTTCTAGTGACCAGCGGTGCTGTGGCGTTCGGCAAGCAAGTCATAAACCAGCAAAATCGCTTGTCGCAGAGCGTTCGGCAGGCCATCAACTCTGGCAAGGTACGGCAGCACGACAGCAGCATTCCAACTTTAGCTTTAACTTTGTCACCTTTGTCAGCTGTACGGTACAATTTGGACTGCACTGGAACCGAAAGGAACAGAACCCCATGTTGCTCAGCGATCCCTGATTGATAGGACCTGGTTCTTTTTTCATGAAAAGGGCACACCGTTCAGTGCACCTGCTTTCTCCACCGGTGCACTAACTCACAACAACATGATGTGCATCAAGTTGAGTACTAGCTGAGCTAATCGAGCTGTTGTCATTGCCTTCAAGTGAGCTGAAATACACTAAAACCTCAGTATTGTGTACCTGAAGAGGTCATACAATTCTGTACTTTATAGCCGAGGTACTGCATATTCCAAGGTCACATGACTGGTATAGGTGCGACTGCGGGGTCCTCAAATGCACTGCATTGTATCCCATAGTATGTTATCCCACAAACTAACTCTCCTCCTCCATGCGCTCTAAAGCCGACCATTGCATTGCATTGCTTTAGAGCGCATGGAGGAGGAGAGTTGGTATGTCAGTGTATTGTTCGACAGCCGAATGGTACCGTTCACAGTTTTATTGATATTAGTATGTTATCCAGTGTTACTTATGATAAACTGTTTCAGGCATGACTATAGACTTAGCCTCATTGACTGTCTTCGAAAGGAGCACCCGGCTGTTCTATTTACGGTGCTATCCATCACTTGTTCAGTCTTTCTTTCTTTCCAAACGTAAACGTATGTAGTGTATACTTTTACGTTTGGAAAGAAAGAGGATTATACATGATATAGGAATGATGTGCATGTGTTAGCGCGATGTCTTAGTGGGATGCTTGATCAGTAAAGGTACTGCTTCCTGCTCACTGTGTGCAGGATGGGACGTTTCTGGAGCCGCGCGCCTGTGCCGCCGTGGGACAGTGCGGACTCATGTCGATGTATGAAGCCATGTTTTCGCAGTACGGACTTGAGACGGCACAGGTAGGTGGTGAATGCATGCTGGGTTAGAGGTGATTATAGGTGTATATGTTCTGTGTGTGTGTATGGGGGGGGGGGGAAGGATAGGTAGAGGGCGTATGGAATTCAGTGTATTGGCATCCCTTTGGCTTATACCAGTGTCTATGCCGGAAAATATCCATGCCAGACTGATGCCCCCCCCCCCCCCCCAGCTGTACCACAATACCGTCGGTCGATTGCTATCCAGGGGCTGGTGTTGGAGTTGGTATTGCTAAGCAAATGACATCCACTTGGGTTGTACTCTCGAATACTGAAAGCCATTGTCTGGAGATGTTTCCACGGTACACGTAACACTAGTTAGACCTCCTTCTATCTCTTCTTTTCCACATATGTACGTCACATACAAAGGCGAATGTGTACACGTTGCCACTTTCACTGGATTGGCTGTCATAGTGCTTTGCCGACAAGATGGAAAGTTTGACTGGCCATTACAATCATGACGACTGACAATCAGGACACGACCGCCGAGACGTGCATACGAACGCAGTTACTAGTGCTCGGCGTACAACACGAGTACACGCACATAGAAAATGCCAGCACTATCGGCTGCATCAAGCATACCACGTCACTTTTACCTAGTAGATATTTGAAATGAAAACCAAAACCGCTGTGCGCATCATTGGTGAATTTTCAAGTGATATCGTTGTGCCAGTCGTAGTGTCAGTACAAGTCTAGTCCTTTTTGCCACATTCGACTGAGGAAGGGAATGCCGAAGGATAAGGAGTAAAAAAATGTGGCCAGGGCAGGCTAGGCTTAACATAATTCAGACAGATATTCCAGTGCAACGTGCATAGAGAACAAGGTCCAAAACCTATTTTCATATCTAAAAGTGGGCTTGAGCCGAAAATCGGCCAATATTGGATATTAAAGCCGCCGGGATAATCGATGATTTTGGAGGATCTTACCTGTAGCTATGCAAGACAGTTTAAATGCACCGTATATGTTGTGTCCTGATCCCCATGCACACAAGCATCCAGCAAGCACCAGTAGATTGGGGGGGGGGGGGGAGCCATGAACAAAAGCATGCGCAGTGTGATCATGCTAGTGCTACAGAAGTAGGTATATTACTACTATGTACAGTACACATGAGTACCTATCTAACCTGATTGGAAATTTTTATTTCCATTGCTATCAGGTTCGGCCTCATTTCTCTGTGCTGCGCTGATGAGTTCAAAAAGAACGAAACAGCATGCTGTCCGCAGATTGAGTAACAAGAGTACATATATAACAGTATATCTGGTGTATCACACTAGCTGTGTTGTGTTGTATTGGTGGTGTCCAGGTGCTACTCACGAAGCGTGATCTGACAGGCAGTCAGAGTGAGAATTTCCAGGCGACAATGTTCGAGCTCATGAAGATGAACATCATACCGATCCTGAACGGCAACGATAGCGTGGCAGCCCCGCCAGAGACCGGCGCTGATCTGGAAGGAGTGAGTCTGCCGCCTCTGGGCGTTCTTTTTTTGCTGCATCGTCGTTCAGGAATAATGCGAAGCATGTAAAGTTGACATGTGTGGTATGTTGTTGCATTGGTGTGCTTGAAGAGCGCAGTTCAACCACTATAGTTGCTGGTGCATGTATCACCAAACCTTCGAAGCTCATGTCTTTAGTAGAAAGAAAAAGGTGGTGATGGGGGGGGGGGGGGGGATCCACAGGTCAAACCGACCATGCCCACAAATTGACTGCCCTGAACGTCCGTGTAACATGTGAAGCATGTAGAGTTGACACTTGTGATATGTTGTTGCATTGGTGAACCTGCAGAGCGCAGTTCAACCACTCTAGTTGCTTATGTATGTATTCGGAGAAGTTTTAATATGTAGTTTTCGGTAGGATTGGGAGAACTTCACAAATTCAAAGGATCAGTCTGGGAAGTGATTTCCGGGCAGTTCACTTCCCCGAATGATCCTTTGAATGTAGTTTTGCGTTAAAACAAGTCATGCTGCCATCTGTTTTCATTATTGCGAAGGTGCTCAGCGTCAAGGATAACGACAGCCTTGCCGCCATTGTAGCTGATCACATCAACGCCGATCTGCTGGTGTTGCTGTCTGATGTACGCGGCGTGTACACGGGCCCACCGGGCAAGGCCGACTCGCGCTTCATGGAGACCTGCTATCTGCCGGCACAGTCGGCCTCGGACAACATCGGCGTCACGTACGGCACCACGTCGCGTGTCGGCCTCGGTGGCATGAAGTCCAAGGTAAGCACACTGCTGTATGACGGTAGATGCGGATATACATGTATAGTGGTGGCAGCTGAAATCCAACCCCTGCTTGGTGCGCTCAAATTTCAAAGACCCGCTGCACGCTTGTAACACTACGAAATAGCGACCGCTAGAATCTGTGCTGCATTCGTGCACAAAAAGCAGGGGTCGGATTTCAGTTACCATCACTGTACAAGGGCTATATGACCGTGGGTATGTATGTACAAGGACTATAGAACTGTGGATATGGATGTACAGTGAAACCTGTCAAAGACGACCGCTCAAGAGACCCTCAAAACGTGGTCTCTCTTACCAGGTGGTCTCCTTATCCAGGGCCATTTGGCTGGAAATAGCATCTCTTGGTCCTGGTTTCAGTGGTCGCGTTGACAGGTTTGACTGTACATGCAGCTGGTAAGGAAGTGAAATACGCTGGTTGGATCGGGTACACTCTGCTAGACTTTCCAGGGGCTCTGTTTCTGAAGTGCTATGTGGGTCAGTGTTCCGGCAGGTCTATGGCTGTACAGTGCCCGCTGTGTACTGGACTCGCTTGATTGGATTTCATTGAGCAGTACAGTATACTAAAATGATGCCTAGACCGGCCGAAAAAATACGTGCATCAGAAGTGTGGTCAGGCGCGCCGGAACCAGTCTGGTTGGTCAGGTCATCACCAGACCAACTTGTTGGCCACCAACGCATGTTCACTGCTGAGGAGGTTATGCTTTACCCACTAGATCATACACAAAGAGTGAAATCCGGCTGTGCTATGGCCAGACCAATCGAAAACTGCTTCTCCGGGCGGTCCTGGTGCTCCTATATAGGGTAAGCAGCAGTTTTAGGCCTGTTTATCAATGAAGTAATTCCACCTGCACCGAACGCGCTCTCTGGCCGACCTCACAAACCAGCAACGTGACTCCAAGTTGTAGATACTGACAACTAATTGTTTCCCTCCACTGATACAGCGCTGTTTCGACCACTATAGGTCTCATCAGTGAAGGTTGAGAATAACGGATGGCTAGAATAAAATTGAAAGCACAGTTTTATACATAGAACAAAATGAAGAAGCTGTTTGTACAGGAGTATTGTACGCATGATTGTATTGACTTGTAAGCACTTCCATCCCCGAACAGACCTGATGATGTCCAATGGCAATGGGAGAAATAGTGGCAGTCCTTTCATTCATTTTGTGCAGCTGAGAGCCAGTTTGGGGAATGGAAGTTTTTACAAGTCAGGGCCGCCAGATCCGGTCAGGATGGTCCGGCCATAACTGGACCACTTTCCCAGCTGGATGGCCAATGTGATTCGTGCAAAACCAGTGTTAAAGTATTCGGATGTGCATGACTGTATTGTCGACATGTCATGTGCTTCGAAGTAGCTCAGGTCAGACTTCGTGACGAGGAAGCTGTTCTGCAGCACGACCGCTCACCTTCCACCAACGACTGAAAAGCAGCACCAGTCACTCCGACCTATCAAAAATGCATGCACTCAACATTGGAAACGAGCGAAAACATCGCACAAGACAGAAGAGACGAGTCCGGCGATCGAAAGAGATACAATGTAAGATCGAGGAAGCCGAAAAAATAATCGTTCGTTCTATAAGCCGGGTAAGCTCACGCAGAGTGTGCGCACGCATACACGGAATGCATGTGCTGAAGTACATGTACATGTACGTGTACACCAGGTCGTTCCAGGGACTGAAGCCCTGTGCAGAGAGTCAATCGTATCCATAGCATACACAGAGAAGTCGATCGTATCAATAGCATACACAGAGAAATCGACACGATCCTTCAGTACGAGATCGTATATTTTATAGTAAGTTACTGAAGTCTTTATCGATCGTTTTTCACCTTTTCCTTGCAGTGTTCGATCTCTTGGATGCTACCATCATCGGTACTGTGCGACTTATGAATAGTAAAAAGTTGTGTTTGTGTTCTTTGACTATGATTTTCCGCATTTCCGCAGCCTCGCGAGATGCCCAAATTCGCCCTATTTCACGTAAATTTTCAAAAATTCTCCCGCGGGAGGTCCCGGGATCCCCTCAAAGATCGGCCCAACCACTCCAAACTCCTTCCCCCGGCCCTGCAAGTGGAAGAAAAATGATACAGTGGAGTTGGAGAGTTCTTAGGAAATGATTGTTTTGATACTACACGTCATGCACTGTACCGGCCGGTTCATACTTCATGTTGCGTACGGGAAACGCGTCGCGTCGCGAAAAAGTTGATCTGAGCTCAACTAGTTCGCGTACGGGAAACCCATCGCGCGACGGTCGCGCGATGGGTTTCCCGTACACGAGATGAAGTATGAATCAGGCTTAAGACATGTAAATATAATAACTGGTACGGGCAAGAACTCAAACTCAGAGACACGTGCACAGGCACACTCTCCGAACACGCAAATAGGCACACTCTCCGAACACGCAAATGGGACAGCACACCATTAGACGTTCTGGATTACTCCTTGCAAACGACTTCTGCCATAACTAAAACAAAAGGAAAGGGGAAAATGGCCAGCAAAGGCACAGCGCGCTTGCGCCACCACATACAACTTTTACAAGTACACGTGACACAAAAGGAATCATAGTGCGAGCATGACTCATACTCATAGTCATAGCACATACAGCACAGCGCAGTTGTACAAGTGCATGATCACGGGTACAGAAGGTTTTCAAAAATACGAATAATTATTATTTATCATTAGAGCAGCTCAAACAACTACAGGTTTGAAGCGGAAATAAAAATTGAAGACAGACGGAGAAGCAAAGAAGAATGCGATCAGACAGGAGGAGAGGATTTTCAGTGTCAGTAGAACAATAGCATGGACACTCGTAATAACAGAATAGACGACATGGCTGTAGACTGGGGCATATCCACGTGCGCGTTTGCACCAACGTGACTCACAGGAAAATAAATAAATAAACGAACAAGGTAAGGTCCAACGAGGATCATTTAAGAGGCTATCTTGAAACATGTGCAAATAGGCAAGTGACGACAACAACAGCGAAGAAGTATATCAACGTTTTAACGAGTTCCGTTTCTTCATTATAATACGTTCTGTTGAGGCTGTCATGCCTCATATGTGTTATGTGCGGATAGGCTGCAAGATCGTTAACGTATCTTCTCGTTTATACCCTATGAATTTTGGACAATGGTTAATTTTAAACATGTCTTACAGTAAATGTGCTTGGTTGTCGTACACACTGTGATGTAGGTTGAGTCGGCGGTGTTCGCCCTGCACCGCGGCGTGGCCGTTGTCATTGCCGACGGAACCATGGCAACCAACGGCAACGTCATCCTCGACATTGTCAACGGGAAGCGAGTCGGCACCTTTTTCACCAAGGAGCTGCCGGCGGATCAGCGCGATGTGGCCGATCAGGCAACATGTGGTAAGTTGTAGCTATTCGTGATGGCTTTTAAAATGCCATGTGTGTCTATGGTCTAAAAGCTACCTCCACAAGGTGCTCGGATGTGGTATGTGGTACGCTCAGATGTGGTACATGTGGTACGTTGCGCTTGTAGCTATTCGTGATTGCTTTTAAAATGCCCTGTGCGTGTGTGGTCAGGCCTCTGTTAGGCTACCGTCTCAAGGTTGCCAGAAAACTGGCCTTTATATATCTAGGTAGTCTGTCAATTTCTAGCTCTTGTGTACTTCATTATGTAACAACACGGTGCGTGATTTGAGATGGCAAGTCATTAAGGCCTCATTTACACGACAACGATTGAAAAACGTTTTTCAATCGTTTTCGAAACGTTTTTGCTGTTTACACGAAAACGATAATCGTGTACACTGCAACACGTTTTTCGGCGCGCAATGGTCACGTGCAAGAAGTTGGCCTGGCGCAGGCTGGCGGTGGCATGTTTTGAGTACAGGGCTCGTACTAGAAAAACGTTTTTGCCGTTTACACGAGAACGAAACGGAACGAAAACGATTGAAAAACACTTTGAAGGCCGTTTTTTCATTTGAAACGTTTTTGAAACGTTTTTCAGCGTTGTCGTGTAAACGCTCTTATCAAAATCTGTGGAAGCGTATTCTTTTGAAAACGTTTTTGACAAAAACGTTTTTCAATCGTTGTGTAAACGAGGCCTAAGATTTGAATACAGCGAGTATCTTGCTAATACAGAGCTTAACCAAAAACTTCTTTTACTGTGTGAGTGCAACAAGATCTGCCATGATGACTACTATCATTGACTAGTAATTACTGCTCCAAGACACGTGGCGTCCATCATTTTACTGTTTGTTGTTGCCTGCAGCTCGATCGGGCAGTCGTAAACTGCAAGCAATGAAGCCCAAACAGGTGAGGGGATGCATGGCGGCTTGGACGTGTTCACGGGGTGGAAGAGCTCATGGGGAAATCGGAAGAATTACCGGCTTACTGCGCCTTCTTCAAATCTTGTGTAGCTTGAAATTCATACGGTTGCAGCCGGCTTCAGATGCCGGGGCGTTTACGGGGTATTCCACTTTGGTGATTGCATGGTGTAATCCAAGTACCGGACACCCTGAAAATGATCTAAGAGCCCCGGCAGCTGACTTGACCCTCACCTGGTGGCTTATGGAACTAATATTTCAGATACATGCACATGTAGGTACCTGTGTTATGTGCCTTTCTTTGTAAAGTTTAGGCAGTGAATGGGAGTTTCAGTCTTTGACCACCGTTTGTGGTGGGTCTGATCTACTCACCTCCCACCGCTCAGGAGCTACATCTGAGCCTTTGGTCCTAGAGGGTGGTGGTGTTCCCACGGCGGATGCGGATAACTCGGCCTCCAGCCAAGCGCGAACCGTGAATTTTTTCTTCTTCGTAAAGTTACATTACTAAAATTAGTTCTGTCCATGATTCACTTATGAACTATCCCAAACACTAGCTATCATGCGATATGTTTGTAGGAATCTAATCCCACCTGTGTGCGTGTGGCTTGTGCACTGCAGAGAAGCGAGATCATCCACACCCTGGCCGATCTCCTGGAGGACAACTCGGCCGATATCCTAGTGCAGAACGAGAAGGACCTGAGCGCCGCCACATCGCTGGCGCCCTCGCTCCGCGCTCGCCTGGAGCTTAGCGATGCCAAGATCTCCAGTCTGGCCAAGGGACTGCGACAGATTGCAGAGAGCTCTGACCAGGTATAGTTAGATCATCCGATTATTATGTTCTTCCTTTTTCTTTTTTTCCTTCTCTTGCCATGGCTAGCTAAGGCCCCATCCTGTGCATTGGCTTCTGCCTTTGGATGGTGAAATAATAAATAAATAAATAAATAAAAATACTGATTGATGCAATAAATGAGGAGCTGGAATGCAAAACCCGCTAAATCCATTTCATCACTTTTTGGATAGTAGCCAAAAAAGGATTAATGTTTTATGCGGTATGAAGTGCTGCAAGATCACACTAAGATGCTAGAGAGGAACCTGTGCTGTACTGCACATATTAAGACATGTGTGGTTATGCTTCTCCTTGTCCGGTGCAGTACGTCGGTCAAGTCCTGTCACGGCGCGAGCTTGCCGATGGTCTAGTGCTACGCCAGGAGACCGTGCCGCTGGGTGTTCTGCTGGTGATCTTCGAGTCGCGACCCGACGCTCTGCCACAAGTGGCATCGCTGGCCATCGGCACGGCCAACGGCCTGCTGCTGAAGGGCGGACGCGAGGCCAAGCACACCAACCAGTACCTTCACGGGCTGGTGCAGCGCGCACTGAAGATCCACGACGCCGCGGACGCAGTGCAGCTCGTAAGCGCGCGTGTGTGTGGCGGGGGGGGGGGGAGAGGTGTATGTGTGTGTGTGTGTGTGTGTGTGTGTGTATGTGTGTGTGTGTGTGTGTGTGTGTGTGTGTGTGCAAAGGTGTGTGTGTGTGTGTGTGTGTGTATAGTGGGGTACTTGTGGTCAAATCTGCGTATTCATAATAATTATAATAGTAACGCAATCATGTACTTTGAAGTGCTTTTGAAGTATTTTTAATGGCACTGGTCGGGTAGTTAAGTGTCGACTCAAGTAATATCAATTTTTCTTCAGAGTTGCTTTCCCTTTTCTTTCCCTCAAACGGATGAATATGTGGAGGAATGTGTTCGGGTTTGAAATTGTAATATTATTCAAAAAGGAGAAGGACAAAATGTTACGACTAATTGGCTCACCGTCCGAGTTGAATATTATTCAACTGTGTGTGCGTTCATGTACTCCTTGTTTTCGTACCCTACACTCGATTGTATCATTATAATGCCGGGGTCAAACATTCTGGAAAAACAACCACCTAGGACTACTAGTAGTCGGTCCTGAGCCGATATTCCAGGATCTCATGTTGTCCCAATGGCTACAATGGTGTTCGTCGATTGCATTTGGCTGTGTGTATTGTGGCTAATAATGGGGGTTTTCGGCACCTGTGCCAGTGGTTGTGAGACTTATTCCCTCACCCCACCGTTAGGTGCTGCATCTGCCACTGGGTTTACTGGGTGTTAGCAGCCGTTGTGAGTTCTCTTTGGGAATAGACAAAATAATTTACTTTTTTTGGCGTTAATTGTAGCTCAGCAATCGGGAAGACGTCGATGAGCTCCTTAAGCTGGACGACAAAATCGACCTGGTGATACCGCGCGGCTCCAAGGAGTTGGTGCGCCGGATCCAGGACGACAGCCAGGGCATACCGGTGCTGGGCCACTCCGAGGGTATCTGCCATGTGTACGTGGACAAGGATGTTGGCGACACGCAGCAGGCTGTCGACATTGGTGAGTCACACCAGCCCATACATGTAACTGCACTGCACTTGATCAAGTGTCTTGTGATGAGTTTTGTGTGATGGTAATCGCTGATGACGTGGAGATGAAGTCTCATCATGGATTTAGATTGACACGACTTTCTGCTATTAAATACCGGACCAATCAAAAACTGCTTCCGGCGGTCCTGTCATACGTTAAAGCACAATACTGAGTGTGAGTCACCCCCCTTCTCACCAGCACTTTCCCCGTCTCCCTTTCTTTCTCTTCATGTTACTTCAGTTGTTGACTCAAAGTGCAACTACCCTGCTGCTTGTAATGCTATGGAGACCCTGCTACTGCATCGATCACACCTGGAAAATGGGTTCATGTCGCTGGTCGTCGAAGCGCTTCGCTCAAACGGGGTGAGTCGAGAAGTTTTAATTAAATGAGAGAGTTGAGTACTCTGTATTGCAAGACTTGCGTGCTCACCTTCAAATAGCCAGTTGGTGAACTGCTGTGTTCTCTAGCCAGATTACCTGCTACCGGTATCAATGGCTAATAGTCTGCCAGTAGTTCACTTTGTACGGATGCCTCTTGTTCACAGTCAGTCAGAAATCCGGCTCCTGCAGGTTACCGGCTGCAACATCACTAAACAGTTACCTGTGCATGCTTGCTGGTCCAATGAAACAAGTGGTCTGCGATCACCCCTCATTGCGTAACAGTTAGAGCAATGATATTTACAGATGGGCAGTCTCTCGCACAGGTCTCAGGGCATGTGTTTAAAAGTTTGCACAAATGTGACCATGATCATTCTGTAGCCATTTTAGGCCATTCAAACATCTTGGTGCAAGAAAATCAAGTAGAAAACCAACAAGCCCCGCTGTGTGCACCGCATAACAAAAGTACACATATGACGGTTTGCATCAACGACTCTCCCTCTCCTCTCCTCTCCTCTCTCTCCTCTCTCTCTCTCTCTCTCTCTCTCTCTCTCTCTCTCTCTCTCTCTCTCTCTCTCTCTCTCTCTCTCTCTCTCTCTCTCTCTCTCTCTCTCTCTCTCTCTCTACTCGCTCTCACTCACTCTCGTTCTTCCCCCCCCCCCATCCCTCTTGCTCTCTCACATTGCACATGCATAATAGCAACACAACCTTCTCCCTTTCACAAGTCTGACCTGAGATTTTGAAGAAGAAAAAACCATTGCACTTTCTAACAAATTGCATCCGATACGCCGTTGTATTATTGTACTTCAGTATGTTTGATTTGTGTTTGATTTGTGTTTGATTTTCCAAAACAGGTAACTGTCTACAGTGGTCCTAACCTGCGTAGATCGGTGACATTCTCACCCGCCCCGGCACAATCACTCAGCTACGAGTACTCTGCCAATGAATGCACCATCGAAGTGGTGGACGACGTGGTGAGTGCCATCAAGCACATCAACCACTACGGCAGCGCGCACACCGACACCATCGTCACCAGCAACGGTAAGCGACGGGTTTGTGCGTTTCCGATGCAGTCTACAATACCCTAGGGGTATTGCATTGTAATCATACCATGGTAAGAAGGGCTGCAGCACCTGGTCCGGCCATGGCTGGACCGTATTTCGAAAAAGGTGACCCATCCATTTCTGCAAAACTGGTTTTTCTCGCCAAGAATGCCCATTACCGGTGAACAACCCCTCATTTGGCCGGCCCACCTGAAATTCCGGTTCTGCGGCCCTGGTAAGTGTGTTTGTTTCCTCTCGTCCACTTAATTAATCGTTGTGTGTTAGTGTCTTCCCATATATCTTGATGCCATGCCTGGCATGCATTCCATCCTTCACTGTTGGCCATTGTCAATAAAAAGTGAATACTCGCAACTGTATTCACAGCACCATTCCTGTAGTGGTTTCTTTGATGAAACTGCATGTTGCCTGTTTGCTTGCCACCTGACAGGTCAAGCGGCTGAGGAGTTTCTGAGGCGTGTGGACAGCGCGTGTGTGTTCCACAACACAAGCACTCGACTGGCGGACGGATATCGTTTCGGATTAGGTACAGTAGCGGGTATTATACCCTACACAGTTCACTTTGCCTCAGGCTTATCCTGGTTAGCTCAGGACTTGCACTGCCTGACTCTCTTCATACGAACTGAAATGCTGCGACTTCGGCTGCAATTTCAGGGAAGACTGCTGCTCTAACGCTACATTGTACTGACCTCGGTGCTCTTTGTACAGTAAAAGTTTAGCATAGCATGCTTCCAAAGGCCCTGATAGTCTGCTCTTCAGAGCACACTCACATGCATTATCAAGAGCACATAAGCTCCCAAGAGTGTGCAACTCTTCACATGGGTCTCTGACGGCGAAAACTCACATCACGTGTTCCACGTACCATTTGTACTACATGCAACGAAGGCTAGCGTGCCCGCAGTCCGAATATCTGCCATGATCATGCTGATCACTTGCATTAGCCGAATGGGTTTCTCACAGGGTGTGATCTTCTTGTAAAAGCGGACTGGTAAGGTACAACACCGTCCAATCCAAGTCAACCCGACCACCCTGCAGAATGCACATGTATGCACACCTAATGCACATGTATTCACAATGGCTTATTCCCAATCTCCGAACAGCTAGCTGTTTCGACCTTGCCTGTAGGTCTCCTCAGCGGAGCTCAGAGTTACTGGCCAGTCTCTATGCTCATGTTGGTTTGCAATTCCTTTCTTTTCTTGCTCCACGGTGTGCAGGTGCAGAAGTGGGCATCAGCACGAGCAGGATCCACGCACGGGGCCCGGTGGGAGCCAAAGGATTGCTGACAACAAAGTGGATTGCTGAAGGCAGCGGTCACACCGTTCAGCTGTTCAGCGACGGCAAGTACACGTTCACACATCGCGAACTCTCCCTGGAGACGTCTGTATGACGCCGCAGGGAGCCAAGGAGCAAGGAGCCATAGGCTTGTAGTACCTTGTATGACTTCAATGATGGGAAGCTAGTGCAAAGACATAAACTATCATGTCCTTGTGTAGTCAAGTAAGCCTTGAAAGGAAAGTGTCCCCTCCCCTCCCCCCATACCCATCCACACATGCAACCATACTTAACAGGGAGCCCCTAGCCTTGACCAAACATATTTGAAGTCGCTGCCATTGGTGTGGTTTTATGGAAGCTCAGGTCGAATGCCGACCAGTGATAATATTGTTTTAGTGATATGACATCATCGACATGTTGTGTTGGAATGCTTATCAGGTTATTATCTGTCCATCATGGTTAAAAATTACTATGGAGTGATGAATATTGAGATTCTCCTGGATAATAATTATTATGGCGATTTGAATGTCATCGTGCTGTATTTATCAGAGCTGCCTCAGGCTTTATGCTATTGCCATGTTGCTTTCCGTGTACGCCTAGATAAAACGGCTTGCTTCATCCGCTACTACTACTACTATGCACTATACTCCTGAGCCTGTACATATTGGCTGTGTCCCCCAGTTCAGCACATTTCCATCTCCATCGCATATTCACCTAGAGACAGAAGCTTAGAAACTTATGCACTAGTGTAATAGAACTTTATTGAAAATCCATGGTAAACGTGATCGGAAAGATGATAAGAAAATTCAAAGTCAACACAATGTCATGCAATTCATGATTACCGAGTCTCAGTCACTGTTATCAAAGCAGATCAGAAACTTATGCACTGGTATATTACCGGTATACAGAATGTTTGGCCGTTCGTGTATTTGTTATAGTATTACAACGTTTCGGCAAATTGCCTTCGTCCGGTTCACAATGATGTGCAAGCTTTCAGTCCTCATGCTAACTATGGGAATTTGTTGTAGAACCGTGCCTGCATCCAACTCTTAATCTTCTACTACTAATACTAGTATTCCACTCCATGCACAGGCCCGCTGGAAGGTTGGTCAGGTTTTTTTTATTTTTTACTATTGAACACTCACTGCATGATGAACTAAAATGAGAAGGAGAACTCGACACAATGGTACATATCCTGCAGGAGGAGTGGGTGGGACGGTCTGTGAAGCTCAGCCGACCAAGGTCATCACCGGACCAACCTGTTGGCAATTTTTTAACGCATGTTTCCTGTTGAAAAGTTATAATTTAGCCGCTATTATGATCACGCACAAAGACGGAAAGTAAAGGCTGGTAAAAGTAAAGACTAAAGTAAAAGGTATGGCCGGACCAATCTGAATCATAATCTGCCTCCGGCTGTCCTGATGCGCATGGCGTGCTGCTTCTACCTGCCCCATGGAATATTGGGGGGGGGGGGGGGGGGGGGGAGCCAGTCGGCTACTACCCGTATCATTTCCGTCTTGGGAGACAGACAAGGCCAAGGGCCCGGGAAGTAGCCATAGGCCCTAGCGTGAGCCCGCCTTTCGGCCCCGGGAGTTGCAGCTCGCTCGACTCAACTGACTACAGTACATGAACTATGAAGAGGACCCACACCTTCGTGAGCTGCGTCGTGGGGATTTTGCAGTCAGATGTGCGACTATGGCCATCACCATGATCACAGTATCACTATCAGTTACGCTGGGGTTAGTCAACTCGGTTACTTTCTTGCAAGGATCGATGTTGTCGCTCACACCTTTGCCTTCGCGCTAAGCATCCCCGGCCTGCATGGGGCGATGAGTGCTCGTAGTCTGAGTGAGAACTTTGCTTTTACCTACTGAGCAAGAGTGTGTTGGTCGTTTTCCCACCGTCGACCATGTCGAAGCGCTATAAAAGGGCCTCGACGGCCCTACAGGACAGCATATTTTTCTCCTTGTTCATTGGAGTGGGTCGATAAGCTGCTCCGTTCATCTATATCTATTGTCTGTCCTGTCGTCGACGGCTGGATGTCCTAGAACGTATTCTTTCTCCTACTCAGCCTCTGCCTTCTCCGTATACTCTCCTGGTAAGTGCAAGTCGTGTGTACGTGTCCATGAAGATGAACCCTACATATTACATGTACGTGTAGCTATTTTAGGTTTTGGTGCGCGGCGAGTTGGCTTTACTTGTCCAGTCCGTCATGTTCTCTTCTTCCGTGTATGTTTCGTGAGTGCGTCGTGGGTATCTGTCAGACGGTTCGCCGCCGTGATGCGCTCTATACGTCTATAGGAATGCGTCGGAGCGAATTTGTCCTTGGCGGTAAACGTGTTGTAGTCGGTAGCGCGCCACGAACAAAGTGTCCTCTCGCCGCCTTCCCCTCAGTCGTGTCGTCGCGCGAAGGTTCGGCACGTAATACCCGCTGGACTTTATTTCTTCCCCCGCAACTGCCAACAGCAAAGAGCACAAGGCCAAATGCCGTAGTCCACAGTTCCGGCTGGCGGCCGAATTTGCGAACTGCCCCTTGCCTGTCGAAAGTAACGCCGAGCATGCAGTAACGACCAAGTGCAGGATACGGGAAACTGGTGCGTTCACATCGATATCGACGGGTACCGGTATATACCGGGTGGTCACACTGACGAGTGACGTGCGTCCACCTCGAAACTAAAATCATTCATTTATTTTATTCCAAGCAATTATGGCTGGGGTAGCCAATGACCCACTTTGCGTGGCGATTGCAGGGTTTTTTTTATGGCCAACCACGGCTAGTCATGCATGTATAATGTGTATACGCGAGTATAGTACCATACCAAAAACTCAGGCTGGGCAAAAACTCGTCGCTGTTGAATTATCTTGTCCTCGCCTGGAAGCATTGTTGCCGGACAAACCGGCTATGACAAACAACCAATTGCAGCCACTTGGAAGTGCTGCCGAATGTGTGTCGATGCCAATTAATGCAGCTCGCGGCTCTGCAGTGTTTGCGATGCCAATGCAGCTACCATGCATTTACATCTAAATGACTGAACACTGTGGTTCAGTGATCTGGCAAATACACCAGAAGCATGTGCCCAAGTGGTCAGATTTCCGGCTGGAGAACATCGCTGAGCTGCTGGGCTGTCCTGGACGATGAAGTGCCCCCACAGTTTTTGTGTGCTTTGATGATAGTCGACACAGTGCACATGATCTGTGTCAGCAAATACTCCGATATGTTTGATACTGTGACGCAAACGAAGAGAGCAGCCAGCAACTTGCGAAGCGGCATTCTCCATTGCCGATAACCAGGACATATTTGTAGTCAGAAAATGCAATGAAGCTAGGTTGTGCAAGAGTAATGCACGTTACACTGCATTCTGATGGCTCTGGTGTCAGCTACAGGCTTCGAGTTTGTGTCTCACATGTTCACTGGCATAGTAACTAGCTAGTCTGTACAATTTCAGATCATTCAGACCTGAAGTTAGTGCTCCATTTCTTGCTGCATTTCAGGTTTTAGTACGTGAACCATGCTATCCTGCATGTTCCCACATAAAGTAGCGCTTGCCTCATCTCTATTCCGTTCCCGCTTACCAGGGCTTGCTATTGTGTGTCCGTGTGTGTTTGTGTGTGTCCGTGTGTGTGTGTGTGTCCGTGTGTGTGTGTGTGTGTGTGTGCGTGTGTGTTCGTGTGTGTGTTTGTGTGTGCTCACGGCAGAAACATGTCCACCGAAATCGTCCCGTATCCTGGCAGAATGTATGTATGCCACATTAAGGTTGACAGCGTGCCACCGCTCACACCAAAGTCGCCGCAGAAGCAGCCGCAGAAACAGCAGCAGCAGCATCCACCGCCACCGCGGCCGCATCAACCGCAGCATCCGCAGCAGCATGAGAAAAGCAAAGGCGGCGGTGGCGGTGGCGGCGGCAAAGCGGGGCGCGCAGCACTGCCGGCCAACGCACTGAACAAGCTGAGCAGCAGTGCTCGCGTGACCAGCGGTCCAGCGCTGCAGAGGGCCGGTAACGCCAACGCCGTCATCCGGGTCACCAGCCTGGGCGGCGCGGGCGGTGGTCGTGGCGGCAAGGGACATCACCGGTCTTTGGCGTACGGTGGCGCTGCTCACAACACGGGCGTGCCGCAGAGCGTTGGCGGAGGCGCGGGCAGTTTTGCCGATCTGCGAGAGCTGGGTCTGGACTGCGTGCACGTCGGCCAGTGCTGGCTGGACACAGGCATAGCACTGGTCGGTGACAAGAATGTCTCATTCCGCCTCTACTGCCAGCGGGAGAACACCAACGTAAGTGTATGCAAGCACGCCGGTAGCGTTTATGTGTAGCAATAGGTACGCCGAAAACAGCTTGATGAACAGTTTTTTTTAATAAACTGCAGACCACGTCAAAAGAATGACTCCGCGGCCACTTGGTTTGGTCGTTATGACTGTGATATCTGCTGCTCGCAATGCAATAGTGAATGGAATAGTTCTTGTCGCAAAGTCTTGCAGCTGATTTGTTCTCTAGCAGTTACGAGGAGGCGAGAAGCCAAACAGGAGCAAGACCATATCCTATTCTGTTCTCTACGAGCTTTCCGTTTGTCTGTTGCGGCATTCCTGCACAGCAATACCTGGACCAGCACAACTCACTAGTGATCCGCCTGGGTAGTGGCGGACGCATGCGCCAGATCAGCGATGGCGACTGCCTGATCAAGCTGCGGGCGCGCATCGAGGTGTCGAAGAAGGGCCACGCGCACTGGACGGCCATTGACTGCGTGTGCGTGATCAGCAAGAACCCCCTGCCCGTGCTCGTCAGCTGCGGTGTGGCAGTGCTAAAGCGACATCCGAGGTAAGGAGTCCATGCACCTGCTCTGAGTACCGGTATGTACACGAAGCCTGTCCAAGACGACCGTTCGAGGGACCTTCAAAATGTGGTCTCTTTTACCAGGTGGTCTCCTTATCCAGGGACATTTGACGGGAAATTCAAAACAAATGTAGTATCCCTAGGACCTGGCTGTAGTGGTCTTCTAGGACTGGTGGTCGCCTGATCCGAGTGGTCACCTTGACAGGTTTGACTGTATGTTGGTATGCAAGTTGTAATCTTTCGACCTTTGTTATCATTCTACCTTGCATGTTGCTATTTTCAGTAAGATCACATAGTTGAACGCCAGAGAACCCAGGTATTGTGACAGTGCGCCGTTGTGCTTGAAAGTATTCTGTTGCTGCCAGGTTTGTGCGCAGCGTCCTATTTTCAGTGAAAAAGTGGTTCTGAAAAGTAGGTGCTCATATCCAGACAAGTAAAACAACTTGAACACTTAGGGGTCGTCGCAAAAGTTTTTTGTCGAACATGATTCATTTGGGGGGCAGGGGGTGCGAGCCAAAATCGCAAGTCGACCGACACTGTACATAAGATATGTATATGAATGCGATTTTTGTCGTCCAGCATAGCAAGCTGTGTTCGTTTCAGAGGGAGGGGAGGGGGTCCGAGTACGAAATGAACGATGTTCGTTTCAAGGACGACAGAAAACTTTTGCGACGACCCCTTACTTACTGCGATTGGTTGGGGCCAGGGCTGTCATCTATCTCCTTGTTCCTCTTCAAAAAAGAAATGTCCTCCCCGGCCGGGAATCGAACCCGGGTCTTCCGCGTGACAGGCGGAGATACTTACCACTATACTACCGAGGATTGACTATTATTTGCTCACTCCGTTGGAGTTTTTTTAGCCAGTTTGTGATTCTAAGAAAGGGTTTGCTCCCCACACCGGAGCTCGCGCTATTCCGCCGACTTTACTTGACACTTGACTGACTCACGACTGCCATCCAGAGCACACGAGAAGTCCATCGAACCTTCGACTCGGCAAACCTGCAAGAAAGCACCACTCCCTGCTCAATACACAGTGTTTCGGGGAATTCACCCCTCATCAGTTGAGCTTGAGTAGGCTGAGGAAGATTGTGCCTGAAGAGCACCACTTATATAGTGCTCTCCAGGCACAAACATCACCAGGGATACAAACTTACAGAGACGCTCCGTTTCCAGCGCGACAAACACCTCGTGAACACCAGATAGCAGCGTGAGTCAGTGTCGCTCCTGGACGGTGAGACAGACGTCGAGGACCCTCGGTCATTCGCAACGCTGTCACCTCCAAACCAACTAGTCGCAAGCCCGCGCTGGGCACAACAGTACGAAGTAGTGGTTGCGACTTCGGCGATAATTTGTAAGTTTGTGATTCTGTAGCTTTTGGTGTGCCGCAATCCAGGCTGTACTCAACTGTACATCTGTGTGGTGTTTGTGTTATGTGCGTATCCGCTTGTGAAGCACTGGCAAGTGCATGATTGCTATGAAACGCTGCGGTCAGTCAATTGGATTCGTGTCCATGCGTCGGCAACTGAAGCGCTACTTCTCGGTCAGTACAAACCCCTTACCTGCTGGATACCATATTTTCCGGGAGTATAAACCACACCTAGATTCTTGTCACGAAATACAGACATCTACCCTATTTATCAAGGTTAATTCAATCAACGTAGTATACGCTGCACTGCCATTTTTTGGGTGAATTACTGGTGTTAACAGTGTGGCTTATGCTCCGAAAACTACGGTACCTCTGGCTATGGTTTTGGTGTGTGGAATTAGTCTCTTTGAAGATGGGCTTACTGCGCACCCGCTTGACCACTCAAGCTAGATTAGATGTTTTTGTAACAGAGGACGCATGGTATCACCAAGAGTACATAAACTAGGGTGTGCAACTCGGGATGGTTCCTGTGGGAGCGTAATTCGTGCAGTACGTCATTTCTGACGGCATGGTAAGCCACAGGTACGGTGAAAGGTTGCGTAACCAGTCACGGTGGTGCAGGTTACTGAGTTTGTCCTGATTTCGGTTTTTTGAAACGGATAGCCTGGTGAATTTACTTATCAGCGGATGTACGCAGCATACGCAGTCGCACAAAAACACCGAAATCCTAAAACAGGATGACTAAAATCATGCAAACTTCGTTGATTTCCGGTCTGTGAAACACGAAAAATTGAGCTGTACACAAGTCGCGGCTTGGCTGACCTCACCAGGGTGACGTAGTGCACGAACTGCGCTGTTTCAGATCTGATATGCACAGTTGCACACTCTGGTTAATGTACTCTTGGTATCACACACCAGCATGTCCGCTTTTTGTAGATCAGTTGGTCAGCTGGCCAACTGGCCGACTGTCCGTTCAGAATGTCTACAGCACGCATGCACCAGTGCCTTGTTTTGATTGCCGAGAAGTCCCCAATGCAGGAGACTGTACACAGGAGAACTGGCCTGGTGCCAAGTCTTGGTCTAGTTGCAGAAACAAGATGCATCAACCAAAATACACTAATTACTGCAGCCAGGAAAATCAAGCTGCTGCGTATATTGCAATGATTATTACTAGGGCTGAAATAAATACACCGAGGATTTCTTGTGTCTATATAGTTATAATGTACGTGGGTCCAGGATACGTTGTCCTACGTGGGGCAAGTACAGTGCTGCTGAATGAAGTCAGACCGCGTGTGGCAAACAGGGGCCCTGAGCCAGGTCACATCACAGTGTTCGGCGGTCTAGGGGCTGCACAGCGCCTGGCGCTCGCGCGATCAGATTTCACAACGGGCACTCGGGCACAAAGCTCGTGTGTAGTGAGCGTAGTCCGTTCACCACACCAGCAAATGGCCGTCGTCGATACTACATACTGTAGTGTAGCGTATAAAAGCATGGCCTGTATAGAAGCATGAACTGTATAGAAGCATGACTTGAATAGAAGCCGATTTTCCAAAGCGTGCCATGACACAGAAGCATGGTTTGAGTAGAAGCACATGTACTTGCACACTACATGTGTGACAATGTACACTGTACAGTGTAGACTGAAAATGTTGACATGTAGAAGCATGTTCTGAATAGAAGCATATCTTGAATAGAAGCACGGCCTAAACTCCGGCTTATACGGCTGTAAGCACCTGCTTTTATACGCGACATTACGGTAGTCGAAATGGGCAACATTGCAGTTATGAAGTTGCCAGTGGTACAAAGTCACCACAGCACACATGTGCGAGTTACTCCCCTGGGCAATGTTGTCGCTGTCCTTGTTGGGATGAGCACTGGGCGTAATCACTGAGCACTGGGCGTAATCACTGAGCACGTTCTGTTTCTACATGCAGGCACTGGCTGCTTACCGCGAGCCACTGGTCTCCCCACAGGACATCGCCGCTCACTTTGACATGTGCTGCAACTTTGAGCTGGACCTGCTCAGCAAGCCGCTGACGGTCTCCAATGTCAAATGCCTGTTCGAGAGCCGCTCGTCCGGGCCCGTCACGTACAACGAGGCGTGGACCAGCATGTTTGAGAAACATCAGATGTTCCGCATCCCGGCACTGACCGTACTGGAGGTGGGTGGTGGCTGTACTCTGCTTTCATGTTGATGTGGCTCACATAGTCCCATGTGGCTTACATGTCCAGTACTGGCAACTGAAATCCGACCCCCTGAGCAGTGCGCTCACAACTCGCATCGCACAGACCCGAAATAGAGGCCGCTAGAAAGTGAACGCGCCGCCCAGGGGGTCGGATTTCAGTTGCCAGCACTGTAGCTGATCTGTGTGTGCGCGGATCTGGGATCAGTATTGTTTGGTGCACAAGTACGTCATGCTGTGTGTGCGAACGTGTGTGCTCATGCCAGGGATTACAGTCCTGTTTGGTCCGCAAGTACCTGCTGTGTGTGTGTGCGTGTGTGTGTGTGTGTGTGTGTGTGTGTGTGCGCGTGTGTGGGCGCACACGCACACGTGCGTGTGTGTGTGTGTGTGTGTGATCATGCTCTCATCGCGTGCACGTGTACTGCACAGGTGTGGGCGCGGATGAGCCTGCAGCGGCGCACCGACAGCCTGGAGGACCTACGCCGACCGTGGACCCTGCCCAAGGGTAACTTCCGGCACATGGCGGCGAGCGGCTTTCAGACGGCGAGCCAGTGCGCCGTGCGCGAACTCAAGGCTGAGACGAGCCTGGAGTGGAACGTGGACGACTGCACGCAAGCACCATCGGTCACCGTGGCACTCAATGACAGCGCGGTGGCTGTTGAGAAATTCTTTCTGTGGCGTAATGACACGCTGCCGGAGAACGGTGGACAGGTCGGCGAGAAGTACTGGCAGTGGTTTGAGTTCGACGAGGCCAAGCGACGGTCCATGACTGCCGCAGCCATCATCACCACTGCCCAGTGCCACAAGCTGATGGGACTGAAGGACGCCAGGAGCAGCCTGCCTATCCTGCAGCTCGCCATCAAGCCCTCAATCGGCAAGAAGGACGCCGCCGTGGACAAACTTGACGATCAGGTGCCGGCAGCAAGCACGGACGGCGAGAACACGGTCGAATCGCCATCTGCATCTGCATGTGAATCCGCAGATGAACCGGTGATCGTTTGTGGAAAGGAGATAATCATCAGGGAGTCAACCGATGAAGAGAAGAGCGAAAACTTCGTCGAGGACTTGAAAACTGAGAAGATAAATTCCGAGGTGAGCACCCTGGGTGAAGAAACCGGAACCAGTGATGACGAGGCACCCAAGCGACCATCTATTGACGACATCCCTAGTCCCAAGAAGGATTTTCCCAACCTGTTGAATGGCAGTGGTCTCGGTGCAATACCCAGCATGCTTCCTGATGTGAACGAGAATGACCTCACAAGGCGTCCTAACAACATCCAGATCATCAATGGCCGGAGAGCAGCCACGAGCCCGAGCGCTCTCTCCGCTATTTCGGAAGGCACCGAGGAGGGTGAAGCAAGTGGCTTAGAGGGAGAGAGGGAGCCTGTGTGTCTGTAACTGTTCAGTTCAGTTCAGTTCTGCCGCCACTCCAACGTCTCGTGGTAACTTGAGAGAGAAGAGTCTGACAACCGCGGGTGGCCGCACGATCAATGAACAACCGACTTCGACCCCGGATGAGGTTATAACCTGTCACTTGCCTGAACAATCTGTTACGTGCATTGGAATGCACACGCTCAAAGTTCTACAAAAATTGTGTTTCTTTTTCGGATATACGTGTAGCCTACGGAGAGAAAACCACTAACTTGTATTTAATAATCTGACGTTTCTGCATCTCACCGTTGCTTTTAATTTTAATGGTCGCACCCGTTGCCCTGGTTAACTTTTTCACTTGCGCACAGTTGTTCTTCTGCCCCCAAGGTCTTTGGTCCTACACTGCGAATTTTTCTTCCTGATTAGAAGCTAACACTGGCATTGTTTCTATCCCCTTCCCTAGCTGCCCATGCCCACATTGTTGGCTTGTTCCAGTCTGGTTTCCGACTGATCTTAGAGCCCCCTCCCTTCCCTTCCCTCCCGATTTGTTTTGTGCTGTTGACTGGTTTTTGACTTTTCCTCTTGTTTTTTTTTCTCTTTCTTCAGTGGTACCTTGTTGTTCCTAGATTTGTTTAGCAGTAGAATTAGTGTTATTTCCTGAATCAAAAGGACACACATAATGTATTAAAAAAATATTTCTATTAAATTTATGAATTAAGAAAAGGTTGACCGATTGTTGATGGCGAGCTTGCGGAAGAGGCTGTTCTGACGAAACAGCCGAGACATTCATTATAGACAATGTCCACCATAGTGCTATGCCTAGTCTCTTTCTGTGTCGATTACTGGTGATGGACGAGGCAAAATGCGAGTTTCTCGGCACGAGGCAGACTTTGCAAACCCCCGTTCTCACAATGGCGGACGTACGTGAGCTGCACTGAAAGAAATCACATCTTTGATGGTGGCACGCTCGGTTCGCAGGAACTCGCCGAGCACCAAGAATATACAGTAAAACCTGTGACTAACGACCACTCCGATACGGCGACCACCTGTCCTAGAAGACCACTACCTCAGGGGTTATGAACTCTTGGTTTCACTGTGTATGATGAGAAATGTGCACACACAAGGACACCGGGTGCAACGCAGAATAACAGTGCTTGTGAGATGTCCCTTCAGAGCTAGGACCGGAAAAGTCAGAAGGGATCAAGAAACACTTGAAGGCCACAAACAGGAAAGTAAGGTAAAGAAAGTGTAGCAGCCAAGCGTGGCACTGGCAGGCTTCAGTTTGAGCGGAAAAGAAAGTTTTAAATTAAGAGTCAAGAGTTCGATGAATTCTGAATAGATACCATACAGATTACAGTTTGGTTCAGGAAACTTTGTGAACATAGGTACAGTGTGCATGCATGGTGAACTAAGTCATCAGTTTGTGCTCACGACTGCTTCGATTATCTACTTGCATCATGTATAACTAGTCCTGTGGACACGGAAAATAAATACCCAACGATGTACCTGCCATCATCGTATACAAATACCCAAACTACCCCCCTCCACCGCCCGAACTGGTTTCGGGAAATCGTTGTCATTCTATTCAAAGAGTTGTCACTATGTCCTAAGCCAGGCACTGGTAACACTGGCCTTGATTAATTTAACAGTGACTCACAGATGGTTAAACCTGCATCGTTAGGACGGTTGAGCCGCTTTGTGCCGGGATGCGGGACAGGATCTGCTCGACGGTCGGACGCTTTGTGTGGTCGACGGTAGCCATCCACGTGATGAGGTCGCAGAAGTCTTGTGAGTAGGGGTGGCTTGACGGGAACGTAACCTTACCGCTGAGCGCCGACAGCGTGGAGCCGTCGAAGGGACTGTCACCGAACGCCATGGCGAACAGGACGCAGCCAAGCGACCACACGTCGGTGCGCTCGTCGATCTTGCACTCGGACGGCACGTCGAACAGCTCCGGCGCGCGGTACGACGCCGTGCACGTCTGCGCACACGTTTCCTGCAGCGTCAGCGCCTGCTGGCGAGTGCGCACGTCCACACGCCCTTGCGCCACACTTCCCAGATCCATGAGCACTGTGTCCGCTCTGTTGGCCTGCAGGAGCAGGTTGTGCGGCTTGATGTCGCGGTGGGCGTACGGCGGTGAGTGGTCGTGGAACGCCCTCACGCCCAGACACGTGCTGCGGAACATCTTGTAAATACGCTCCTCGGCCAGCGGAACGCCGCTTTTCTGCGACTTCTCAATCAAATCCTGCACCGAGCCGTTGGGGAAGAATGGAAACACGAGCAGTGCTTCCCTACGACTGGTGCAGCCCCGCTCAGCAATGGAATGGGCCACCAAAGGCATGACGTTGGGATGGTCCACCAGTCCATGCGCCTCAATCTCGTTGTGTGCAGCCTCTTCCTGCTCATCAATTTGAATCAACATGCGTTTCAGGGCATACTTTTTGCCACCATGTCGAACCAGAAACACAAATGAGAAGCCACCTTCTCCTATACGCTTCACCACCTGATAATCATTACCTGCTACCTTCAGTCGCTGTCCGAAAAAGTAGGAAATTATAGCTCCCATTGAACTGGTCGCTCCCTTATCTCTCCACAGCAAACCACTAAAAGACCTACAGTCGATACGATTGCGAATGGAGCCTCCGGTCACCTTTGTTGCATGGCAATTTCAATTACAACACGGCAAAAGACTAGGCTGGAGACGAAGCACCGACAACGAATAATTCAAAGTAAAGACGAAGTCAGCTTCGAAGAGGTGAGCATGCAGCCAGCCTCCACAGGCCCCATGGATCCAGTTGCTGTAGATTCTATGATTGTTTTGAAATTTCAACCATAGCCAAGGCTGTAGATTGTGGTTGGTTCGTGTTGATGACAAGACTCCAGCACTCGTACTCGACTCGTAGACCTACGATCGATCGTAGATTCTGTGCATGCTGCGCTGTAGAGTCTACAGACTATAAAATTATAATACAAGTCATGCAGCTCAATGAATGATGACGTGCAGTAAATCATACGTCTTGCTAAAAAAATTCGACATTGATTGTGTACTCTTCTATGTAGTTCTTGATACGACTTGCACTATTTAAATTTTATTACTGCCAATACTGGTAATAATACTACTTGAAGTATACCGTCTCAATCAGGGAGTAGTACAATACCTGTTTTCAATGATGGTCGACCGGTCCTTTAATAAGCTGTATCACTGTCTTCCTCTCACAAAAAAATAAGCAAGCCTTTTATTGTGTTTATTTTGCCCGTACCGTAAAAGAGGTCTGTCACACACTTGCACTTTTGTTGTAAGTCCTGTGCGCAAGGTACAGTAAGTCTCGTTATAAAAGACCAAAATATGAAGGCTTCTACATTGTACATACATGTACAAAAAGTGCTAATACTCGGCTATAATAAACCATTTTTCTTCGCACAAAGCACCTAGACTAGGGGAAAGGGGGATAGGATGTGCTAGCTATCCTGGACTGACACAGCAAGCCCGCTAGTACACACATAATCATAATCAAAATTGAACCATTAAAAAAATATTCTCAATCATACCATAGAGGATCAACACTAGTCAGCAGATGAAGGAATATTTCATAGCATAAGGGGGGGAGGCGTAAAGTGAAAGAAATCAATCAAGGGCATTGCAAGGGCGCGCGTGCAGGGCTGCTTCGCGGTTAAATAGATTTCGGACGTTTGCAGTGTTTGGAGCGGCGGAATCGACACAGAGCATTCATGCTCTGCTGGTAAGTGCCAACACGCGCCATCTTCTTCGCATTGCGAGAGCCCAGCACAAGCGGCGACGGCTCACAGCAGAGAAAGATGGCCCAGTCGGGCACGGCGTACACGCGGATGTCCTGCAGGTTGATGTGCAGGCCGGTGGCGTTCAGCAGGATGGCCATGAACGCGTCGTCGATCCAGAGGATCTCGTGGTGCGTCGACTCCCGGACAATGGCGGTAACGAGGTCGGCGGAGAGGAAGTATCCGGCGCCCCAGTGGTACGGCGGGTACTCGTCCGGCGCATACACTGACGGCGGTACATACCACTGGTCTTTCTTGTTGCGCTGCACTTTCGGGTGCATGTCGACCAGTTGGCCGGCATAGATGTGCTCCGCAAGCTGTGATGCAGTCCAGCGAAGTGCCTGTACAGTCAGATACAAAACCGTCACACAGAAAAATTCAAAGAAATCGCTAACGTCAGAATCACTCAAAGAGAGAGAGAGAGAGAGAGAGAGAGAGAGAGAGAGAGAGAGAGAGAGAGAGAGAGAGAGAGAGAGAGAGAGAGAGAGAGAGAGAGAGAGAGAGAGAGAGAGAGAGAGAGAGAGAGAGAGAGAATGCAACCAGCTTAGGGGCCGTCCATGATTATCGATCTATTATACGAAGAGAAAAGTTAGTTTCGTTTGTGGGTGGGTGGGTCAAGGGGAGTTTCGTTTCGAAAAATATTGATATGTGAGACATCAAGGCATTCTTGCTGTCAAGTCAATCTATTTTTCGTTCAGGGGTGTGGGAGGGTCCTAACTAATTTTTTTGTTTTGTGAAAATTATCGATAATGCCGGATAGCCCCTTACTGCCTTAGGAAGTCTTTCACAACTGGCCACGGTCATCAAGGTTGTATGTAAAGCAACATAGCGTGGCGCTGCGCCCCCTTTCAAAACTGAAAGCACTGCTATTATAGTCAACGGTTGGACCAATCAACACCCCTGTTTCCCCTAGGTAGGATGATGCATTGCGCGCATGTAGCCACTAAAAGGTAGACCTCTGTACAACCGGCTCCATGCCACAGTCCATTGCATGCAAAGTGGTTCACGCCGGCATCAACGCATTTGTTAGCACAGCGTACGCTCCCGGCAACAAGCGCGGGCCTCGGACTTGAAACCTGTCGCAGGCAAACCCACAGTCACTCACCGAAAGTGCTGCCAGTGGTGCAAAAACCTTTATAGCGACATCTCTCAGACGCACTCAACATGGGGTACCACACAAACACACTCACCATGGGGTAATTGACAAAGGAGTCGTCATCCATGAGAAGCAACATGTCAAACTTGTAGTGCTCCGATACGTACTTCATGCCCCAAAGCACTTTCCATGGCAGGCGGCGGTACGTGTCGTTATCCGGATACTGCAAGATGTCCTCAAACTCGACGGCCTCTTTCACAACGGCTTGGTCCACATCCGCCTTTCCAGAGTGGCCAATTAGAAACTGTTGAGCAACGAGACCAGGGATGAAGGTCTTTTTCTCGGCACTGCGCCACTGCCAGTGCGTGCGGCACAGTGCACGCCGCTCCTTGTACGCCGGTGCCGACTTCACCAGCACAAACAGCGTGACGCGCTGCTTGCCGCCCGCGTCCGGATGGACGTCCTCGCGAAGCCCGGACGTGTTTCGGGCAATGTCGAGCCAGGCACTCGCCGCCTGCGTGTGCGGGTGTTGCACGCCGTTCAGCACGATCGGTGGACGTGTCGGTCGCATGTTCAGGCGACGAGGTGTGACCACTGTCGCCCTGCTGCTGGACAAGACGGTCGTCCCGACAGGTGTTGTAACAGCAGTACTTGTCTGTTTACCATTTTCAGTGGTCTCTAACTCTACCGCCTTTGTTGATGTTGAGCTCGAGCTAAAGTAGATCAGCCCAACGCCGAATCCAAGAAGAAAGATGTAGAAGAACAGCGATGGAGATCGGGTGACAGCTACTTTCCGTCGGATGAATTTCCAAGACCCTGGGGTGTCCGGTCTTGGAAACATAGGTCAACGTAACTACTGCAACAGCATCTCCTATTACTATTTTCTCTGCGTATGGATATGCCGGACCCGGCGGATAGCCGGATACTCCTCTCGCTCTCAGGCACAATCTTGTAAATAGCAAAGCCACAGGAGCAAAATATTCTGGAAAAAGCAGCGTATTAAAGCAGCATTTTCACGACGAGCTAGCAGCACCAGAGCAAAGAAGATGCGATGCTTCACAAGTAGACACACACGTGCTTCATCTGGCCTCGAGGTTCAAGACTGCTTAGTAAATAACAATTAGCGAAATGAACAAGAAGACATCGACATCATTTTGAAGAACAAGCAAGCAGGATTACACGTGTTTCCTCGCAAAAAATGTGTTCTCTGTCGCAAAATGCCAAAAAATGAAAAAGCTAGCTGCAGGCTGCATGCAGCTGATCATTGACGTCGACGTCACAGAAAACTTACGTAATAACAAGCATTTTGCTCGTCAATTATTTTGCAACAAGAAAAATTTTTTGTAGTTCAGTTGTAATAATTGTGTTCACGACGTCGACTGTAGACTGTCGATGTCCAGTAGTTTGACTTGGCATGAGCCTGATGAGGAGGAGAAGCCTGGCATGTGAGATTTGGCACACAGGGACAAGCCTCCATGGTATTGAGTTTTATGTAACCCACGAAATGTTTCAGAGGGTGTAGCTTGCGTCTCGGAGAAGACACATCATCAGGATGTCGCGGGAAGCAAGTGTTGCATCTGAAAAGCAGTATCTTGTACGTTTTCCTCAGGTAAGTTCGGCATGCACTGCACTGCCTGTCAAATCATCGCCGCAGTCTTATACTGCATGGCATGCGGCAGTGTTTTTCTCCATCTGCTTAGAACGGAATGAGTGTCCTAAACAAGAGAGAGAGAGAGAGAGAGAGAGAGAGAGAGAGAGAGAGAGAGAGAGAGAGAGAGAGAGAGAGAGAGAGAGAGAGAGAGAGAGAGAGAGAGAGAGAGAGAGAGAGAGAGAGAGAATGAAAACAATTTAAATATAAGAAAATCATACCCATTGCAGTGCTAAATGCACCGTATAATATAATGAAATTATAATGCCGCTAATGAGCATGTCCTGACGTCCGTTTAGTTAGCCTGAGATATGGCCTTGAGCAGCTACCAGTTCAGGGCCCTCGCTACGCTTGGTCTTTACGCAGGTCATCATGCGTGTTGTTCAAACTGTTAGAAACATCTTTGCATTACGAGAAGATATATCCGCTATCCGTATTGCAAAGACATTTATATTAGCTTGCTTAATACGTCTGGGGACGAAGAAAGTAAAGGGTTGTCATGACGCCAGGCTAGCTGTGGCGTAGCACTTTCAAGCCCTACAGTACTGTTGGTCGCCAAAGAACTGGGGGGGGGGGGGGGGGGTCAGCCTCCTAGCCTAGACCATTCTTATTTTCATGTACTACACTCTATGCACAGTTGAGTCACCGTGTATACATTGGTATGCCGTGCTTGATGAAATTCTAGCCTGGCCGTTCTTCGGCGCTCTGTTCTTCGGCGCCCGACAGTACTGTATTAGGTCTTGAGCAGTTGAGCAATACTACACGTGCTCTACGGTCCATTCAGGAAAAAATCTGAATGATGATGATATCTTGTAAAATAGAAGAGAGCACATGGGTGCAAGGTATGAAGTAGCTGTCCACCACTGTAACAAGACAGTCCATTTCAAAAATATGGACGCATGATATTTTTGAAATATTTCAAATTTGGCTGGAGCTTTTCGAGAATTCTTGTCGGATTATTGCTCAGGTCCTTCCTCCAATTACTCTCATATAGATTTTTAAGCGATCGGATAGCAAACACCCAATTTCCAAATTTGAATGCACAAAGTGTTCACAGATTTTATGTCGTATAGATGCTGGCCTGACGGTTTTTTGAAATCACGTGTCATCAGCCAAGGTAGCAGAAGGCGTCAAATTCAAGCACCCTGTTGCACTTAGAAATCATGATTTTTACCTCAATGCCAATGGGGGAGTTTAGGTACCCTGCAAACGGAGTCCGCAAATATAAAGAGTAAACGACTTGCATGCTCTGCAGGGGAAGCCGACAAAGTGACCTTCGTAGGCATTTCATCGACAGCCATTGTTGTGACCTAAACCCAATCTCCCCCCAGTGCCATGTGCGTTTCAGGAATGAACTTTCAGATTTCCAAACGCCAATATCTTACAGTACTGTACTTTGTTAAAGGGGAAGTTCACCCTGAAATGAAAACTTCACAACATGTAGCGAAAAATGCACTGATTCCAATGGTGAAGGTCCGGGGTTGATCGGAGCAGCCGTCCCCGAGTTACTAGTATACCAGCTTGAAGTTTGCACTAAATTTGGTGACATCATGATGGCGTCATTAACCTGCCCGGACTAGGCCGGATTTATGACGTCAGAGAGATAGACTTTGTATCGGAGTAGATGGGGAAATTTCAGTATTTTGGCTCTCCGTTGTCCCAAAGAAGTCGGATCTTTTTCAAACTATTACTTCGGTATGGGACATATGGCATCCTACAGGTATCTCGACTGGAAAAATTCTAGTATGAAATTCATTGTTGCAGAGAAACAAGAAAGAAATTGTTTTTCTTTTCCATTGGAATCAGTGCATTTTTCGCTACAAGTTGTGAAGTTTTCATTTTAGGGTGAACTTCCCTTTAATAACTATGGTGGACAAACTGACTGCTCTAGTCCTGGAGAAGCCCATTGATTGGAGACAAGCTTGTATCGCTCTCCTCTCGGACTGTTTGTTCCGAAAAAGCACATGACGATACTATAATATTATAGTAGAGCAGTTGGCTTAGCGACACAAGATCTTGCTCGTCTCTCTTCACCTGTGACGTTCTTTCCTTGGCGACATGCGTGGTGTGCAGCATTGGGCCTTGCTGCAGGCGCTCCTAAGGCTTGCTCTTTCATGGGTCGTCAGGATCCATCTTTGAAGAGCGCCAGGTTTCTTGCTGAAGCCAACTATTCCACCTTTCCCTTTGCTATATCTGTTGATGGACTGCTCTAAGGCTTGATCCACCGGGCAAAGCTGGTACAAGACCGCGAAACACAGAAGTCACCGCTGAGAAGGGATTCTTGAGCCGATTCATGGCTCTCAGGCAAACACTCCATGTCGTTTACATAGTAGCTTCCGTATCGAGCGTAATTCACATGGTCGTAGGCGAAAAACCATTTCAGCATCTGCCTGAAAGTTGTGAGGTGCAGCACCCAGTCACCATTGCGGCTCGCATGGATAAAATCCAGCAGGAGACTGGCCATTTTGATGTAGGGGAGCCAGAAGCAGGCCATTGGCGAGGCTTTCTTCAAGTTATCGTTGAATGCATTGAAACGGTCATTGAGAGACTTGAAGCTAGATGTCTGTAGGCACCGTAGACCTCCGAAGTTGCCAGTCTCTCGCATGCTGTCCAGCTGGTCAAGGAGGTTGCTTACAGCTTCATCAACAAGCGGCGAACCGTCGTCATCCAAGTGTTCCTCAAACAATGCCCAGTTTTGCTGCATCATTGCCTCCAATAGCAGTTTGTGGCATCGGATTGCACGGTTGTAGTGTTTGTCTGTAATGACCTGCTTGCAAGCATTTGGGCCAACCACACCGACTTCTGTTAGTAGATCGCCAAGACCCGCTGCACCAAACCGTTAACCCAGGACGACCAAGAAAGGACACGCCATGTGGAGCGCACCTAACATGTTGATATGTCGTTGATGTAGACAAGGAACATGGTTGGCCCGAGAATGCTGCCTTGTGGTACCCCGCCATGATGGGGTATGGCCGGGAGGTTGCACCACCGCAACCCTTCTTCGCCAAACTCATCCTCGGCGCTTTGAAAGCACTTCCAGTGCCTTGGCGTATATGGCTTGGTCACCAGTTATTGTACAGTGCTGCTGCTCCAGTCTCCGAGTCAGTGCCACAGAGCGACAGAGTACCTCCAGTATCGCGGAATGCTCTCATGGAGGAGCCGGGATTACTGGCAGATACCCAATATTCGACGGCTGCCCTGGTTTTTTCTTGCTGTAGATGTCTGCATTGAACTTGGACCACACTGGGATCTTCTGTGGCTCATCGCTGGGTCGACCGAAACTGCTGGTGCTCTCTGCGCTGCGCAGCAGCAGCCAAAGAAGGTACTCACTGCACTCTGGCGTAATGTGACCAATCTCCTCGCCTGCTGCTACTCTTTTGACACCCTTGAGGACAGTTCCTTCTGTTCAGAATTCGCGGCAGGCACAGACATATGTCTCATCGCTGCCTTGCTGCTTTGTGCATGCCGTCAAATGGTGTGTGGTTTCTTATTGTAAAAAAAAAGAAAAAAAGCAGAAGTCAGAGTTCTTGTTGGGACGAGGGACTCGAGGTTATGAGAATGAGAGAGAGAATGAAAGGATGAGGCACGAGGTTATCAAGGGCCTGGGTAGCTCTGTCAATGAATGTGCGAAAGCGTGAATGCAGCTACCCAGGTCGAACGAATTATACGGTATTAATGCGGAAAAGGAATCGTGAACCTAACACTTCTAATGTGTCCAGACTCATTGCATTGGAAACAAAGAACAGACTTCTTGGTTGATTGATCTGATACTGCTGCTGTTACACTACGGCCGGCATTTCACGATGACCTTTTACTTCGATGACCAAATTGACGGCGATAAATAGGGTGGATGTCTGTATTTCGTGGCACAAAATGGGGGGGGGGGGGGGGGTGCGGCTTATACTCCGGAAAATACGGTACTAAGGGAGCGCTTGCTCTACCACTTTCTTTTTGTATTTCCTCTGGCAGAACAAGTAAACGTGTAAGTTTGTTCGTTCGAGTGACTGCCTTGTAGTTTTCCATAACGACTGACTAGCTTACGCCACAGCTCTGCCTGCTAACAGCAAACAGTTGAAAGAAAGGCAAGGTTGCTTGGAGCTTGCCGCAACCAGGTAATAGTACAGTCACAGTTGTACTAAAGCGCCTCTTGTACGCGCAAAAATAAATAGATCACAGTTGTACTACTTTCTAGTTGCAACATGAGATTGAGGACTAGTACAATTGTAGTTGCAACCGAAGGAGAACAAGTTACACTCATACCTCTGTTATCCGGATACCGAAGTTAAAGGCACTTCAGTCCACCGGGCACCCTTTGGATGAGCTCCAGTAGAAATATTACTACTCTTTTGTCACTTTTTGTATAAATACTGCCGGCACCCTTTGGATGAGCTCCAGTAGAAATATTACTACTCTTTTGTCACTTTTTGTATAAATACTGATGCCGTATATCATATCTATGGCCTTTCTCCATCAAAACATTTGTGATTCGGGGTTACGGACATTTCAAAGTTACGGGCAGTGCCCGATCCCGGACCGCCCGGATAAACGAGGTATGAGTGTATTTGAAAATGGCGAGAATCTTCAACTTCTTCCCCGGGGTGCACGTACGCATATATTTAAATCTGTACGTGCTTCAAACAAACTCGCCAAGGCTCAAATTGAAGGCGATTTATTTCGCGAATTTGGCTCGATCGTCATGGAAAGCCACACCAAACGTTGATAAGGCGAGACCAAAAAAAAATAGAGATTCCCGGGCCCTCCCGCACCAAAATCGAGCCAAAGCCAATTTTTTTTAAACAGTTCATACATGTACAGTACTGATCGTGTGAGTAGATCTGTGGCATGGAGTCACAGAAACCCGAGCTTGTACGACTCCCTGATGTACAGATCAGGGCCATCGTTGGCTGAAATATAGAAAAAATTGAACGGGTAAACCGCGTACCGGTTGCCTGTAAAAAAATTGAATAAAAATTACCGGAAATGCTGTAAAAAAAGTTCAACATGGCATGCACACATAAAGTCATGTACGTACATGGGAAAAAAATAAAATCCGCCCGCCCGCACCAATTTCACATGGGTCCCGCCCGGGAATCTCAATTTTATTTTGGTCTCGCCTAATACTCGAATTTTTTTTACGAAGACACAATGGTGGATGAAAAACACAATGGATGTCCTTGTAATAATACGGATGGAAAACCTGGTAATGGCTGACGAAGAAGAAGAAAATTGTCGAATTTCCGATGCGCACTTTGAAAGGAGTGCTAGAGTTTCGCCAGGGAAAGTAATCAGGTCGCATTGGTGGTCCAAATCCCATTTCCGGCTGAATCTGAATGTTTTTTTAGCCTAATACAGCCTGAATCGGATTTGAAAAGGGCCAGAGATCAATTCTTGTTTGTGAATGGACTGCAGTATGCATGTAAGGTAGTGATACTACATATCATGTAGCAGTCTCGACCTGGTGTGTGTTTCTGATTCGTTACAGGACAAAGCTGATACTGTCCGACAAGCTATCGTATCCGGACAGTCGCTCGATGAGCGCCTACAAATCGAATGCCTGAGTTAGTTCCCGTGTCTGTCTGTCTAGCTGTGTCTGTGTTCGTGCAGGTTTGTCTGTGTGCGTGTCTGTGTGTGTGTGTGTGTGTGTGTGTGTGTGTGTGTGTGTGTGTGTGTGTGTGTGTGTGTGTGTGTGTGTGTCTCTTGCTGCCTGTGCTGCACTGCACTGTCCGAAATTTAATTGTTGAATACGGAGTATCAGAGGGGCAGGGGAGTAGAAGAAGCAAAGCTTTGAAGCCTGTGATACAGTGTATTTGCCTTTCAAGTGTTGACGGTGAGAAATCATAGCAATCAAGAGTCTTTACTCAGCACTGCAGATGCTGGTAATGCCTGGGGACGTTGTGCTGTAAGTAGCAGCAGAGGTTGTAGCAGAGGTGGCTTGGGTGAAACTGGTGCTGTTGCTACTGATTTCTGAGCTAGAGGGGTGCCCCGGGGCGCTGGCGGCAAATTGACAATGTGCTGCAAGTTGCAGCGGGATTCATTGCAATAGCGAATGGGACATGTGTTCTTTTCTTTCTTTGCTCGCTCAACTCTCTTCTCCCTATTTTCCTGTTGTGCCTGCAGGTGGATCTCGTGGAGGGCTGGTCCGCCACGCCAAAGTCATGTTTGATGGAAAGTTGATGCATGGGAAGGTTAGATTGGCCTCTGTGTATGTGTGTGTGTGTCCATGGCTGTGCGTGTATTTGGTCGAAACGTTTAAAAAAAAACACTTGTCAGTATCAAGTCTAGCTCATGTTGCGTTCTTCGGTTATCTGCTTCTGTTGCCTGCCTGCCTGCCTGCCTGTCTGTCTGTCTGTCCATCTGTCGTCCTATGCGAATCACTGTATGCTACACACATGCCTGCTTGTGCGATTGTGTATGTGCTTGCGTTAACGTTGTTCGCAGATGATGGACTTGCCTTGCATTGTCGAGTCGCATAAAACACTAGACGGCAAGATACTTTACAAGACTGGTGATGTGTCTCAGGTATGTTCTCCACCCACCTACCATTGTTTCACCTACACTGCAGTATCCAATACTGTAGTAACTATCGGAACACCGGAACACGCTCACAAAGGACCGTGGACCTTTGTCGGATTTGCACAGCTATCTTGTTGAGTTCGCTCTTTCTTGCCACTGTGTGTATGTGTGCTCTGAGTAGTGCCGTGCTAGGGGCGCTGACGTTCTTTCAACTGGCCGTCGATTCTACTTCACTACTGTGCCTCTGTTGCCCTGTAGCTGAGCACCCTGCCATCCCCGGCTTGCGTTGAAGTAGACAGCTAGGGTTTACTGGGTGTTAGCGGCCATCGTGAGTTCCCTTCGGGAACTCAGTGGGACCGTTGTCATTAGGTTTAGGCCTGTTTTGGAACTCCACTCTAAATAAAGCCAAACAACACAACAACGGACACGGTAATTTACTTTTACTTTTTTTTAGACAGCAGGGGAAATAGTTACCGTGTCACTGCTCGTTTTACTGTATTATAGTAATGCTGCATGCCGGGTGATTCACTTTGTTGTGCTGCATTCTGTTGGTTTGATGAAGATGCTAGTTTGCACTGACATCACTGAGGAGGATATGGGCAAAGTGGAAGCGGAGCTGGACGGTTCTTCGCTGCAGCGCGAATCTCGAAAGCAGTTCGTTGCCAACTATGGACGTAAGGCGCCTTTTGTCATTGTCATTATTTTGTGGATAGTGTAGTGTCTTGTATAAAAGCCTGTCTTGTATAAAAGCCTGTTTTGAATACAAACCTGCTTTTTAAGAAACACTGTCAGCACATAAGCCTGGTTTAGTATTGACATACATAGAGATACGTGCTTCGAATAGAAGCCTGACTTGAAAAGAAGCCTAGCACTGATATCGGCTTATACGGCCGTAAGCACCTGCTTTTATACGCGACATTACGGTATGTGTGCCCTCTTGTTGTTTGTTGTTTGTTTATATTTATTTTTTACTTCACCAAAATGTACAGGCATTTTATGCCTTCTTCCCGACCCTCACAGGATGATGAAAATAGTTTATGTGGTGGAGAGCAGAAAAGAGAGTTTGTTTTGTGTTGATCATTTCTTTGTGTACTTTGCGTTGTAGCACATACTTCAGAAGTAGTGACCACTGCACGAGGTGGATGACCATACCTGTATTTGGGTATCTTGCAAGTAGTTTTGCGATTTACATTAATTTTACCCTCGATTGCCGAGTTTAGTATGATCTTGAAGATGTGACCATGGGTAGTCACTTTCTATGTACTGTACTGTGCTCTCTTTCTGTGCAGTCACTCCACCCCTGAAGAATGTCCGTAAGAAGCGGTTTCGTCGCACTGCACCAAAAAAGGTAAGAGATCGTGTGTGTGTGTGTGTTGTGTGTGCGCCCGTGTGTGTGTGTGTTTGTGCATGCCCGTATGTGTGTGTGTGTGTGTGTGTGTGTGTGTGTGTGTGTGTGTGTGTGTGTGTGTGTGTGTGTGTGTGTGTGTGTGTGTGTGCTCGTGTGTATGTCATTGTATATTAATAGTATATGCCATAGCATTGTATATTAATATTCCCGTAGCTATGCAGAAGACGTTACTTCAGTAACGTCTGGCGCTAGCCAGGGTCCACACAGCTTTAATTTTGGTATTTGTTTGTTTGTGTGTTTGTGTCACGCCTGGAGCTATCCCGTATCTGTCCCGTATCTGTGACTACAAAGGCTCTACAGGATTGTACATAACAGCTGGCCACAACATTTGCTGGCTCCTGTATCTGTCCCGTACCGTACCATCAAACACAGCTGGCCACAAACAGCTGGCCACAATATTCGTCGTATTATGTATGCGACTCCCTGATGTATAGGGAGATTTGGAAAGAAATAGGGAGACGAGGAGGAAATGAAATTAGAATGGACGTTAATTGCCGAATAGGTGATAGGATGCGTCAGCAAAAACATACTTTGGAAGAGAGATCCCGTCGTCTCCAAAATAAGCGTGAACGGGCGATTCAGCGCCGGTCACAGGAAACGTCGGAAGAGAGATCCCGTCGACTCCAGAACGCCCGTGATCGGCAGAGTCAGCGCCGGTCCCAGGAAACGTCAGGACAGACATCCCGTCGACTCCAAAATAAGCGTGAACGGCAGAGTCAGCGCCGGTCCCAGGAAATATTTCCATCAGTTCTAACATCATGCCATGATGAGCTAAGCAACAAAGCATAGCGTAGGGCCCTGAGCTTCCAAGCTCTCTTGTGGCATGTTCCCGTTGAAACGAACCAGCGGAACACTGATACTTCTGAATTCAGCTCTGGTTTTGCCCAGTGGCGTGGGTGTGAGAGATGGGAGCTCCCACATAGGAAGCAACCAACCTTTGCTGAAGTATCACTGGAGTCGCTACCACTGTGCCGTGAACGTTTTGCAAGTTCACTGAGGCTTCGTGCGTATCAAGTGCTGATTAATGCGGGGCAACTGTACTATATGTGTGATATGGACACGTATTAAAATGTGGTCTTGTCCTGTCATCTTGTCTTGTTGTTTTTTTGTTATCATTGCTGCGCAGGTCTTGGATATGGAGACCCCGGAGGTGGAGCGCGAGGTTCGCCGGCTTCTTAGAGAAGATCTTCAGGCGGTGAATGTCTGTATCCTGCCTGCACGTGAACGTGTTGACGTGTTATGCTACGCACTGTGTAACCTGTGTTAGGAAACTTAGGTGTCCTCCCAGGCACCCCCAGACCATACCTCAGCATCTATACAGACCTGTGCAGGAAGACAACCTGCATTTAGAGACCTTTGTTCTGTGCAGTTCCTTATCCCAGGTTAACCTGCATTTAGAGACCTTTATTCTGTGCAGTTCCTAATCCCAGGTTACCTGCCTTTAGAGACCTTTGTTCTGTGCAGTTCCTAATCCCAGGTTAACCTGCATTTAGAGACCTTTGTTCTGTGCAGTTCCTTATCCCAGGTTAACCTGCATTTAGAGACCTTTATTCTGTGCAGTTCCTAATCCCAGGTTACCTGCCTTTAGAGACCTTTGTTCTGTGCAGTTCCTAATCCCAGGTTAACCTGCATTTAGAGACCTTTGTTCTGTGCAGTTCCTTATCCCAGGTTAACCTGCATTTAGAGACCTTTATTCTGTGCAGTTCCTAATCCCAGGTTACCTGCCTTTAGAGACCTTTGTTCTGTGCAGTTCCTAATCCCAGGTTAACCTGCCTTTAGAGACCTTTGTTCTGTGCAGTTCCTAATCCCAGGTTAACCTGCATTTAGAGACCTTTGTTCTGTGCAGTTCCTAATCCCAGGTTAACCTGCATTTAGCTTTATTCCCGTAGCTATGCACTTTAGTAACGTCTGGCGCTAGCCAGGGTCCACACAGCTTTAATTTGGTGTTTGTTTGTTTGTGTCACGCCTGGCGCTATACCGTATCTGTCTAGTACCGTACCGTACCATCAAACGTACCTGGCCACAAACAGCTGGCCACAGTATTTGCTGGCTCCCGTATCTTTCCCGTACCGTGCCGTACCATCAAACACAGCTAGCTGGCCACAAACAGCTAACCACAATATTCGTCGTATTATGTATACGACTCCCTGATGTATAGGGAGACTTTGTGGAAAGAAATAGGGAGACGAGGAGGAAATGCAGTTAGAATGGACGCTAGTTTCCGAATAGGTGATAGGATGCGTCAGCAAAAAAATGCTTTGGAAGAGAGATCCAGTCGTCTCCAAAATAAGCGTGAACGGGCGAGTCAGCGCCGGTCACAGGAAACGTCGGAAGAGAGATCCCGTCGACTCCAGAACGCCCGTGATCGGCAGAGTCAGCGCCGGTCCCAGGAAACGTCAGGACAGACATCCTGTCGACTCCAGAACGCCAGTGATCGGCAGAGTCAGCGCCGGTCCCAGGAAATATTTCCATCAGTTCTAACAACATGCACGATGAGCTAAGCAACAAAGCATAGCGTAGGGCCCTGAGCTTCCAAGCTCTCTCGTTCTGTGCAGTTCCTAATCCCAGGTTAACCTGCCTTTTAGAGTCCTTTGTTCTGTGCAGTCCTAATCCCAGGTTCCTAACTTCCTGTGTATCCTGGGATGTTACATTGAAACTGTTACTGGATGCTGTATTTGCGATCGCATATGGTGCCTCTTCTGACATGATTCTAGCTCGAGCATTGTTCTTTCCTTGACTTCCTCATTGCCAGCTATTGATGTTGTCTCTGATGAGAAGCCGGCATTGAAAGGGTAAGCAATCATGTGTGTTCCCTCTTTGTTCCAATCTTGTTTCCTAGCTAGCCGAGTCTCTTGCTTGTTGAGTTGAGTTGAGCTGCTAGTATATGGCTGTGTATCTCTTTGATTCTACTTGTGTTTCTCTTGGTGTGTATTTTCAGGGCTGAAGGAGAGGGTGGAGATGAAGACGGCGAAGATAGTGAGTACAGAACAATAGATACCACATGTACCGAGGTATATCCGTATGCACAACTGCATGCACAACCATATACACAGCTGTATGCCCAACCATATACACAGCCGTATGCCCAACCATATACACAATCCCTTGGTTGGTGTGTGCCGCTCCACTATCAGTGCTGTCCTGGCAGAATTTCAATTGTGACGTCATTTTATGATGTAATGCGCTGTGCACATCTTTTCATACGTATCGTATAGACCAGTGGTAAACACATAGCCGTTTGATCATGGCATGACACAAACTTGTATCAGCAAACACGTGTGTGTGTGGGGGGGGGGGGGGGGGGGGGGCACCTTTGTGCAAACATCAGAAATCGCACCTGCAAGGTACCAATGCTCCTTGCATTGACGTGCAGTGCACTGACATTGAAAAGGACGTCAACTTGGAATTCTGTCGGGACAACACTGCATGCAGGAGTTCGTAGTACAATGTACCGAGCTACACACTCTGGAGGTTGTGCTCTCTTTCCTGTTTGTTTACTCTGTATTGGTAGTGTACTGTAGCGCCCCCTGTTTGGATTAAGAGAAATGGCGGTACATTGAGTTAGCGCGAGGTAGTTACCGAAACGTTGTCCATGGACGTGGTGCCTCCTTTGCTGTACTTGTGTGTTCATAGGGGTGTCTTGACTGTTGTCATTTTTCGTGTGTGTGTGTTTGTGTGTGTATGTGTGTGTGTGTGTGTGTGTGTGTATGCATGTGTGTGTGTGTGTGTGTGTGTGTGTGTATGCTTATTCATGCGTAGGTTACCATGGTGACTTGTACGCTGAGCTGCAGCTCACGAGCAGCGAGAACAGCTCGGACGAGAGCCCCTATCACTCCAGCGGCGATTCTGCTGACGACCATGAACCTGAGCCGGAGCCTATGGATGACGGTCGTGCCGGTATGTACTACATTCATCTCCTACATCATGTAAACAATGCTGTGGGTCTGCACCCAATACTTGCCCGACGGGCCATCACTCACGCACCTCGTCGGCACTGTTCCACGTGCTAGGCGTTCAGGTTACCGTTCCGTCGTTCGGTTCACGTTGACGGTGTTGCCGGTGTGTCACTGTCGTTATTTGTGTGCGTTCATGTGTGGGTGCTTGTGTGTCTGTGTTTCTGATCATCTCCAGATGCGTCTGGTGGGCACGAGGCGGTGAAAGAGTCCGCACAGATGAACGACTTGCGCCTAGACCTGGCTGAAGTTGAGCAGCTGATCGACAATCAAGAGATGCGCGTCCGATCGCAATCGAATCCGTTTTTGAAGGTAGGTACTGTGTGCTTGGCACGACCACCACTAGTACCCATGAGGTGCCAGCTCTGGTCTACATACCACATGTACATGTACAGGACTACACAAGCTACAAAGAGGTTCCCTCTAGCCCCTGTATCTGCACTACACAAGTCGAGTTGATATTTACTTGCAGAAGGTGCTTCAATAATGGACTCGGATGGAGAGCCAAGGATTAATTTAGAGAAAAGAAAAAGGAAAACGTCTTAGTAACTGGTGGTGTTGGTGGACATTATAGCGTAACTTGTAGTTCCTTGGTCCTTTTTCTTTTATAGAAGGTGCTTCATACTTCGTATAGCTAGGGCAGAAGGAAATGACCCCTGTTGTCTGAAAAATGGTGTTAAGCCATGAAACTCAGCCAATAAATAGCTTTGTTCCAGTGCTAACTTGTGTTACAGTTCTACTACAGTATATGTAGTACTGGTGTGCCAAAATGCCAGTGTTTATATACTCCGAAGTAATACCTAGAAGTACAGTGCCGCTCAGTGAAATCCTATCTAGTGAGTCAATGCTACGCCGGGCATTATGCAGCCCTAGACCTGCAAACTCTGGGATGTGAACTGGTTGCGGGGTGCAAACTTTTTTTTCATGCGATCGGATTTCATTGAGCAGCACTGTACACTGTACAGGGCATCCACAGTGTGCTGGATGGCTGTTTCAGTGACATTCCTGCATTGCATCATGCTAGGGACGCAGTGCGTGCAGGCAAGAGTACGTGAAACCCAGAGCGTGCAGCTCGAATGCGCTGCTGTCATGACGAAATTCTTGGATTACGTCACTTTCGTGATTTAGTGTGTACACATTTTTCAGACCCCTGTTGTCTGAAAAATGGTGTTAAGCCATGAAACTCAGCCAATAAATAGCTTTGTTCCAGTGCTAACTTGTGTTACAGTTCTACTACAGTATATGTAGTACTGGTGTGCCAAAATGCCAGTGTTTATATACTCCGAAGTAATACCTAGAAGTACAGTGCCGCTCAGTGAAATCCTATCTAGTGAGTCAATGCTACGCCGGGCATTATGCAGCCCTAGACCTGCAAACTCTGGGATGTGAACTGGTTGCGGGGTGCAAACTTTTTTTTCATGCGATCGGATTTCATTGAGCAGCACTGTACACTGTACAGGGCATCCACAGTGTGCTGGATGGCTGTTTCAGTGACATTCCTGCATTGCATCATGCTAGGGACGCAGTGCGTGCAGGCAAGAGTACGTGAAACCCAGAGCGTGCAGCTCGAATGCGCTGCTGTCATGACGAAATTCTTGGATTACGTCACTTTCGTGATTTAGTGTGTACACACGCAGGATTCAAGCAGGTCTCCTGCTGGACAACTGCAGCTCAGTTGTATGCACTACACCACTTCCCGCCACTTATCTGCATCAACTATGGTGTACTCCAGGAATTTTGCCGTAATAGACACAGCCATGCAGGAAAAGTCAGAAGCTGCTCACTCTTGGTTTCATGTACATGACATTCTTGCCTTGTATTATTGGTGCAGGCCAGAGTCAAGCAAGCCTGCTGCTGTACACCTGCCGCACAGTTAGGTGCACAGAGCCCCATTTGTGCTGCTCAGCTGCAGCTTATATGCAGTTGTACATGCAACGCCCCAGTTGTGCTGCCCGCCTGCTTGCTGCTCGGCTTCTCTGATAATGGTTCTATTGCCGTTTACTTTGCGTGTGCCTACACAGGAACGATTCATGCAGCGTCTGACCGATTTGAAATCACGTCGGGAGACCATTCTGGCCAAGGTCAGTGTTTCTTTCTTTCTGTGTACTAGGTGTTGTTGTGTTGTACATCGCATACACCATGTACACGGCAGGAACCTGACTGAGTATGTGCTGCTGTGCTTCTTAGACTGGGCTTCCCATACTTTGGAAGTGCACAAAGGCACACTATGAAAACCTTGGCAAATTCCGTTGTGACTTTGGAAGTAGTAATGGGAGGTATGCATCTAAGATGGCCGTAACCTTTTTGCGGGGCAAGTTACCCCATACTTGGCAGGTACAACCCGTTATAGTACATTTATGAGTACGACCTTACAAAGTTCATGATCTTTTATGCAGAGCTGGTATCACAGTGTGTACAGTTGTAGTGGACTTGCCCCGCAAAACCTAATGGCGGGAAATTGATGAATACGTCCCATTTTAGGATCTGTACGGGTAGTTGGGCACTGTCGTTGCCAGGATCGTAATGATCGACCTGTGTTTTAAAACCCGACCACATGTCTTGAGAGGCTGTGCGTCTCAGGCCCCACGGCACCATGACCATATCACACTTCAACATACAATGTACATTGTTGACTTGCACGGGTACACGTATTGAAATGCCACGTATCTACTAGGACCAGTTTTCTCTGCACCACCATGGGGTGATCGCTGATCACATGATCCACTACACACCAATGTACTACAATGTAGTCCGTACTGTGGCCATGATGAGACGGGTAGCCGCGGTAATGGGGTCTGTCTATGATTGCTAGTACTTAGTAGTAGTCAAGATCCCTGTCACCCCACTTTTTGAGGTGAGCCTCTAAGTGGGGTTATTTCCAAGTTCACCCAGAGTTTGGGGATATCAGGGTTTCGGCCGTTGGGCGGTTCGATAGCCTTTTCTCCCGGGGAGACACATGTGACCAGTTTCTGGCAGTGAGCAAGTACAAGGCAGTACACATGTGTGTACGTGTGTACGTGTGTGTGCGCCTTCTGATGGATGTGCCATGATAATATTGTTTCCCTTTCCTTTTCTTGTTGCATAGATGGAAGACTACCGCAGATAGCCCACGTCTTCACCGGATGCCATCGACCACACCGCGCTCCAAGGGCTGTTCTCCTGTTGCAGGGTGGGGGAAATCCTCGCAGACTGACTACAAGTCCACAATGTCAGCCATGGCAGGTCACTCTTTGCTTGAATCCAGTGCCAGTGTGCGTGCATTCGTCAACGTGTACGTGTCTGCATGTTTTTGTCACTCGTGTACATAGCTTACTCTCTGCAAATAGCTGGCTGTGTGTGTGTGTGTGTGTGTGTGTGTGTGTGTGTGTGTGTGTGTGTCTGTGTGTGCGTGCTGCTGTTGATGTTGCTGTTGCTTTTGCTATTCATACTTGCTGCTGTTCATTATGCTGTTTTCACTTGCTTCTTACAGTGCACATAGTACCTAGGTTTTTTTTATAGACTTGTACCCAATTTTTTATGTTCAAAGCTGTGTATTTCCGACTTATTTTATCAGCCCCTGCCGCACGCATTGCTTCTACAGTTGACATGTTCTTTCTAGTACTTCAAAAGTAATTAGGGCACATTGAGACTTTTAATGGATTTTTTCAAGTTCTACACCATGCAAGATGGAACAATCAGACCGGAGACAAACGACTATCATCTTCCATTCGCTGGCTATGCATAGCGAAATACATAATTCAAAATCATGAAAAACCGTAGGGCATACTCGTGACATTGAGCACATGGCACTACGGTAAATGAATCCCCTATATATAGCTATACAGTTTTTGTTACGCATTATTGCACGGCTGTGACAGATCATCGCCGGGACACGTCTCCACAGTCATGCCTGACAGCGGAACACAAAGAACTCGTGCAAACACACGGTTCTCCTCGGCGTCACTTTCCCTTCTCCAGGGGTGATGGTCGTGGCCCACATTGCAGGGCTTGAGCTGCAGTTCGAGTCCACTCACATCACTCACAGAGGAACAGACGGGCAATGCTGAGTGCCCACCAGTACACATCCATTTGCGTGCATGTGGGCATGCATACGACTAGCACTAGCAATATTTGGCACACAACCACTACTACAATTAGTCAGTAGTAGGCTACCAAGTCATAAGCTAATATAATTTGAGCCTCTAAGTATGTGATCATGCACGTATACGGTCATACACGTAATTATTGTGGCATTGCAATCTCGCACTCAACATATGCCACACACACGCGCACACACACACACACACACACACACACACACACACACACACACACACACATGTTTGTGATGTGCAGTGCCTGGATGGAGCGAGTCGTGGCTTGACACATCACTCCTGTGATCATGGGGATGTATGCAGCACAGCACTACAATGCACACTCAGCCATGACGGGCTACTTGTCACTGCGCTAATTCATCCCACAGTACTGGAGAGCATCATTCAATGGCGAGTGCCAAGCAATGGCGTGAGTTGGCTGATAGCATGCAGGACTATTCGTGCCACTATCCCGTGCTGGTATCAGCGTAAAATAGAACGAGTCGGTACGTCACTAGTATTAGCCGAGTCTAGGAACACGAGACATTTATGCTTAGGGTTGAGCATACCAGACATCCAGTACTGGAGCTGAGCTTGTTTGACAAGCAGCTAGTCCAGCCTTTCCAAATGAGTCATTACTCTGTTGGTTGTGTGGTACAGGGCATAATGTAACGCGAAGGATGTCCCTTCTGTACATTTTAGTATACCGCACGGAGCTAGCGACTGGCGTGACAAGTCCACAACGACTCCATAAGGCGCCAGCATGTTCGTATTTTCCAATAGCGCTGCACCTCCCACTGCACTACTGCTCAGCAAAACCCTTACGGTCACAGGGGAGTACTGACGTGGCTGCGCTTACTGAGCAGAAGTTTCCATCATGCATAGGCTATCCTGCCGCGCCATGCTTCTGGACCACCGTCATTGCACGGGCATTCGTTGAGCTCGCCTTCATAAAGGTGGCTTTGAACGTAGCATCATGGGTTCTCTTCTGCTGCGCTCACCTTCTTTTGGCCTGAAGGCATTCGTGATTTCTTTGACTTATCATGAGTCCGCACTGATAGGTCAGGACTTGACTTAGAATCTGCTGGTGTTGTCCTGTCAATCGGCAGTTTTTCCTCTCTGCTTTCTTTTGCCTTGCTATTCGTGGCCGCACGCCGTTTACATGCAGCTAGGTCAGCGTGTCGGCGACTACTGAGAGTGGAGAGAAGAGTATTACTCAGGAATCTCTTGTTGGTTTTCGGCAGAGAAGGCTTGGCCCAGCCGCTGGGACCCACCAGATCAGCTCTGGCTTTCGCCCTATCAGACTCCCGGAGCAGCTCCTCCAGAGCCTGCTTCTCTAGCGCCTCTTCGTCCATTATCAGATGCCAGCACAGGCAAAGACTCTCGATATACGACTTCTCTCTGCATCACGAAACATTGCTGCATGTAGTGGTTGACACCAGTGATTGTTCTTGTATTCGTGTTTCAAATCAAACAGATGAGCAAGTGTGACGTTATCTTGTCCTTCCAATGACATAATTTTTATCTGTGATGTCAGAAATCGAAAAGGACAAGGAATCTGTCTAACTTTTTTTGTGCAATGACACGCAGGATAGGAGGAAGAGAGACATACAGAATGCTGAACGTCAAGTAGCGTTGTTATTTTGTAGTTGCCAGTTCTTTCTGGTGTTCCTCCCTGGTCTGGAACTGCATTTCTTCATTCGTCGTGCCTGTACGTCTTCAGTGGAAATAGTCCTGAATTTTAATCGTGATAATGGGAGTTTTTTGTCACATGGACGCTCAGTGTCTGTGTTGTTATGGTGGAGCAATTCTGGCCCTGATTGGTGCTGTGGTGAGTAAATAGCCTATATTTCCGTTCTGATACACCGTGTGTCTTCCTGCCGCGGTTGCTTGGAACGTGTTTAGCAAGCTGGCATCAATTTGAAACTAAATTCTCTTGATAGCATTATGTTGTAGTTCTTTTAGTCCTTTAGCTTTGCACTGATATAGCACCTTACTCAAACAATCGAAATGTTTGATCACTGTATACATGGTATAATAATTATTATGTATACACGCTTGTACTTCGATCGAAGTATGATCAGCGAGTACATTCATGTAGGCTAGTGTTTAGAGCCATAAATATAAATGATCCATTTGTACATACCGCGCTCGCCTTCACCCCCGGGGGCACTATTTTTTCAGTCCATCACAGACGGGGCACTACCGGTATTCAAGAGAGGGAACTATTTTCTCAATGCTGGTACATATGCATTTACGTCATCCAACATAAAAACAAAGGAGGCAAAGAGAAACAGGGTCTTAAATTTACTCCAAACTTTCATGACTCGACAGAAACTGCAACAAGAACTGCGATTTTGATCCAGAAACCACCAGTGCAATGGCATGGACGAGAACCTTAGCAAAACAACACCAAACTCGCACATGCGTTAGATTACAAGTCGGGGGGGGGGGGGGGGAGTACTATTGGAGGGAGGGCTTTATTTTTTCATTGGCACTATTCGAGACAGGGCATTATTCAAGAGAGGGCTCTATTCAAGCGTGTCAGCGAGTATGCACACCACATTAACCTTTGACGGACTATACAGTAAACCCTGTGACTAACGACCAACCCCTCAGTGGGGCCAGAGAAAGCGGTCTTTAGTGGCAGGTGGTCCTTAGTTAGAGGTTTGCGCTGCACAACCATACTGAATGTGAGACCGTCCGTGCCTGGCGAAGTGGTCTATAGTACCCGGCTGGTCGCTAGTTACGGTGGTCTTTAGTTACAGGTTTTACTATATCTCATTTCCCTGTTATTATTATTCCTCTGTAGGTATTACTTTTTATTCGCTTCACATCAGCAAAGCCGAATCTGACACGCTATGATGACGAGAAGTCTTTCATCGACCCCAAGTCTGGAAAGCGTATCCCGTTCCCTAGCATACTGGACCAGGCGTCTGTGTATCTGTCCATCATTGTGCCGTCCTATAATGAAGAAGAGCGTTGTAAGTTTAGTATACGCATGTGTATCCCGGTGTCAGGTCAATTTAGTGTACCGGTACATGAATTGATGTACTTTAATGCCCTTGCAGTACAGTAAAATCTGTGTTTGCCGGACCCTGTGCCAAGCGGAATCCTGTCTCGACCGGACAATTTTTTCATGCACCATAGCAGAATCCTATCGTATCAGGACAGTTTCCGCTGCACCAAGGATGTCCCGTTAGGGCTGGTTTTACTGTACAAGAAACAGATGGTGTAAGGTGTATGTTTTACTGTGATCTCAACATTGCCCTCTTACGAATTTGATAAGTATTTGTTGATTATCTCTAATGGACGGGTTGCCTGTGTGTGTGTGTGTGTGTGTGCGCGTGTGTGTGCGTGCATGTGTGTGTGCATGGGTGTGTGCGTGTGGGTGTGTGTGTGTGTGTGTGTGTGTGTGTGTGTGTGTGTGTGTGTGTGTGTGTGCGTGCATGTGTGTGTGTGTGCATGTGTCCTGTGTTGGTTTCAGTACCGATAATGCTTGACGAGACACTTGAGTACATGCAAGAGAGACAGGTACGGTGCAGATCTATTTACACATACATAGAGTAGTGCTGATGTTGCTGCTGCTGATGTTGCTGCTGCTGCTGATGTTGCTGCTGCTGCTGCTGCTGCTGATAATGATGATGATGATGATGTTGCTGCTGCTGCTGCTGCTGCTGCTGATGTTGCTGCTGCTGATGATGATGTTGCTGCTGCTCCTGCTGCTGCTGCTTCTGTACCACATGCATGTCCATCTTGCCATGCCAACTGTAGCTTTGTGTCGGCGATGGCTTGGAGCACGTGCTCGTTGTGTCCTGATTGTAGTTTGCACTGGACACCCTACATAACCACCCACTGTGTCGTTGAGTACATTTCTACATCCCAAACATGGCACCAGTTATACTTCACATGTGTTACTCATACACTTCCCGCTGTGGTGGTGTTGCATGCGGGGCTTTCCCCATCATTACAATGCTTTGATAGTCATTCAACGGAAGTAGATTTAATTTGCTTTTTTTGCTGTTTGTTTTGTTGTTGCCGGTGCCTTTTGCAGACTGAGAAGCCTTCGTTCACGTACGAAATCATCGTAGTTGATGATGGCAGCCGAGACAAAACGTCTCAGGTAAGCGTGTCCTGTCTGCCCCTGCAAGTGTGCAGGCTTGCGGTTTCATCGCCACACCTCTCTCATGGCTAATCCTCTGTTGCAGACTGCTGCAGCGGGCAGTGATAGCTCATAGACAAACCGGCGGTGTTTGTGGCAATGCACATGATCTGCGGACGGTGCGGACAGGCTTAAAAAGCGACCATATGTTGGTGATGATTCATTGGAGCAGTGCATGCACTGCACTGTGGGTCGAGCTGTTCGCAAACAATACGCTTCTCTCCCCTTCCCAGTTCCTACACCAACAGTGTGTGGAAATTCTTGGTTGTGTACTCGTTCTTGCGTGTGTGTGTGTTTGCTGACCAGGTGGCACTAAAGTACGCTGAGCAACACGGCACTGACCGTATCCGTGTGCTGACGTTGGTCAAGAACCGCGGCAAGGGCGGCGCAGTGAGACTGGTGAGTAGTGACCTCTTCAAATGAGCATGGCACGATGTCATGGCTGTAGTGATCACTATGGTGATTACGTCATCCCCGGTATCATGAATGAGCTTTGTTAGGGTAGCAGACATGGCCAGTCAGGTTCAGAAATAGAGCTACGGAGAGATGTGTACCTGTTGTGCTGAGTGCAACGTGAATGCGACGTATGTTCTCCTGTTTGATATTGAACTGTTTCCGCTTTGTGTGTGTATGTGTGTGTGTGTCTGTGTGCGTGTGCGCGCGCTGTGCCGTGTGCTCCTGTGTATGATCATATGCAGGGCATGCTGAGCGCACGCGGTGAGATTCTCTTGTTTGCCGATGCAGACGGAGCGACCAAGGTCAGCGACCTGATCCGTCTGGAGAACGCTCTTCACAAGGATGCTCCACAGAAGGTTGGTGGTGCCTTGGTGCAGCTTTCTTCTCTTTGCTTACTAGTACTTAGACTAGAGGGTGTTCGCCAGTACTCTACTGGTTGGTGTAGCAGTGTCAGGTAAACCCGTTGCTCTACCGAGCTCTATCGCCTGTCTGAAGTCATGGACTCGTACGGTAGAGTATGCTGTCCGTAACTTGTTCCCAGAATGTCCAAGATGGGTATTGTCATGGGGTGCTCCCCACCCATGCAACACAAGTTACACAACCCATGAATCTTTTCGCCGAGGATATCCTATCCCAGTGTGTTCCTCTCACAGTGTACCGCATTCTTGTTTTGTCACTGTGTGTGTGTGTGTGTGTGTGTGTGTGTGTGTGCGTGCATGCGTGTGTGTGGTGTTTGCGTGCGTGTGTGTGCGTGTGTGTGTGTGTGTGTGTCCCTGTACAGACCGATATGGCCATAAGCTGCGGATCGCGTGCTCATCTGCAGGAGGCTGCTGTTGCGGAGGTGTGTGATACTGTGTATATGTACATGCAGCTAACTGGATTTGTTGTCGTATGAATACCAGGGGGAGGAGGGATTGGTTTGAAATTCTACCTTTACTTTCAGGCGGATAGACATTGCTCTTTTTGATGATCACGTGCTTGAGCAGTTCTTCCATGTTTGGAACAGAGTGGCACAACTAGTGACCTTGAAACTCCACTTCGGAATACATGTGAAACAATTTGAAGCTGCTCGAGGGAGTGCCTAATTTATCTGGCTGCAGAGCGTTATACACAGAGCGGGATTGAACTTGTTTAGCTGTGACTTAGAAAGTCGTGCATAATATTACAGTCATCATCAGACAGCGTTGACTACAATGTCCAACGGATGTGTCTGATACACCGTACTGTAAAAGCAGAAATTTCCGGTGGTGTTTTATTTTTGGTAACTTCGGTGCTGACAATTTTTACCGAAAATAAAACGCACCGAAATTGTCGGTACTACTCAGTAGTACACTTCGAAAATTTCCCTCCACTGAACCGCTGATTTTGGAGAATTCCGAAAATATGACATCACCGAAAATTTCTGCTTTTATAGTAGTGTGATTGCAGCATATTTGACTGTTGCTGTCTGTATTTGTATCGTCCAAGCTAGTGTGATAATAATAATATCCTCGTAAATTGGCTGCAAATAACACCCAGTCTCATGAATGATAGTTCCGGGGCTGTGTGGCCCAAGCACAACCAACACTTGGCTGAGAAGTGAACGCAATTCTGCTGTATTCACCGTGAGGTCGGAGTTTAGTTGCAACAACTGTACTTGTTGTATGTGAGTGTGTGTGTGTGCGCGAAATGCCTCGATGAGCGCCGCAAACCTGTATCAGAACAGAGAGGTAGCCGACAATGTTCTTCCTGCGAGCGCTGGTTCCGCAGTGCCGGAGGTTTGGCGGTCCACAAGTACCCCAACTCCCGGATGCTTCCCACGACATCGTCTCGGGCTCCGTGCCGGGCGGCGGTGTCTACCATTGCTGCTCAGGCGACTCCTCCGCCGCCGCATGTGCGGCTCGCCCTCTCATGCTGCAAGGGCCACTGTGGGGCCTGTGGTCGGTGCTGCCGCTCTACTCGTGCATTCCAAATCCATAGCTGCCAAAGATGGCTCTCTCGTCGTGCCGATTGAACATGGTCCCTGATCTCTCGGCAGACTGCCGACTTTCTGCCGTCGCTCGTCGTTTCCATGTTGTCGGCCCCGCAAGGGGACGCGTGGCCATAATGGCAGTGTTTACCAGGACCAGGACCAGGTGTGCGCGTGCGTGCATGCGCGTGTGTGTGTGTGCGCGCACGTGTGTGTAAGTGTCTATTCCAAGTACCGTATTTTACGGAGTATAAGCCGCACCCCGACCCCATTTTTTGCCTTGAAATACACACTTCTACCCTATTATTTTATTCCCGTTAATTTGATCACCAGAGTGTAAGCCGCACCCCCCCCCCCCCATTTTGGGGGTGGGTTTGAGTGTTTAAAATGCGGCTTATACTCCGGAACAATACGGAAGTCATTTTCTCCCTGCTTATCAAACCATGACAGTATTACCAACAGAGCTTCTGTAGTACTTGTAGTATCATGTTCGTTAAGGGGCGTCGGACACGGTACGGTCACCAGGGTATTGACCGTACCACTTTTTGTCTCAGGTACCCCGTGAATCAATAAAATACACTCATCTGGGCTCTAAATTTCCAAACTTTTCGCATCAGTAACCCCTCCCCAACGTGTTAATTGTAATACCTTCCGACGCCCCTGGCAATTAAGACCCGGCCGTTGATCGGCTGTGTTTGTGTGCTGCCATTGTTTTGTGCTCGTAGCGTACACTTCTGCGCAACTTCTTGATGCACGGATTTCACTTTGTCGTGTGGTCGCTGTGCGTGCGCGGTGTCCAGGACACACAGGTGAGGCGCTTTACAATCTCCACGCTGTGGAAATGTTATCGCAAGTGTAGTTTGTGCCTGATGTCTAATTGCTACGTTTGAAAACGAGCAAAGCATATTCCCTCTTGATATTGGGTGTGTTTGTCAAGTCTATTACACTAGAGCATCAGTTATCCGAACCCCTCGGGAAAGACGCCGTTCACAATTCGAAGGGGCTCGGGTGAGGGAAATGGAGAGAGACAGACAGACAGACAGACAGACAGACAGACAGACAGACAGACAGACAGACAGACAGACAGAGAGGGTCATGGAATATGTATGCAGTATAGGTCTCCTACATGCACGTGATACAGTTTCATCCTCGAAAAATGCATACAAGATCATGTACTAGTGGTTCTACCATGCATTGACGGACATGGAAGTAGCGTCCAAGCCATTCCAGATACAGTAATCGATTGCCGGGTAGTCAATGCTCAACTGTACATGTATTTAAATCATCGCCTTTCTTTCTTTTTTTCTGTCTTGCCTGAACATGCAGTGTGGCTTCAAGCTGCTGACACGCCGTGCTGCCACGCTGATCTTCTACACGATGCACGTCGACAGATGGTAAGCGCATGTGTATGTACCAGCCGTGATGCTACTCGAGGGGGAGCCTGACCTGTGCAGCCGCCTGGTGCTGCACGAAAGCAGTGCTGATGACGATCGTTCTCGAGTCACCTACGTCATAATGCATGGCAAAACTTGGCTACTTGGTTTAGTGCCTGAGATACATGGTCTTACTTCTCGCCTTCGTAAAACTCGACTCACTCAACTGCAGTTTTTGAAAGAGAATGCGGCTTATTGTTCTTTTAAACATTCATTTTGGAGACTACTTTTCATGGCTGTGAAGAGAACTAATTGTGCTGTGAACTTAACTTTATTGATTCTCTTGCCATCATTTTATGTTTGCTTGTCAGTGCATGCACGTTTTGTTACTTCGAAGACATGATGACACTGTGCTGCGATGCTTCGATGTGGTTGCACTGTTTCTGCACAGGGCGTTTGACGTGGAGCTGCTGTATGTAGCGCAGCAGCTGAAGATTCCAATCTCCGAGGTGGCTGTCAACTGGCAGGAGATTGAGGGTAAGCCCCGTACCCGGTGTGAGAGCCAACCAACCTGGCGTTTCCACGTCCGTTGGAATGCCACCATCCTCATGGGTCAATGTGATCCCAGTCAACACTGCAAATCCCATGTTACCCCCCCCCCCCCCTTCGACTCTAAATAAAAGAAACAGCACCCCCTCCCCCCCCCCCCCCCTTGAGCATGATTTAGACTGGCACAGTGTGTTTCACATCTGGATTATCATGTGCACCCAATATTTTGAGCTTGTAGTAGTGCATCACAAGTGAATTGTACTCTAGCGAATATGACATTGACATTTGGTTGATGGTGGGTGGGAGGGAATGTTTTCCCTCTTTTGTTCGCTGTCTTCTGTATGGAATTCCCTGTATTTTGCAATGGCTTGGCAGGGTAGCATTGACTTGTTGGTCATACTACAGCGTACTGGTATCTGCATGCTCTGAATCGCTTGACTGTGTCGTCGCTGTCGTTGCTGCTCAGGCTCCAAGATGACGCCGCTCTTCAGTTGGATTCAGATGGCCAGGGACTTGGTGTTGATAAGCTTGCGCTACGCAACGGGTGGCTGGAAGATTGAACCCGTACCGAGCAAGTCCAGCTAGATGGCGCCTGCGTACGTTCAATTCCAATTTATTCTGAACTCGGATGGTGGGCCAATTGTACTCATGGATAAGAGGAAGGACAGAAATGTTTCGGGTTTGGACTGATGAGATAGGTGTGGATATATGGATGTAGAGGTTCGTAGATGCGTTGGATGTCTCAGTTACCCCTGTCAGGTTTTTTTGCCGTAATATCGCGTTATCTGACTGTATGATCTGGTTGCATTATTGGACCATTAGTCGTAACGCGTAACACGTTTTGTCCTTCCTCTCGTCCGATTTATTCTTTTCGATTTATTCCACACGAGATATATTTACGCGTATTCCCCGATTGTCCGTCTCATTGGTGGTCGCTCCCGATGCTGTTTGTTGTCTCGCCTAGCGATCCGATGGAACCTAACTGGTCTGGAACCAAGTCTAACCTCGCTGATGCTCTTTGTACTTTTGTATGCCTCCACTCTGGCTAGCTACGGATTGAATTGTTTTAGACCTTCGTGTCAGCCTCTGCTCTCGTTCGTACGCGCGACAGTTGCAACTCGTGCAGCTGTTGCGGCACACAAACGTTATATCCATTTCAATTGAATGTACTGTTAGATGCGAATTCTCATTTTTAAATTACCACCTGTCACTGCCGAACATCCATTCCAGTAGTGTGTACGCGTGTGTGTATTCTGCTCTTCCGGGCTCCACGGTTCGGTTTGCAGCCGTACATTGCATGTCTGTCTCTTGCCGCTCGGCTGCTGAACGAGCGGGCGAACCATGCATGTGGTGTGGTTGTTGTTTGGAATACCATGTCGTCAGCACGCTGGGGGAATGTGGCGATGGAGTCTATACCCGTGCCCGGTCTACCTGGTGCAGTGAAACGTCGGTGTAAAGTGCCCTGGGTATAATACTATGGGGTGCATTGTATACATGCATGTAGTACGACGTGAAACCCCTGACTGCCCTGTGTAGTGTAGCACCCTGCTTTTTAATTTATTTACTCAGTTGACCTCAGATAGAGTGCCTTGGGTATGAAGTACATATTTTACGGCCCTTGGGTATTTACTGTCTTACTAATACTATAGTGTGGTGCATGAGCTTAGCGGGTATTAGTACCCGACCCGGTAGTGGCGGGGCCCGCCCGATAGCTTACAGGGTACCCGTTTGACCACTACGATAATTATATCCCATAGACATCGTGTGTTAGTATCCCAATAATATCCAGGGTACTTGAAATAACCATTGAACTGTTCCACTGACTCTGTAGCCTGTCCTCGTCGTATGCACACTCTGTCCAAGTAGTAGGCTTTGCCAAAAACTCGAAAGAGCGAGGGATATCCGGATGTAGCCCTCACCGGTACACTACTGAGTCTGTCTGCAACTGCCAATATTGCCTCATGACACGAGTCGTGCCAATACAAGCCACGGCCATTACTAATTAGCCAGTACAAGCCCTCACAATGATTATCATGCTAAATGGAGTCATCTCTGATAATCTCGGATACCATGGATACTGATCACACTGAGCACAGGTCAAGATTGTAGTAACTGGTTCAACTTCAAGTGTCACATGCACAGACTCAGTTGTCACTTCTGATCATGATGATATCAGTCAGAAAATAATGCTTCAAACTGTCAAAGAAAATACATGTAGCGGCGAATAGCCGCTACTGCAGGCCGGGTGCATCGTGAAACTTTGGAGAATGAAGTGGTGAAATCAAAAAGTAGCTCACTTTCTCCAACATTTTCATAACAAGGACATTACATTTCCCGTTGGCCTGGTCGACTAAAAACACTCTACCGAGTTGCAGGCCTGGCAAGCTGACATGGCCTCTCCTCACGGAGACTCGTTCTACTGCCTTACACCGGACGAGCTGGGGGACAATGGCTTGCTGGCATACCATGTCGTCACTATGCTCAGCGCTATCGCTGGTCTTGCTGGAGCCATCCATCAGGTACGCATCTGGAAGCAGCAGTTGCAGCGGCAGCGCTACTCCACGGCGACTTCGTCCGAGTTCCTGACCCACTCGATGGCCAGGCGGACATGGGAGCAGCGCTCGGTGCGGGGTGAAAGCAGTGGCGGTGCCAGCAGACCTGTGGAGGGGTTCGTGGACCCTGAGGTCGTGGTCGGGCTTGCGTATGCGGATGCATTGGCATGCATCAGTAAGTAACTACATGTATTATCATGCGGAACGACCTATTAAATTTTCATTTTAAGTCCTTACTTCACTGATGTGGAAACCATACTGATAATTACTCCAAAGTCATGTACTAGTACTAGTAGAGTACATGACTGACTGTAGATACGTTCTAGCAATGAATGATCGAGGGTGAAGTGGGCACAGTGCCAGTGTGGCCGAGGGGCAGGGGAGAGGTGCAACAGGGGCGTAGCTCAGGGGTGTGTGTGGGGGGGGGGGGGGGGGTGGAGCACGGCCGCATATGTGCAGGATGGCTGGTGCATGTCATTATTGGTCATCATGTGCATACTGAACCTACAATGAAGGTCGACATTTTTAGGTGGGGGCATGCGGGGGTGCACGTGCCCCCCCCCCCCCCCCCCCCCCCCCCCCCGTGCCCCATGCGGGTTACGCGCCTGGGGCAAGGTTCGTTTGCACGCCAATGAATTAAAAAGAATTAAAGACTACAGAGAAGGGCCTGTCCCTGTAGCGGGTCTGCTCCCTATAGCAGGTCTGCTTCCTGTAGCAGGTCTATTCCCTATAGCTCTGCCCTGCACAGCTGTTATCATGGACTAGCCCTAAGCCCTGTCACTGGGGTCCATCATAGCCACTGGGTGTGTGTTCCATGCATTGCCGGAGGTCAGTACTGTTGGCATGCCCTACAATAAGTAGTCACTCATGACTCATGACTCATGAATGTTCATGACATGAGATATGATCCTTGTGACCTTTTTTTTAATGGGTAACACCATCAAACTGGATCATAATAGTTATAGTCATGTACTACATGTAAAAGCCATATATATAACGAAGTGCTAACTCTAACGAGTTAACGAGGAGAAATCTGTCGTTAAAATAGAAATCGTTGATTCGTTATACAGAAATCGATAGATGTACTGTCCTATTGAGCGTTGAGAATGGGTGAGAATCGTTGCCTTTTGTACACGTAAACCAGTCAATTCTGTGAAATCGTTATATATGCGCCTCGTTAGAATAATGGCTTTTACAGTAAGTTGAAGGCACTGGAAAGGGGGAAAGTTTCAAGACAGGTGAATATGACCACCAGGACACGAACCAGGGACCCTCATTATAGTAATAGGCCAGCGATGCTCTATCCACTGAGCTATGGTGTTGCCGATACTTGTGCATGCTCAGCTTTGGCATTGCCAGGCGCCCAGTGGCGGCCACACTTTCCCACTACCATCACCACCTGCGGGTCAAACATGTGTGTATGTATAACAACTGAAGTCAACTGATGCAATGTATATACTTTGATCTGCCCCTTCCCTAATTTCCGCTGTTGAATATCTACCTGTGAAGCAACTTCAGCTTATACGTCAACATACGGCGTTGACCCGACGGTTGAACAGATGTACTTCGCTTATAACGACACTCAGCGGGGCATCAGAAAAGTGTCCTTATTCGCGAAGTGTCGTTATACCCGAAGTCTCATTATATATATTACAGTTGGGTGGGAATTTGCTCTGGGCATGGACATTCTGTCCTTATTCGCGAATTGTCGTTATATCCGCAGTCGTTATTAGCGAAGTTGACTGTACACGATGCGCGACAGTGCAGATGCGGCATGTGGATGAAAATGTGCACAGTCCAGCACGGCAACTTGATGATTCTAATCTCTTTGTGCAGTTGTACATACGGTAGTACTTGAGAGGCTTGATCTAATTCACGTCTCCTGCCGGAAACCAGCTGGGAAGTAACACAGCGTGTGTGTGTGGGGGGGGGGGGATCACCAGTACTTTATGGTACACTTTTGTGAGTGTATGAGATGATACATAGGCCAATCCTCATGGAGCAGTAAATGTTTGCCAACCCACACACTCTGCCCAGTACTGCTTGCATTAATACATGAAGAGGTACGACAAGCAATTGTCAAGTGGAGACTCCCGTTCGTTGGCACCCGATGTTACTTTACCTCTTCCTGCACCTCTTCTGTCATGTGATCGTGTGCCTGCAGCTTTGATTGTCCGCAGCATCATGGCGTTCTCTTTCAAGGGGCCCATTCCGTACCCCAGCAACTCTGGCTCCAACGACACCACACTGCCCGACGTCATGACAAGTTCCAGTGCGGGTTTACTTCACGGTGGCCGTTTGGCCGATACAGTGGCGCCCGGAACGGAGACGCCGGCGATAGAGTTCCAGCCCAACAAGTGGTGGTACGAGCTGCTCGGCGGACCTGTGGAGGTAAGGGCTGCATGGCTGATTCATTCAGTCTCGGTCACCAGCAGTGCTGTCGGTTGTCACTGCCATGGTGGGCAGCATGGCCCCAGTCGCGCAGTGTAACCTGTAACAAATATCTCAGTGGCAAGCACCCCATGCGGGTTGCGTGAGGGTCATGCAGTCCCATAGTACACAATAACTATCAGACAACGTATGCATGGGGAATAATGGAGATCATGCCGGTATATGTATGAAGAAATGAAGGTGTTTATAAGAGAGATGTTACTCAATCTGCGGACAGAACGGTTTCATATAGAGAGGTTATATTGTCATGTGCTCTTTCTCTACTAGTCAAAACCTATTCTGAGGCATGGACTGGGTCTGAGGTGACCAGTTTCTTCACCTGACTGGCGGTCTCTCACTACAATGGGTGCTGCATAATAAAAGTGCACAAACTGACTTAAAAGTAGATGTTTCGGGCACCAGACATGCACTCCTATTTCCTTTATTCCTATTGTATTCTTCTTGGCACCAAGTCGAATCTCTCGTGTGTGTGTGTTTGTGTGTGCGCGCGCGCGTGTGTGTGTGCGCGTGTGTGTGCGTGCATGTTTACGTGTTTATGTGCATGTGTGTTTGTAGTTTTTCTTAGTTTATTTCTACGTGGCGACGTACCTGTGGACGCTGACGTATGCCGTGAACGTGTATCACAACTTAGCCAACAAGCCAATGTAAGTCCAGGTGCGCGCGTACATGCCTAGACTGTGCAAGGGGTGTACATCATGCATGTATAGAGAAACGGGTTGCAGGTAGTACACCTAATTGTTAAAAGCCGCGCTGTGAAGAGGACTCGCGGCAAAGAGTGACCTCCTAGCCACAAGTGTAATGTGTAATGTTCACGGACAGAAGAACGAGCAGCTGTTTTTCGTAACTGTTTTTTTTCCGATAATGTGTAATGTTCTCATGCTGTCCGCATAGGTTAGGCTCCTGATGGTGTGGACGTGCACGGCGATGATTCTAACACTTGCAGATAATGCCCTGAACAAAACGTGTGACACAATAACAAGGCATCGGGTCATTATCAATCAAGTGTTAGAATCTGTATCAATATTGATGTTCACCGTGATTCAGTGACCAAACCTGTGCAGACCGGAGGAGAACATTGCACGTTGTACAGTTGCGCTCACTGAAATCCGACCCAAAGTGCAAAACCAGTTCCGATTACATCATTGTCATGGTACATGCATACGTACAGCCACATTTGTGCCACTTCCAGAGCGTCAAGGGTCGGTGCAAGTTGAGGGCGCCAAATATGCACTCTGGGTCGGATTTCACCGAGCGCAACTTTTGTTGCTTTTACACGGTCACACTTTGCCGCAAGTGCTCTTCACAGTGCGTAGGAGGACACTGCACTGTTGTATGTGTTAGAAGTCACACGTCACTCTCGTTCGTAGGGTACCTACCGTATAGATGCAAGTAACTGCTGATGTAGTATGTGCTGTTGTCATCACATATCATGTGCTGCTGTCAATTTTACTGAAGTAGTTGTTCACACCTCGTCATTGGCTCCCATTTTCCTTATACCTTGACACCCTGCGTAGTATATCAGTCGTTACAGTGAGCTATTTCAACCTCCTTTACTCTCTCTCCTTACTGGATGTACTCACTGATGAATTCTGGAGAAAGAAAACTTTTTTCTGTTGTATCGAATCGGCGTCTGCTGGACCTGGTCGTGGATGGGGTTGTATTTTTTTCTTAATATTCTGTGAAACCTTGGATTTCTGCTAATATTATGCTAGCTGAACTCGGCAAGCCCCCACCGCAATCAGCATGTACATGGTGTTACATCTTTCTTATTTGAGCAAGCCAAGCCTGTTCAAGTTTCTGTGGACGCCACTTACTACAACTGGTCTATCATGTACGTGCTTGTCGGCATGTACTTGCATTGTGTGCCGGTAATTGCTGTCCAATTGCAGTACGTCTGTTTTTAAATGCCCTTTCTGTGTTCTGTCGGCATGCACGTGTGTGTGTGTGTGTGTTTGTATATCAGGAGGCCACTATTATTCAAGGTGTTGTGCTGGTGCGGTGCACTGTTGCCTGCCTCTGTCAGTATATTCGCCAGGTTCTACCCGTCTGGTGTACGGTAAGTGGTTGCAGAATACTTGAATTATTATGACATTGCATTGCTTGCCTTCGTGTGTGCGGCTATTTAGTATTCATGGATTCTCCTTAGGCCTTACTCAAGGGAGTCGCACCCAAACCTGGTTTGGGTACGACTCCCTGGCACGTGCGCTGTGCGTGCAGTGCCTGTGTGTACTCCGAAGTACGTCCTGTGCTTTGTTATGAATCGCAATACAAATGCAAGCCATTCCGTTCATCTTGTGACTGGATCCCTATGTGTTAATCGAGCTTATCTAGGCCGAACAGGGAAACTAACAAGTGACAACACCATAGACCATTGCATGCACCAGAAAATTGTGTGGATAACTGTGCACTAACAGCTGGGCCTCGCCTGCAGGTCCACAAAGCCACACACACCTGCAGCTGGCACACAATATATGCGCCGTAAAGTACCGCGAGAGCAGGGTATATTCTAGGACGAATTTCCAACCGGTTACGGTCCAATGAAGAGTCGGGGGGTGCGGGGTCCCCCCGGAAATTTTTTTCAAAATACAACCCAAATATGGCACTCGACAGCAATTTAACAGATTTCTTGGTGCTGGAGTGTAGCAAACCGTACATACTCGTGACCCTAGTACCAGCTCACGCGCCTTCGCTGGAAGTATCCGTCCAGAAAAAGCGTTTGACCATTCACAGCTCCATTCACCCACAGAAAAGTACGGGCGGTTGGAACTGATTTGTAACTTTTCAACCGGTCGCCAACAATTCCAACCGGTCGAAAACCGGTTGGGGCGGTTCTAGAAAATTCCCTGGTGCCAAGCCTTCTCGCTCTGGCGTGGACGTGGTGTCCTGTCTGCAGGTCACACGACACGTAACTTGTAGACACATTGCATGCTGTGCAGTACATCCGTACTCAGTTTACCTTGGAGCTTCACACAAGAACTAGAACTGCCCTACAGTAGAGTCGTGCGTCCCAGAACGTTGCTTCCAAGGGACGTTCTTATTTTTCAGCAATCTGGCTGCGTTCTTATAGCACGTTCTTAGAAACAATTTGTATGGAATCTTATGTACCATAGTGTCTTCTGTCCCCCGTGAATTCCGCGGCAGAATATCAGAAATTCGGTGCAGAATTTTGCGGCTAAAAACAGTAAATTCTGCGCTAATTCTGCAAATCCTTCTCTATTCTGCGGCAATTCTGCAAGGAAAATGAGCGTAAAAACTAGGGCTGAAACGATCATTCAATAACTCTTAACGATCAACCAATATCATTAACGATCGATATATTGGTATTATCGATTCTTGCCGGCTCTACCCGTGTACCTCGAACATCAGTTTACGAAGAAATTCCACAATACCTTTGCTACGTTAGAAATTTGTGGCACCGTACTGTTGACATCTGTTGACATCTGGCTGGCTTATCAACATGACCTAGAGAATTTCATGTTGTTTCTAGAGCGAAGAATCTTGTCATCACCCTCCGGCAACTCCTCTTATCTCTGACCTTTCCCGCAAATGAACTGAAAAGAGTATTCTCTTCCGATCTCTTTCAAAGCCACAAATCAATTTTACTGCGCTTGAAAGTACATGATTGTACTCATATTCACTATCGGATGGAGTGCAGGGGCTAGAATACTGTCACTCATACACATGCATAAAAAATCGTTAGCACTCGTTTTGAGCACCAACGATTACCAAACGCTACCAGAAAAACCGACACCGCTGTTCTTAACCCGAGGTGGCGGCGTTCTTAGTATTTCGGGCTGAACGTTCGTGGGCTCCAAGTTTTTCGCTGCGCGACTCTACTGTAGGCTACTAGTAGGAGTCTATGGTTCTCACACTGTACCAACAACCTAGCTGCATGCACTCTGCCATAAGATTTTCCTTTCCCTGGCTGTAAAATCGAGGCGGGCGCTCTCGTGGCACTTTACGGTACTTCAAGTACATGTATACTGTGGCTACAAGAGCACATGCATGCATGGATGGGTACTGTGTAATAACATGTAATTTTAGGTGTACAGTAGTAAAAGTTCGGTGTCAGGGACCTGCTAGGTTTCAGGTGTAACGTAGAATTAGGTCCCTGCACATATAATACAAGGATACTCCAGTGCCATTTAGGTGTAATCTAAATTTAGGTGCCTAGTTTCTCTACCGAAGTTACCGAAATTTAAGTTACAAACAACGTATTATATACAGAGTACTCTGTTATTCAGTTCCCATGCCCAGTTCAGAAATTAGATGCACACCCAATTCAGTTAGTAAGAACCAGAGTGAAAGCAGACATGAAGATACAATCAAGATAGTTCTTGTTGGTTTATATGGCTTTAAAAAAGGCAACAAGTCTGAGCCAACTCTCAGATCATGTTCCTGACCATCCCGAAATAATTAGAGAGTGAGCTAGAGAATCGTATAAGAGTGATAAAAGTCTAAATCACAACACTAAGGGAAGGATTTAGGATATAAAATGTCACAAACCCTAAGCTAAAAAACGGTCCATGTGTTGCATGAAGAATATGATTGATGTTTGAAACAGCGCACCGCCAGTAGACCCAGTGCGGTGTCATGAGTCTAAACGCAACGCACTGCACGGACTCTACACCAAGTGCTGTGTTGAGGGTCTAAGTAATTGCACACAATAGAGCACACTCTCTTACCTAGAAAGTAGAAGGTAAATATAACCTAGTGGTAGTGGCACCTGTGCCTAGGCTGTGGCAAACAAGAGCCAGCGGAGATCAACGTACGTGCTCTGCAAGCCTCGCCGCCGTCTCTCAGCCCAGGTTAAGTGAACCGATCGAGGAGAGTGACGTGTTGGACTGGTACATGGCCTGCTGCGCCTCCTCCTGCTTGCTGTAGTAGGAGTTGTAGTCCAGGCGCGCCACCATGCTACTCATGCAGCGCTCAAACTCGTCGACCGAGACCTTGCGCAGCTCGCTGAGCAGCGCTAGCATGTACTTGACGAAGTTGCGCGAGATCGTCGACAGCATGCCCTCCATGTCGCTGCTCTGTGTCAGGCCTGTCTGCTCAGACGCCACCGCCTGCACGGGATATAGCAATCGTAATGACACGGGCACACACACACAACGTACATACATGTGTTGCACACTACATCACCACACTGTGTGTATCATGGAAGTTGTGTACACCACCTGCCCAATGAAGTCATCAATGCAGCAGCAGCATTACAAGGTGCACAGTGGAATTTGTGTACACCGAACCTCCTCAATGAAGGCATCAATGCAGCAGCAGCAGTACAAGCGAGGTGTATCATGGAATTCGTGTTCACCGAACCTGCTCAAGTATCAATGCATCGCGATTTCAAGAATAATGCAACAATCCTACCGCAGACAAGGGCCGCATAGTTACCTGGCAGAAGGAATGACTAAGAAATCTCGCATCTCTGCAATTTTGAGATAACAACCTCCGCCTCATCACAAGCAGGAAATTAGGAAGTCCACAGGGGAAAGAAGAGCAAAAAAGAAATGTCCTCCCCGGCCGGGAATCGAACCCGGGTCTTCCGCGTGACAGGCGGAGATACTTACCACTATACTACCGAGGATTGACTGACTATGCCATTGCCAGACAGCATCACTAAGTGGACAGTTCAATGCAAGGAAAATTTGAACAATACTTCAAGTACACCCGGGTACCCCAGTCCATTCGGAAAATCCAAGCAAAGACGAGGAATTTTTTTAAACAAAGCAAGAAGCCCATAGAATGGCTTGTTTGTACTAATTGCAGCTCACACGGACTCAAACTCACCGCAGCAGCCTTCTTCTTGGCTTTTTTTGGCTTTCCGGAAATGACAGATGCCAGCTCGCTGAGGTCCTTTCCGCGCAAGAACTTGTGAAGATAATTCGTGAACATCACGCACGTCGTCAGAAGCTTGTGGATGATCTAGCCATTTCCATAGGCACACCCAGCCACGAATCCATACATCCATACACACCACCCACCCACATAGGCAAGAGCAAAAAATTACCAACAAAAAAGAAAACTCACTCAAAAGTGATAACATACGATTATGTCATCATTTCGGATACTTATTTTTTTATTCGTATGAAGGGGCAAAACAGTGGCACTGCAGCCGCACAAGAAATGGTATGCGCCTCCACAGTCATTTCTTTCTGAGCAGTGGATGAACATAGTCGGATTGTGAAAAAGCGCTTGTCATACATACCTTGAGCAGCTCCGGGGTGGTGAGCATGCAGTCCTTGAGGCACCGATCCAGAAAGTCGTTGTGCAACGCCAGGACCTGGTCCACAGTGGTCGCCTGCGACAGAGATGCTTCCAGCTGTGCACGATTTTGCTCCACAACTTCAATGCACGTGTAATCCCAGATGTGCTAGCAGAAGAAAAGAAAAATAAGAAAAAAAGAAATGTCCTCCCCGGCCGGGAATCGAACCCGGGTCTTCCGCGTGACAGGCGGAGATACTTACCACTATACTACCGAGGATTGACTGAGAGCTACAAGGAAAAGTCGGATCAAGATCATTCTCTCTCTGCACCAGCATGCTGTCAGCTGATTCACTCATACTCATTCAAGCGATAGTTTTTTTGCAGTCACGCACAGTCCGTGAGTAGACAAACAGTCACAGTCCAGCCTTTCCGAGCATTGGAGATACTGAAGATGATGACGCGGTTTTTGCTGTTGTCTCCTGCACCCAAACCCCCAACCGAGTTTTCTTTGTGACCGAAACAAAAAGATTGTATCCGCACTTTAACATGTTTCGAGTTTGTTTGACAAAACACAACATTGCAAACACAAGTCGACAGCATGAACTTTACATGAGTCACCCACGCTCGCGTATCTGTTACGTGTGACTGAACCCCTGTGATACCAAAAGTCCATCACCGAGAGAGTACTGTAGAACAGGTAATTTTAGCGACGTAAAAACCCTAGCGAATTTAGCGATCGACTCATTTTCGCTAAAGTTTCAAGTCGCTAATCCGTTGAGACATTAGTAGTGCACTGGTGATCCGTGAGTAAAATCGCTGCAAATCGCTAAAATAAAACGTCGCTAACCGGTTGACAATGGGAAAACGCTAAAATTAATAGTCGCTAGAATTACCCGTTCTACAGTACACTGTACGTCTACTAACATATTATCTAACCTATCTGACTTCAAGTAAAGTGGGCCATAGTTCTCTCTGCGTGTAAAGCTGCAACATGCAGGCACAATGACTGCAGTGCCAGGCACAATGACTGCAGTGCCAGGCACAATGACTGCAGTGCCAGGCACAATGACTGCAGTGCCAGGCACAATGACTGCAGTGCCAGGCGCAATGACTGCAGTGCCAGGCGCAATGACTGCAGTGCCAGGCGCAATGACTGCAGTGCCAGGCGCAATGACTGCAGTGCCAGGCACAATGACTGCAGTGCCAGGCGCAATGACTGCAGTGCCAGGCACAATGACTGCAGTGCCAGGCACAATGACTGCAGTGCCAGGCGCAATGACTGCAGTGCCAGGCACAATGACTGCAGTGCCAGGCACAATGACTGCAGTGCCAGGCGCAATGACTGCAGTGCCAGGCGCAATGACTGCAGTGCCAGGCGCAATGACTGCAGTGCCAGGCGCAATGACTGCAGTGCCAGGCGCAATGACTGCAGTGCCAGGCGCAATGACTGCAGTGCCAGGCGCAATGACTGCAGTGCCAGGCGCAATGACTGCAGTGCCAGGCACAATGACTGCAGTGCCAGGCGCAGATGTCGCTCACTGTACGATACAGTGTGCGGCTTTGCAAAATTCCCAACACACACACACACACACACACACACACACACACACACACACACACACACAAACCGATAAACTTGAGATACCGCGGCTAGAACTCACCTGCACAAAGCTCAGCATCTGCTGGCGTAGAGCAAACGCCGGCGCTAGCCAGCCAATGGCAGCCTGGGTTTTAGAGGACATGCACAGCTGCTTGAACGACTTTGCTGCCATCCAGCAGCTGTTGAGCTGCCTCTCCACATAGCGGATGTAGAACAAGTGCCTGCAGGTGGACACACACAAACGCACGCACACACACACACACACACACACACACACACCCACCCACACACACACACACACACACACACACACACACACACACACACACGAAGGTAGACACTCTCAGTGTCACTCTGAGCAGTGCTACCACTGCCCAGTGCCTCACTGGCTCCGTATTAATGAGTGCCGGCAAGACTGCAAGTCTTCCACCAAGGCAAGACTATAGAACACCACAAGACAAACGTGACTTACCTGAACAGCAGCTGATACTTGGTCAACGCTTTGCGGCTGATGACGAGGGACAGTGGCCACTGCACTTCGTAGTCAAACGCGAATGCCTCGAGGCCGCTGAGGCGGAAGTCACTGCGATCGCTATGATTGTGAATAGCGGAGGCCAGAGACGCCATGGAGGCATTCGAGCCAGACCTGGAGACCTCGGTCTCGACGGCCAGGATGCAGGAGAGCTGCGTGACCAGGTCGTCTTGCTTCAGAATAACACGCAGGTCGTCCTTGTACGGGTCCATTTCAGCCACCGTGGAACGCAGCGCCAGTTCCAGCAGCGTCTCCAGTCGCCCGGCGGCGATCTCGTCAACGTTCTTGCGCAGCTCCGAATCGGCCAGGTCGAGAAAGTGCACAAAGAAGTCGCCCTGCTGCAGCAGGAAGTAGCGGTGCACGCTGCGCAGCCGCGCCTTCAGGTTGGCCTCGTCCATGATCAGGCGCAGGACGCACTGCGCGGCAAACGTGTGCGCCGTGTCGATGGCCTGCACGTAGCCGTGACGCGGCGAGCTGGCCGTGTAGTGTAGCTGTACGGCGGTGGGACACTCGACATTGCGGCCGCACTGACGTACCACGTTCAGGTACTTGCCGGCGCACAGGATCTGAGGAGAAACAACAACAGGCAACACAACAAGATAGGACTTAGTAGTCAACAGGCAGATCAATGCACGCGTGTGATAGCCATTGCAACTGTGACACTGGGATAGTAACACACACACACACACACCCACACACACACACACGCACACACACACACACACACGCACACACACAGTGTGCTGGTGTTGCGGTGCACAGGATGCAATACTACCGCAAGCATACGGTCCATCAACCTTACTGTGTGGAATGTGCAAAGAGATACAAGTACTAGTATGCAGATACTACCCACTGTAGGACTACAATGATAATATACAATCATACCTTGAAGTATACAGTCATATCAGGGGCGTAGCACCCGCTACGACTGGTACGACCATGGCCGTACCACTTTTCGAAAAGTGTGGTCCGTCCGGAACGTGCAAAACCGTAATAAAAAAAATCAGGATCCATCGATGCATATGCGCATCAGACTTTGACCTTTTTCTAGACTCGTAGATCTGTTATGCATCTGCAGTCGGACTGAGTCTACTGTACTCGACTCGACTGCATGTACACTGCGCCAGAAGTGTGTGTGAAGTGTGCCAGACGTTCCCAGAACGCAGGATTTTGTGTCTTTTTTACAAAATTTTCCCGGGGGACGTCCCCCGCACCCCCCTCCAAAACGGCCTTCGGCCGCGCCGACCTTTGGTCGTACCACTTCCAAAACCACTCCTACGCCCCTGCATATACATGTGCTACTGCGTATATCAAGACACATGCTGCAGCTCAGCATATTACATGCAGTAGGATACAGAACACTCTGATCACGGTCTATTACTAGTACACTGGCCCGACAAGCAAGATACCCTGTGTCTGTCTGGCAAGCACCACAACAGACTCACCTTATCGGCAACAGAGTCGAAGAACACCGGTACGCAGTCCTTGCGAATCGTGTAGTGACTCTCCCAGTAGGCGTCGTTGTAGGTTTCGCGCAGGCGCTGCCGTGCAATGCTGGAGCTCTCCTCGACCATGAACTCGCGATGCGGGTCATCGATGACGCCGCGGTACACCCACTTCTCCACCATGGCCAGGTAGGGCGCAGCGGCGGCCACGGTCAGCATGCTGAACAGCGCGTGGATCTCGCCCACCGTGTTGCTGGTGAACTCGTGCAGCAGCGACAGCAGCCGGGCGCCACGACACCGGCCCTGCGCCGCCCTCGCGCACGCCTCGGCCAGCGCCGACATGGCCTTCAGGTAGGGCTGTGCGTAGAACAGCATCTGCTGCAGCGTCAGGCAGTCCGTGCGCAGGGCGTGCTCCAGCTGGGCAACGAACACGGCCAGGTCCTTCATCTCGCGGCGCAGCGACGCGCAGAACGCCTGACGCACAGGTCCGTACGTGCTCAGCGGACCGCCGTCACCCTCGACGTACTGCCAGATGACGGACCGCTGCGACGCCAATGGAAGCAATCGCGTGGCCAGCTCCGATAGCGACTGGTCAAGCGTCGGGTCAATTTTGAACTTGGGCGCTTGCACCTTCACTCGCGCGTCCAGCTTGTTTTTCAGAGTTTCGACTTTGATGTATTGCCCGTCGACGCCCTGAAGAACATGGATCAGGTCTTGCATTAACACTCTCTCCTGGACACGTACTGGTAGATTTCCTATAGGGCCAGTAGCCTGGCCCGCCGACCGTGTACCGGAAACTGCCGGGTAGTCCTCTGTCAGATTGCACCGTGTCGCCAACCAGTCCGGCATTGCTGGAAGTTCTACGCTGACTCCTTTGCCCTGGCGCTGCTGCTGTTGTTGCTGCTGCTTGCTGCGACGCTGCCGGACGTCAGCCGTGGTGGTCTTGGAGAGAGACGCCAGCTGACTGCGCAAAGTGCTGACTTCCTCTGCAGTCATGACTGTTGCTGCTGCTGCTGCTGCAGGTCCGGGTGATGCTGACGACGCAGGACCACTGGTGCTACTGCTGCCGTCCGTAGCAGTAGCAACACTACGAACTGGCGCGGGTAGACGGTCGAGAATTTCCGCCGGCAGCGCCTGCAGCTCTCCGCCATCGGTGTCCGCAGCGGCCACGGCAGGGTGCTTGCATGTCGTCTGAAGGAACTCTCTCAGACTTTTGTCCTCGGCTATTCGAGATAAAATGTACACGAACGGGTCCAATTCACGCAACTGCTTGCTCTTCAGTTCATCGTAAAGCTGAACAAACTTTTCGGGCTGGGCACTGGACTCTGCCACTCGAATTTTGGCTTGGTGTGCAGCAACTTGAGTCTGTACCTTTTGTGTCAACGCCTTATTGCTGAGGAAGTCTAGCAAAATTTCTGGACGAATTGTGTCGGTGGCACCCAACAACGACAACAGCTCCGAGACGAGATGGTGCTTACGAAATTCACTCATGGCGACTGCTACGAAAGGAAAGACATGAATTCTCTATCACCCGTCGTCTTGCTAGCAAATACTTTTTCGCTCTTCTCTCTGACTTTGACTCGTTTGAGTTTTGAAGTTGTTTTTGATTTGAAGAAGTCTGCTGCATGCATGACAATAATTTTGTCATCACGAGGCATCGTGTCGTCTTGAACTCGAAGCGTGCCTGACGCGTTTCGCGCCAGATTTCTTGTGCTGTTGCATAGCAACAGCTTTTGACAACATCGCCACCGTGAACATCAACTCGAAGTCGAACGTCGACCACTGGTCGACGCGTCGAACTCGAACTCGAACATGAGAAGAGCATTCCCATGCCCATGGCGCCATGGCCCACACAACCAGGGAGTAGTACAATACAATGTACCATTATTATTACCATTGTACTACTCCCTGCACACAACAGTCAACACAGACAGTCACTGCCTGTGCCACTGGGCGGTGGGGTCCGGATTTTGCTTCAGCAAGACCATTGAAGACTGGGCCATGAGCCCATTATTTTTTATTCATGATAGCACTGACTGCCGCTATCCAGTGTTCAATGGACGCTTCCGATTACACACAGGTTTCTGGATCCTGGTTTTATAATAAGTATTTTTCCCGAATGATCAGAATGAACCGTTTTGCGGCCATGTAAACGAATGACTACACGTAAAGATCGTAAAAGGGGATCACGTGGGATCCCGTGCACCCTCACGCGCACGTGGACCAAGCATGGCTTAAGTGCGCAAATTCTGGCGGGAGAAGTTAGACTTCCGCTCTCTCTTCAGAATCGACGGAATTGGATTCCATCGATTCTGGTGACGTTATTGTGTAATCGAACGGTGCATGCACCGTAACAAATTCTAGGATGGACGGAATTGTGTGTAATCGAACACGCCCAATGTGTCTTGGTGTGGTTTTGTGCTCAAGTAATTTTAGTTGTCCTTCTAGACTAGGGAGTTGTCTCTCTATCACGGTTTCCTGAGAACGAGTCTCCAGCTCCACAGCAGTGTTTCCCTTGCACTTGAAAACACTTCGATTCCCCGTCGGAACACGCTCTCCGGGCCAGTCACCTGCACAAAATGAATGACAAAGGATTGCCAATATTTCGCCCATTCAGGGGCATCATCAGCGCATTAATGAGGAAGGGGAGGCAAACATGAACTACAAGTACATGTATAAATTATAATACAGCGTCAGCAAGACTTATCTATAAAGGACCTAAAGGTCATGCGAATAATACTACGGTGGCAAACTGGCGGATTCGCTTATGGCGGGCGCTAAGTGTGCAGTGTGATTCGGTGGTTTCACTTGAGCTACTGCATTCACGGCTGTGCCAAGCGGCTTTGCCAAAGCATCTCAACTGATGTCTGTAATCCATTGCTTCTCATGATTAGTGCTCGGGAAGCTTCTGATCAGTATCACCACTGATTTGCTTATCCGGTATGATCGAGACAGGAAGGAAGGGTACACGGATTATACATTGCACCCACAAGTCTCCAGCACCAGCCATTTAAAAGTTAGCCTGGTGCTTGGTGAGTCGGATGAGATTGTCGAACCTATTACTGATAACGTATGCAGTAACCATGGTAACAGGTTGGACAACTCATGAGTACGGAATGTCCAGCTGTATGTTATAGACATTATGCGATTACATCCTCAGCCGAGATGCTTTGGTGACGGTCGTGAACTCGCTCGGCACAGCGCTGCACTTGCACTAGCGGCTCACGCTGTGTACATAGCGCACATAAGCGGGTCCGCTGACTCAAATCATGCGTATAATGATAATCCCTACATCCCCGCACAGGTCACTTCATACGGAGGTTTTAAAACCGTACAGTGTGTTTTATTTCTGTTGCTGCTACGTGTATGTGTACATGCAGGTGTGCCACACATGATGTCAACCTGTACACTACATACAGCAGTCTCTACATACCCATACTGATAGTCATGATCGTCAATCCCATCATCTATATCAAGGCGTTCAGTAGGGGTAAGTAAGGCCAGGAGTGCCTGTCTGTTTACGCAGGCTGCACTATTCTTACCAGGGAGGACTAAAATACGGGTATTATGCTACTCCCTGATTCCTACTTCAGAGTCACACTGACAGAGCTGACTTCAACGGTAAGGGGACTGAATCAATTCGTGCCAAAACGAACACCCAAGTCCTCTTTCAGACAGAGAACCTTGCGAATAATCAATAATGACACTCGATTGGGCATGACAAAAGTGTTATCATTCACGAGTTGTCGTGATTCGTCAGATTGAAAGCAAAAACACTTAAAAAGTCAATGGGTTACTAGGTCTGAAGATAATGTTGCTATTCGCAAGTTGGTAGCCCCGAGGCTGTTATTCGCAAGTTGTTGTTACGCCCAGACTGGTTGCTACGCCCGATCTCGAGGTCAACTGTATTGATCTTGGTGAGCTGAGTTTCATGCCGGCTCACACCATGCACTGACCTCGTACCTATTCCAGCAGGGATGACGTAGAGGGAGATAGAAGAGAGGCAGAGTGCTATAGAGCTACCAGCGTATATTATTTTACTTGCTTGTGTGGTGACGTCTTCGATTATATTGTCACCGTCCACCTTATATCACCAGATTTGAAAAAGAGAAAAGGTTAATCATTGATTTCGGTGATGATCCGGGGAGCAGCATAGGCTCAGTGTCACTTCTGACTCTACCGTGATGGAGGACTTATCCCGTTTTGTATACCTCTCGTTTGCTTGCAGTCACGCAGGTTCTGAAACGCACCGGACAGGTGACGAACCAAGGCCGCCAGATGACGCTGGCTGTAAAGTACAAGTTCCTTCTGATCCTCTTCTTCTTCTACATCTGGTACGCAACAGTGTTATCCCCGCAGCATTATAATTTTATCAATAGAGCGGCTTCCCATATTGGTCCTGTGACTAAATCTGTGTGAAAAGTGACCATGGCATGCCATGTGCACAGTGGAACCAACATGGCCGACATCATGTGACCCATAGATGCGAGGGTTGACTGGAGTGTTGTTGTTGTTGTTGTTTTTTTTTATTTGAATTCGCAATACCAAACGGGCAATAAGCCCAATTACATGGAAGCGAGTAAAAGGATGCTAAGAATGAGGCATTGGGGTGGATATTATTTCAAGTGGAAATACTGATCCCGGGAGGTACTACAAAGAGTGGAGTTGGAACCTATAATATGGCTGTCTCATATGGTCATGTGACAAATGTGAAACCAGTCTAATGACCAACACATGCATGTGCATCTTCAAACAAACGCTATAATTATGCCGCAGTATGATCTCCTGCAACCGCATGTGTATTCTTTGTAAAAACATCCGGATGGGCTTGAGGGAGCTGGAGCCGGAAAACTAAAACGCATGATGTGACCGTAATTCTCTACCTATAGGTCGCTCTTATTTTCCATGTAAAATTGTCTGTACAGACACGGCTGTGTATGTGTTTCGCTTGTTGTTTTGCTGTATATGTATGCACGTAGCTGGACTGCTAACATTGTAGACGGAATCTTGCAGTTCAGCAAGGCGTACACTGCACCACCACTGGGACTGTGGATGGCCGAGGTAAGATTCTGCAATGGCATAGATTAGAGTGCAAGGCTCTTCTTGCTCTGTCTCCATCAACACAGGACGAAAGCATGCATGACAAGCAGTTCTATGTATATGGACCAGTTTTGAAGTTGGTCGGCAAAGCTTACTACATCGCCCACCCGTTTTTCAAGTTGGGTAAAAGACCTAGGAAAATACAGTGCAAAAGAAATGCCCTCCCCGGCCGGGAATCGAACCCGGGTCTTCCGCGTGACAGGCGGAGATACTTACCACTATACTACCGAGGATTGACTGATAATGCAGTATCCAAACAGCATCACCTGACTGCACTAGCAAAACATAGAGGTGCAGGGATTCCATACAGATGGAGTTCAATAAGCCGAGGCCAAAGGAGACCGCTATAATAGAGAGGTTCCGCACTATGTAAAGTTGAGCAACTTTACGTTAGTGGGCGGCGAAAACCCGTGAATTCGCGAGTTTGCACTCCACTTACGGAAAGTTGTCTACGGAGAGTACGTAGATAGGGCTCTGATAACATAGCTGGTCCGTGAGTGGATTGGGGTACACATTTATGACGCTCTCCCCATGTCGATCTGGTCATACACTGCCGCGTTCGGAGTTGCCAAGGGCAGCTACGTGATTTTGAAAACTCCGTATGGCGGAACACAGATGCACATGCAGTTTACGTAAGACTTTCCGTAGATCGATTACGGTTTTTACAACGTAAATTCGTTATGCGGAACCACTCTGATATCTAATCCAGCCAACAACGTTTCACCTTAGAGCACACTGCAAGCATTGGACTGCATGCAGATCACAGCTCAGTGATTCGCTCTAAAGTGAAGCACCGTGTGAAGCATCGTGTTGTTATTTAGCTGGCCTCGATTTGCTAGCTTTGTACTGGCAGCAAAGCAGCTGATGCTGCTGCTGCTGATAACAAACATTGTGCCTCAGTGTGTGTAGCATTATAGTAATAATGCAGATTAATGGGTGCACGCGGCTGCTTCGTGCTACCACTCAAACTATGCTGCTATGAACGTGCGCTGTACGTGCTCACATGGTACTCTATGCATCGTGGCATTCTATGTGTTATACAACGTGACACTCAACGCGACATTCATTCATGCGCGACGCTCAACGTAGGCGGCATGCGTCGTAGGCACTCAACGTGTCATACTAAAGTTTGGCGTTCATGCGTGTTGCTCGCCTCGGATGTGGAAGGCGTGTGGCTGCGTTATGATGACGCTTGCTCGTAGCTTGACGTGGGTGGCATGCATCGTTGCATGTCTTGCTAGAGTTTGCTCTGCTATATATTTTCGATCCGTTCTGTGCGACAATCATTCTTCCTTGCTCGTAGTGTTTTAGTTATATATTTCGATTCGTTCTGTGTGCGGATCACTCTTGTCAGATCATTGTGTTTCACCCACCCACCTCCCATTTCTCATCTCTCATTTACTTTGATAAAGTAAATAAAGGGGTGTTGGCCATGCTCATTTCCGGCTACTCAGGGCTCTCGGTCTTCGTCCCTTGGACGTGACTATCCTCTTGGCTCCGCCAAGATCCTGCTCTCTCTGTAGCCTCTCACTTCGCTGGCCAGCACCCTCCTAACCGCAAGCTGCTGTGTGTTGTAGTTAATAGGTATTTGGTTGTTCCTGCTAGTGACACAGTGTCAGCTGTTGTTCATCTTTCTCACTTCAGGCCGTGCTCAATCCGCTGCAAGGTCTATTCAACGCGCTCATCTACGGGCGCCATGGCTTGTTCAAGAAGTGTCTCTTATCGCTGACACGGCGCAGAATGACAGTGGTTGACATACCCACGTCGGTGGACCGAGAGTTCACCGAGTCTGATCGCCTGGTGCGCCAGAACTCCCGTGCATCAGACGCAGCAGCAGCAGCATCACTAGTGGTCGGAACGGACTTCCATTCTCAAAATAGTTCCATCACTGCCTCAATGGGCTCAGCGTTGGGTGAAGCGGGCTAAATAGTCGCACTGGACTTAATCACATCCTGCTCACTGCCCACTGACTACTGGTGCTGGTGGTGCTGATGCCAGGATCTTGCACATGCATAAAACACCTGGAGATGGACGTGACAGATATCGGTGTGATGCACGTACCGTGAAGCGAGCGGATGGTACTGCTGATCCTCACCTGCTTGCTTGAAGCAGACATTTTCTAACAAATTCCTCAGAATGAAGAGGCTCTACATACGCTTGAGATCTATTTCTGTACAAGAAACCTTTAAACCTGACTGTTACATGTACTTGTAGCTATTACTTATCATAGCCCTGTACAGTCGGCTTTGAAGTTGATTCCGGAATCCCTATTGAACTTACTTGCTAGCGCTGTTGGCATTCACATCATCTATTTAAAAGCCGACACTGTGCATGCGAATACCAGATTGAAGAGAGGACACGTTGGGGTTGCTTGCTATCATACATAGGGTAAACCCCCCCCTCTCCCTCCCATCCGTGACCAGTAGCAATAAAGTCACTTTCTCCAATACATTCGTGCCAAGTCCGCAAAGCGCAGTAAAATAAACACTCCAATCCACCTAGGAGAGCCACCATGTTAGGACTGTTGCCAGTAATAAGATGTGTTTGTGATCCTACTTGAACCTGATATATGTCTTCCAGCACAGAACTTAAAAATGCTAGTGAACAGGAGGGGAAACAGAGACAAGACGTGAGCGATAATAGATCAGATGAGCATTTTGCTAGTATATATATATATACACATACACACACACACACACACACGCTGGTTGTGCGGCGGGAAGAGCGGAGCGGAGCATGCAGAGCATACAGCAACCACTGCATGCCTGCTTACATAACGTTGTCACCAACGCCAGCAAGGGTGGGTCTGGGGTAAGGCTGCACGCACATACACAGGCCATCCAGTCACACAAACACCGCCGACATACGCACGTCGCAACACTAGACACACGGATACACGATTGACAGGTGTTACCTAGCTAATGGGAAACTCAAACAAGCTCGGTCAATAAGATGAAGTCAAATCCGCACTGGACATCCGAGCGTAGCCGATACTGACTGCAGGCAGTGACATTGCTAAAAAGAAAAGCACGATGCCAGCGTGCATGTACCAGGAACAAACGCTACCAGCAGCTAACCATGTTTTGACGGTCAGTCACAGGAGCTACTAGACAACACGGTTGGGTGCTGCTCTGGACACCAGGAGTCTCAGTTGTCACTTGTCAGCACCAGTTGACGGCCGCGGGCTAAAAAGCATGCAAATGCCACGCAGCCAGCCAGCGGGCTGCTCGCCAACCCTGCCAATGCCGCTGTCAGCGGATCGACTAAAACAGGGTCAGGGCCACCCTAAACGATTCTGACTTGCTATCGTCACCTCGTAGTGGAGTTACCAGTTGGGTACGTACTAGCAACCAGCTTTGCAGAAGCAGCAACAGCAGCAGCAGCATTCGTCTAAGCATCGCTGTTAGCACTAGTCACCAGCGCACTTAACGCCAATGCAGAGGTGGGCGGCGAGCCAGCGTCCATGGCAACCGCCTCATGGTTGCCGTGTGGTGACTCGCCGGGTGCGGAGCAACGCTTCTTTTTCGCGTCCTGGCCGCCGTTGTCGTGCAGTGCAGCAGTAACTGAAGAACCTGCCAGTGGTAGAACACATCCGGCGGCAAGATCCTTAAAGGACGGTGCTGCTTCGCTACTGACTTGAATACTCGAAGACGATGACAACACACCTGCAGTAGATGAAGAGGATGCATGTAGCAGCACCGGTGTAGGCGCTGGCCCAGAGGATGAGCCATCCGCGACGGTGCTCCCAGCATTGGACTCCATCTCGTCTTCGTGCCGACGCTTCTTCTTCCGCCTCCGTTCGTCCTTCAAGTTATCGTCCTACAAAACCAACAGCAGCAGCAGCAGCAAGTCAATTCACTTAAAAAAATGATGCACGTAATGAGTGGCATCACAGTCATGGCTTGCCACTCACAACACATGCACACTAGCATAACCATAAAGCTGAGCAGGAAGCACCATAACCATTCACCAACCCACCCCACCCATCCCACCTCACCCTACCCCACCCACCTGCCCCCTCACCAACCCAACCCATCCACCCACCCTACCACACCGACCACCTCACCCACCCGACCCGACCCGACCCACCTACTCACTCACCCACCTCACCCACTCACCAACCCATCCACCCCACATACGGCTATACCGATCAGCTTACCATCAACGTTGCCACCACCATCACGCTGTCCTTGGTTGAGGAGCAGAGGTGGAGAAGCTGCCACAGCTGCTGTGTCTCGTCCATGCTAACCTCCAGTAGATCTCCTATAATACAAAACAAACAAAACAGGAGAACAGTCGGCATAAAGAATTAGATCTCTCAAAAGCTGTTCGCACCTACTACCAGTATGTACAAACATGTGAAGTAACAAACAAATAGCGGTATTTGTACCAGTACAGTTCATTTTGGTGACTGACAGCAAAACAAAACAAAAGGAGTGCCCGGATCTGGGGGATCCGGATTACAGGAGTTTCACTGTATATCCATAGTACTATAATACTGTGGCTTCACGTAAGTCAGCTTACCCTCCAGCAACAGTGCTTCTAAGTGTCCACGTACGTTGGCCGGCAGATCAACCTCACCGGGCACAACCCTAGGAGGAGTAGCGTCGACATCAGCACTGCCCAGTGCGGCGAGCAGTGACCGAAGTCCCACGGGGTCATCGACACTGACAGCCGAGAGGGGACGAGGCACGGGCAGCGGCACGGACGGGGTTTTGATTAGTGACGCCGCGGCGGCCGCCTGCACTTGACCGGTCTGGCTACTCGAGCTGCTCGGTCTGCCCAGCGGTGCCGTGGAGCGCAGCTGAGACTTGCACGGAGCAGCCTGCGTAGCCGCGGCCACGAGTCCAGGCGGCAGAGGCTGTGATCTGGAAATGAACGCGGCCGCGGACAGACCAGACATGCCGCTGCCACTGGCGCTGCTGCCGCTTCCATTGGATGACAGTGCCGCCGGCGTGGACGCTGATTGCATTACGCTGCCACTGCTACTGCTGCTGCTGCTTGGGGCCTGTAGGGAGTTGAGCAAGGACGCTATGGCGGCGGGATTCTGCCGCTCGAGCATGGCCGCTGCCTCGGTGAGCGCTGCACGGGCCAGCTCTTGCCAATGCATGGCACGCTCGGTCAACGACTGCAACGCCGCGTTCTCCACCAGCTGCACAGGCACCTTGCGTAGAGACACGAGAAGCGAGAGCACGGAATCCAGCCGGGGCCGCCGCGACCGCACGCACGTCTGGCATATGAACTTGTTCTCCTTGAGCGTGAGCGTCGGTGTGCCTGGCGCAGGTTGCTGTTCGCCACCGGCAGAGCCACTAGTACTGCTAGCGCCGCCTGTGCTGGTACTACTGGTAGTGGTGTTGGAGGAGGCACTCGGCAGCTTGGAGCGTGGCAGGTGCACGCACACAGAGTGAAACCACTCGAGGCATAGCTCGCACATCAGCATGGAGCTTGACATCGCATTGTGGCAGACACAGTGGCGGTCCACTGGTGCGTCGCCTTGCTCGATCGACGCCAGGCTCTGCTGCGCAGCCGCGATGTGTGCGCCGCGCAGCTGTCGCATCTCATCCACTTCTTCCCGCGACAGCCTGGACAAGAGGACGGTCTCCTCATCGAGCGGCATTGCTCGCGACGACGATACCAGGTTGGGCGGAGTGCACTTGCTTTCCTGTCTCAGACGACTGGGCAGATCCAGGCGAGGATACAGCACCTGCAAAACACAGCGGCACAGTGAGCGGACAGAAAATAACTCAAACCATGCAGTAGCACTGCTAGTCTGCAGTTAAGAACTGACTTGCACTAGAGTGCTTGTGCTAGTGTGTGAATGCATTCATCATTTCAGATATATGCACTGTGAAGCATGCAGTATAGCGTACCTTGAAGGGACGTAAAAACCAGTACTTTATCATAGCAGGGTACACAGCATAGCTATAGCCCAGGTCCAATGACTGCAGAGGGACAAGTAGTAGTAGGCTCCAAAAAGGCACTTTGTAGTTTGTATCCACTGCAAAAGAGAAAAGTAAGTTATACCCAGGGTACCAGTACTCCATACTCAACTGTTTTAGGGCATGTTCGATTGTGCGAATCCATCAGCCCCGGACCCGGATTCGCCAAATTTGTACATGTTTGATTGTACGAATCCGGATCCCGAGAGCACGGATTCGGATCCAAGCAACCCACCTCCCAGAGACGGATTCGACGGATTCATTTCCATGGTACGACTCATATCTACTCAAAACTCCCAATATGCGTACACTAGGTGAAGAGTTCACCACAACGCGTACAGATACTACGGGATGAGCTGTAGCAACGCGGTTGCTAAGGCCTTGAAAAGGATTATCGGTTGTGCACATTCGATTGTATCCGTCCGATCGAAGTGATCTGGTCGGCGGGGATCGGGATCCAGTTTCTACAATCGAATGCAGCCCTACTGTACACTTTCACATGCGCGCACACATCACAAGAAACTAATACTAGTGCATGTACATGGCCCGGACAAGTGGTGTCAACAGGACGTCCTGCTGTGGACATTGAAATCCGGTGGAACGACCGGGGCCAGCGCCCTTACTGCCTTAGCGCGTTTGCGCGCGCACGCACAGTAGCAGTGTTCACATACACAGTAGTAGTGTTCACATACACACAGTGGCCATTGCTGCAAGGCCAGCACCCGGCGGCCGCTTGATTTCTCAACAGATCTCAATATCCACAACAGTATGTGGGCATCTGGATAATGCCGCTTCTGGAAGCAAAGGCATACATCGAGACATTATTGCTCGCGCACACCACTCTCACCTGTAGCAGAGTACACGAGTTGGTGATGCTTTTCTTCAGGAAGGCACGGCAGGCACGATCGCGCCAGCCCTGCGCCGCGGCAACCAACGACTCGACCTGGGCGAGCTGCTCCAGCTGGACAGGAATGGTGCGTGCTCGATTCAGAAGGACTTCCAGCTTCTCCAGGTCAGGCGAGATGTCACTGTCCTGCATACCACACATGCACAAAATAAGAAAACAGATGTAGTAAAATAATGACCTTGTGCTTCTCATACACTCAAACCAAGGCAAGTGCGAAAATGCATCCATCCAGTTTGACACGACGAGAAAAAAAAACAAGCGCCCAACGTGGGGCTCGAACCCACGACCCTGAGATTAAGAGTCTCATGCTCTACCGACTGAGCTAGCCGGGCTGCTTGTGCATGAGTGCTGCGGTAATAGATTTGGAGGGCCAGGCAATGCATCATAATGCCATTTTTTCTAATACAGTCGTCCCTCTCTAATCCGGCACCTTTTGCAACAGCATTTTCTGCTGGATAAACAAGGGCGCTGGATTATCAAATCCTGCCCTCCAACCCGGCCCACCTGTTAACATACAGTGTACATGTTAGTGTCGTACGTCAAAACGTAGGGATTTTCTGTGTCAATCCAAGTTGTAAAAATAACGGAACTGGTTCGGATGTGATGTGCAGCGCTATGGGAATGGGTGTGTCCACCCGAATTCTTTTCACAGATGAAGCTGCAGGAAGCCTCAGCCCTTCTTCAAACTCAATCCAAGTACTTTGTGGAATGCATGTCTTTTGAACATACACTTGGGAATATCCTATGCACTGGCATAGGATATCCCCAAGTGTATGTTACATGTGTTGTGTATGTTACAATGCTCCCCGACGGTATGCGATGTACAACTGCTGGATTAGAAAATCGAATTATGTACAGTTTGAGTGATTTGTTGCAGAAAATCGCTGCTGGAGGCGCAATTCAAGTGCCGGATTACAGCGTAGAAAATGAACTGAAAAAATCCGTTTTGCCAGAAAGTGTGCTGGCTTGCAAGGGTGCTGGATAAACAAGTGCCGGATTAGAGAGGAACGACTGTACTCAATATCATGCACAATGCAACAAACTACTGTAACTTCACAAATTTTCGGTGTACTTTTATTTTCGGTACTTTCGGTGCATCTGTTTCATACCTAAATTTCAATACACCGAACAAACACTAACACACGTAATCCAATAGGGAACTGCTTCTCTGTACCGAAAATTTCTGTTCACCTAACCTGGTCTTTTGCCCTCATACCGAAAATATTGAGCACCGAAAATTTCTGAAATTAGAGTATCCTCAGTACTTGTACAGGTCGAGCACACCTGTATTTGCAGCACTGGATGATAGTATACCGGAATCGGTACACAAAGAACCGCTAGGATCCAGGTGCACATTATCGATGGTCTTCTCAATTTCACAATGGACTCTTCATCTACAAGCATTGGCATGTTCAAGCGCAACGTCCAGTATACACAGCCCTGGGCCATTAGGACAAGGCTATAGTTGAGTAGTCGAGTAGCAGCACCATGAGAACAGTCATAACAGGGGGAGGGGGGTATTCTTGGTACAGGTGGAATCCTGATAATTCGAACCTCAAAATGCCAAGAAAACACTTCTAATTATCCGGACATTCTAATTATCTAAACATGAACCGGCAACAAAATATGACACAATACTGTTAAACCGGAAAGTCTAACGTTTTAACGACCAGTTTTTTTCGTCATTTGAAAAAACCCGGTTATCGCTAGATGTCTGTGTAAAGATGCGCATACAGATGGGTGGCCAGGTAGCCATCGTTAAACTTTCTGCACGTGGTTGGCTAACACCCTCTCTCTCTTTGTATTGGCCGGTGTTCTCACTGTGCTATGAGATGCTGTGGCAAATAAATAAATGAATAATAAATAATCATGCCAAAAATACAAAACGTAAAACTTTTTGGTCGTTATACTTTCCGGTTTTACAGTATGTCAAAATGCTCTCATGGTCACGCAGAGTTGCGCTATGGACCTTTGACACAGATTTCAAGGATACTGAACTGACCGGCACAGCCTGCTCATGCTAACTAAACTGACGAGTACAATGTACAGTGAACTTCGAATTACACTTTGCAAACTTCGAACTATCAGCACAAATCCCACACATTTTCTATGTAAGTGGAATCTGTGGGACTTCTGATTAACAGGACATATCCAGTTCGAGGTTTGAATTATCAGTAATTTTTATGTGGGAATCGTATTGATAGAAATCGGTCCTGGAAAAAAACTTCTAATTAAGCGGTATGATCAAATTAAGCCATATTCGAATTATCAGGATTCCACCTGTACCACTGAAAAGATTTGGAGAGATCGACTTGCTACAACAATACAGTTCTGGCCGGAGAAATCCAACCTCATAAATAAAGTAGCGCAGCATTGGAGTGCACAAAACAGTGTGTGTACATGTAGTGTAGCTTAGCGCCCGGCGCCACTATGGTCACAGGGTTGGATTTCTCTAGCCAGTAGTATAGTTATAGGTCTGCATGTGACGGCATCCGACACTGCCCAAGAGAACCCCTCCAAGTATGCATGCTATACGCATGGCTGCACAGGGCATTGCATATACTGTATAAGCAGAAATATTCGTCTGGAATTTAACTTCGTCTTTTTCGTCCAAGGAGCTTTTGGACTAAATTAAATGTAGGACGAATATCGATTTGTCCAGCGTTTCTATACACTCTTATGACCCATAGACGAAATTTTCAACCGGACGAACTCCTTTTCTTTGGAGTTGGACGAAATTGTTGACCGACGAAATTTTCTGCCTCTACAGTAGTTCTACACACCTGAATAGCAATGGCCTCCTTGCTCCATTGCAGGGCGTCCGTGAGTGCTCCTTTCAAGCTGGCCCGGGAGGGAATGTTGATGGGCAAGTGGTCAACCTCGCTAAGCAACGACTGCAGATGTGACATCGTCGGTCTGAAGCACACAGCAACAAAAAGAGAGGAGGAAAGGGATGGAAAAGGAGCAGATTATTTATGCTGTGATGGGTATTGATCTTATCATATGCATGGCCAGACCTGAAGGTGACGGAGAGAGAGAGAGAGAGAGAGAGAGAGAGAGAGAGAGAGAGAGAGAGAGAGAGAGAGAGGACACAGGCCTGGCCCTCAAACACAGGCATGGCCCTCACTATGTCGAGCCATTGAAGCAAGACGTCTGGAATACCCCCCCCCAAAAAAAACAGTCCCTCCCGCCCCAGCTTGCAGACAAACTCACTTATCTTCCACCAGTGCCTTCGCTCTCAGCTCCCATTGCTTCGCCATCTTCACCAGACCCTCAAGATGTCGCAAAGCCTCTTGAACACCTGAAAAACACGCACATACATGTACACACATACCGTACTCACTCGATTAGAAGCCCCTCTCGAATAAAAGCCCCTCTCGAATAAAAGCCCCTCTTGAATAATAGCCCCCTACAAGGACTGTTTAAAAAATACAAGTCTCTCTCGATTAGAAGCCCGGACTACTATTCGCAAAGCAGGGGGTGACAAGACAGCGCACATATTGGTACATGTCCTGGTCGACGTAGTGTGGGAAAACTACTGAAGTAACTCCGGACGAGTTGCTGTGAATATGAAAGTTTTAGAGATTCGATTAGAATACTGGTATGAAATGAAACAACAAAAGCCCCTCTCGAATAGAAGCCTCTTCAAAATTGGTATTGGAAAAATAGAAGCCCGCTTCTAGTCGAGTACGGTATACACACACCAGCTGATTAAGTGTGTCAGTTCAGGTCTTTCTCGACATGGCAAGCTTTCCTAACGTCATGTACCATGTGTACAGGTGTGATACCATAGAGGTTTTGAAAATGACATCACCGCACTTGTTGTGCATGGAGTGGCAAACAAGTGAATGCCATCATCACACACCCTCACACTTTGAATGACATAATCCCACACACTGTCAAGTGTGTGTGTGTGTGTGTGTGTGTGTGTGTGTATGGAGAGGCAAACCAGTGAATCACATCATTGTACATGCTGTGTGCACGGAGTGGCAAGCCAGTGAATGATATAATCCCACGCACGGTGTATGGGGTGGCAAACCAGTGAATGACATAATCCCACACACTTTGTATGGAGAGGCAAGGGTAGGACTAAAGGGACGGGTAGGACTAAAGGGACAAGCCCAACTTTTTTTTGCAGTTTTCTGTCATAAAAAAATAAACGTCACAGGCTGCTCTTCGCAGCCCTGCAGGCACGGTGACCAGGTGACTGGCGTACGCAGGAGCACGTGACCGCTTGTTCAACCATGTTCGATTTGGAATAAAGGAGGAACACTGCATCGCAGCCTTTTCGGACCAAAACCAATCGACTCAGCGTCCAAAAGACTACAACATATGGGCCAATCGTGGTCATCCGTGCTTTTATAAGAACGAAATGGCGCTTTTAGTGAGATTTTGCATACAAATCCCCATCTAGTAGGGCGCAGTCACCCAGTTTCGGTGGAAGTGCGCGAGTTCGATTGGGATTCAAGTAGGAAGGGAGCGTCTCAGCTTCCTCGGACCACGACCATTCGACTCAGCACCCTGAAGACTACAACTGGTGAAATTTTAATTTTTGCCTTAATTTCCCCTTTAAACACTGTGCATCGCTGTGCTTTTACGTTCATCGAATGCCGTTCGGCTATTTACAGTACGCGTTGCACACCATTGATGCCCAGATCTCTTTGTCTTGTACAATCAATGCTGCCATTGGTGGAACTGGGTAAAGTCAACAGCTTTTGATGTGCCGAGAATATTCCGCCCGCGGTTCGTCTGGAGTTCGGAGTGTACACATTGAGAACTACAGGCGCAAGCAATTTACTGTCGACATATCGTGTCACCGCTCCTTGGTTACACCTGGCAACGTGTTTAAAAGCAAACTTGACGTCGTCCGGTACGACACTCGCACAGTACACACGCGACATTGGTTGTTGCAGTGCGGACACACTGGCAACACAACACACCAGTCTTACAAGTGCAGTGTACTGGGCATGTGAAAAACGCTCGACACACATTTGATGTCGTCAGTTCGGTGGTCTCTGTCACCCTTTACTCATGCCCTTACCATTGTGTGGTAAATGTTGATGACCGTCTGCAATCAGTTCCTCTACCTGCTCCAGCGTGCTTTCAGGCTCAGAGTTGCGGGCCACCATCACCCTGGCAGACTCAAGCCACTTGGCCTGACGTAGCTTCTGTAGGACGTCAGAAAAACATGTACATGTAGTACCACATGCACGTGCACGCATGCACACACATACACTCACATACATACACACACACACACACACACAAACGCTCTCACACACCACACACACACACACACACACACACACACACACACACACACACACACACACACACACACACACACACACACACACACACACACACACACACACACAAACGCTCTCACACACACCACACCACACCACACCACACACACACACACACACACACACAGAGCATAACATGAGTACAAGAACAGGTTCACTCCAATCTGAACACCATACTGCCTTTTTCCATTTGAACAAAGCAGGACTGTAAACAGGCAACATTTCAGGAGATAACTCCCACTGCTGACTACTGTACGAAGTGGTACTTAATCAAAATAATGTATCAGCTGCAAAGAATATCTGACAATTGCGTTAGCGTTAATCGCAGGCACATGTTGCTGTGGCAGCAATGCACTTGCCTGCTGTATGCATGCCAGCTGTGGCACTTCCACATCAAACGACTTGGCATCCTCGAGCAGCGTGGCCAGGCGACTGTAGGGCGGTGATGGGTCGGCAACGGCCGATTGCAACGACGCCTGGAACGACTGCACTCGTTGCAGGAGATTCTGCAACACAGCGCCACATGGAAATGCAATGGTTCAAACTAACAGAAGAGCAGCAATTACAACAAGGAAAATGCATGAATTCTGACTGGTGAAGAACAAAACCACACAAAAAGGCAGCATAGCAAAAAAAAAAACCCTGATCTGGACACCTTTCTGACCCTTGTAGAGTAACAACATTCAGCTTTTCAACGAAAAATGGCCTCAAAAACGATTGATTGGCATAACAACTTACTATTAACAAGTGTTTACTTTCATGCAGTACAAGTGTATGTTCTGAGGTATGGGCAGCGCTCGGTCCCAACCTGCCTGGACCAGGGACAATTTTACTGCACATTGTGAACTGGATGGCATTCTCAGATCTGCGGGTCTCCTCACCTGAACAAGAACACCTTCATCGATTCGGCATGGCAAGCAGTTCAGCCGCTTTGTGAACCTCTCCAGCTCGTCCACCGTCACGTTGTGCTGCATTGAGTCCGAGCTGAGGAGCAGCACAAACAGCACATTATAGAGGAGAATAAGATCATTGGTGCAATGCGTGCCGAGCAGGACAGTCATGCAAGAAGATACCCTATGATGATGATGATGGAGCAGATCTCAGAGTACACCGACTATAGAGTGGTGTCACATCTTTGTCATGTGACGAACTACTGTAATTTCACAAGTTTTCGGTGTACTTTTATTTTCGGTACTTTCGGTGCATCTGTTTCATACCTAAAATTTCAATACACCGAACAAACACTAACACACATAATCCAATAGGGAACTGCTTCCCTGTACCTAAAATTTCTGTTCACCTAACCTGGCCTTTCGCCCTCATACCGAAATTATTGAGCACCGAAATTTTCTGAAATTAGAGTATGTGTAGAAAGTGATCATGGCATGTGTAGAGTGGAACCAATATGGCCGACATCATGTGACCGAAGGGGTTGAGTGGAGTTGGAACCAACATGGCTGACCTGTATGGTCATGTGATAGACGTGCAACGGCCCTACGCACACACACACACACACACATACACACACACACACACACACTATACACTCAGTTGGATGGCTGTGCGCCCAGGGCGCTAAGACAAATAGCATACCTGCCGGTGTCCTTGCCCTTCACGAGTTGCATAGCATCGACAGCACACTCCTCGGCTTCCTCTATGGCAAGCTTCAGCTCCTCCACTAGATCCGGTGCGGACAAATTGCCATTTTCAGCTTCAGCCGACAGTCGCTTTAGGTCCGCAATTGCTGGAAAGGATAAAAGAGCAAAACAAAGGGCCAGTATACCCATACACATTATCAAGAGTAATGGAAAGCTGTCAGCACGGACTTTCGTTCGAAATTAGCTTTCGTTACTTGCGCTACGTTTGTAGGTCAGGAAAGTTAACGAAAGCTAGTTTGCAACTAGAGTTTGAACAGTGCTCGGCCCTCAAGTTCACGCACGAGCTGGCACGTGACGGTATTGATTTCCTAGACACCACAGTTTTCCATCGCGAGGGACAAACGTCAGTAAAGCCTCACTTCAAGCACGGGTCAGTGGCACCGCCCGGCATGTACTAGTACTTGGCGTTGGCGCTGCGAGTAGACTGTCTCAGAAGGAAATTATCAGCCAGCCGTGTAGTAGCATTGGATGAAAGAAGAAATGTGAGCAGCGGTACGCCGAGTACAAAGTGGTGCATAGTACACCATTGGCTACAGGCCACGTCACGCCCCTGCTGGTGTTAAAAAAGGCCGTTATTACACTACAACACGTGGCTCGCGTTTCGCGGTACTTTTCATCAGATTGTGACGGTTGTCAATGGTTTCGGGTCCCGCGATCGAAACGTGAGCCGTGCCGTGAGAAAACGCAGACTTGGGCTTTCGAGGCCAGGTCACAACTGAAAGACTGCCGCGAGCGCTGCCGTGAAGGAAATCCGGAACGTGGGTGGTCGTGTTTGCGTTTCTGAGGTTTTCTTTGGTGTTACTGTTGAGAGCGTTCTCCAAGATCCAAGTTATCCTGCAAGATGGTTCCAAGAATTTTCAACGAGCAGATGGAGTGCAAATTCATTCGGATTTGGCATGACGTCCTTGAGAATAGTCAAGGCCAGATGCGGACCCGTGATGACAAGCTACACATGGCCACCACCATGATGAACTCTGCGTGTCGGGAGCAAGGCTGTAAGAGAAGACTCAGTGTATCTGAAGACTATGTCTTGCCAAGTAGTAAAAAGGAATGTCAGCCTCCTATTGTCTGGCCACACCAAGCACCTATGCCCAAAGTTATTGTTCTGCCTACGGCAATCGGCTGTCACTTGCTGCCAGTAATCGCGATTGTTGCGAAATTCGATGCGCTTATTATTTCCACGCGCTGTTCTCTCTGGTCTTGCTGTGCTGTCCGGTCCGGTGTCCTATGTGGTCTGATGCGCTTAAGGGTATGGTGTGATGTGCGCCAGATATGGAGTGTGGTGTATGCAAGTACTAGGTGTACGTGGTGTGGATGGCGTGATGAGTGACAAATGTGGTGCGTGTGCGTGTGGTGCATGTGGGAGTACGCGTTGTTCGAAAGGGTGAGATCCTGCTTCCGTTGGTGAGAGTGTGCTTGTCTACTAGTTATCGCGCATGCGTAGGATATGCGGAGCGCGAGCTGTGAGAGAGAGAGGTGTGATTCGTCCACGGTGTCGGCCTGGCCGGTGGTTGCTTCCACGGCCTTTTCATGGCCGACCGGAGGAAAGCATTGCCGCGTATTGACGTGATTACGACTCCTGTCTGAAAACTAACGGATACACAGCTCCACCAGCCGTGGGAGCAGATACCGGCGACAGGGCCAAACTTGAACAGATGGGAATATTTCTTCTGCAACGTGGCCTGCAAGTTCGCACAGTTAGTCGTTTGATCTCGTTGTCCTTTCCCCGCTCTTCCGCAAACCTGTATTCCAAGTGGTGTTTGACCCTGTTCTGATAGCATAATACCAAGAGTCAATCAGTCAGCAGAGTCGTGCTGTAGCGGGGGACGGGAGAAGAGTCCAGGCCCGGAACGTCCGGGGTTCACGATTGTCACCAGTTGAATGTCATAGCTGCGTGCTAGCTTGAGTAGAAGCACACCAGTTTCGTCAGATGTGCCTGGTGTACCAGGACTGGCTCTTCCAACTAGTTTCGCCACCATGTGTTCACAACATTTGTGTCACAGATACAGATCCAGTGCCAAGAATCCAAATAATTGGCGAGTGCAGTCGTCAGAGTGAATCACTTGAAAGTCTGATTACTCTTTAGCTTCTCCACCGAATCTGCTCTTGTTTTCAAACCAGTTTCGTCAGATGTGCCTGGTGTACCAGGACTGGCTCTTCCAACTAGTTTCGCCACCATGTGTTCACAACATTTGTGTCACAGATCCAAATCCAGTGCCAAGGATCCAAATAATTGGCGAGTGCAGTCGTCAGAGTGAATCACTTGAAAGTCTGATTACTCTTTAGCTTCTCCACCGAATCTGCTCTTGTTTTCAAACCAGTTTCGTCAGATGTGCCTGGTGTACCAGGACTGGCTCTTCCAACTAGTTTCGCCACCATGTGTTCACAACATTTGTGTCACAGATACAGATCCAGTGCCAAGGATCCAAATAATTGGCGAGTGCAGTCGTCAGAGTGAATCACTTGAAAGTCTGATTACTCTTTAGCTTCTCCACCGAATCTGCTCTGTTTTCAAACCAGTTTCGTCAAATGTGTCTGATGTACCAGGACTGGCTCTTCCAGCTAGTTTCGCCACCATGTCTTCACAACATTTGTGTTATATGCTTTGGAAATATTGTAGAAAAGTCCAACTTATCCTGCCCGATCGACGAGTGTGTTCGTCAGAGTGAATCACTTGAAAATCTGATGGCTTTTTGTCCCTCCACCTTCTCTGCTCCGTTTTTCCACATGATGATGGTTAACAGCCTTTTACTCCCAACCAGTTTCATCACCATGATTGTATACACTACACTTTGCCTGATGTGTGTTTGGGAGTCATATGGATATCTATAGTCTGTTTCAAAAAGATTTACAATCAGGTTTGGGTCTTAAAAAGTATGAAGATAAGGGAAATTTGGACAACAAAGTACATAAAATGGCTTGTTAGGACACGGCAAATTGTTCTGTGAAGGTTTCGGAACAATTGGATCAGCCGTTAAGGAGTTAGAATTTCGGCCAGGTTTCCGGCCTTTTCCCATGGTTTACAATTTGCCCAGGAAGCCAGTATCGATTTTTTTATCAAAACCCACGATTTATTCTTTCCTTTTTGGCCTTGTGGTTATGAATGCTGTCTGCTGATCATGAAGTTGTGAGTTCAAATCCCAACCTATCCTCAAGTCAAACTTTTTTTCTTCATTGTTTTGGTGGTCAAGCTGGTACGAGACAAAGAAGATGGCCAAACGACTTGTTGTTGTTGGAGCTCGCGCTTCCTGCCGAACTGACTGACACTTGACTGGCTCACGCCATGTGAGCACACCCACAACATGTAACACTGCAATGGTGTGAGTGAATATGGAAGTCATCGCGCTGTAGCTTTTTGAGATTTATTCTAGTATTTCAAGATCGCCAATTTATTTGAATTTAGCAGTCAACGCCGTCTTCTATC